AAAAGTTAACTCCACTGTATTAGAAACTGAACAATAGATTTTTCATATCGTTCTTAAGTTTATTTGTGAAGAAAAATAAAATAAACAACACTTGGAATTAGAAATAAATATGAAAACCAAAAACAAAATCATATGATCGAGTTCTTTCTGGTCGATTGAAAGATAAAAAAAACTAAACATAAGTTGGTACAAGATGATAAGAACCACTACTTCTAAACCTTATTATAGTATACCGACAAATCCCATTCTCATAAGGCTTAATGTAGCATGAAATTTACTATTTGCATTATTCAAAATGGTGAGTCATGCTGCTGGAAAACTGCTATTCCATCCTTCTATGCATAAAAACAACTAAAAAAGAAACAAACAATATATGCAAATAAATCTAACTCGAACAATACTATAGCATCATCAGCCGTAATTATTTCATGAATATATTTTATTGCATTTCGTAAAATAATACTTGTTAATGTTTTAGGTAATGTTGAAATACTTTCACTATGAAATACAATAGTAATTGATTTTGTTGATAAATCAGATGAAAATTTATACGCTAGACAACTAAAATGGAAAGAAAATTAATTAAAATAAAAGGAAAACCTTAGTAATTGTTAACTTTGAATTGATCTATTAGGAGCTATAAGATCACAAGTTCAAGAATATCAAAATGGTTTTCTTTAAAATATTTTTTTTTCTTTTTCTTCTTTTGAATATGCTTCATTCAGAGGCCTTCAAATTAATCATGAATCAGCGTCATATGTGACCGTGACTAAAAAAAGACGATGGTCACGCAGGTCTCTATTGGCTGGACGTCTTCCTGGTAAATGATCACGTGATTTACCAATAGCTTCTTGTTAGTGGCTTCAAAATACTTTCGAAATGATTTTATGTAGTGAACTTCTTTTAAAGATGAAAGTCAAACAGCGATTTCTCTATTTATGATTCATCAAGTCGTGAAGCTAAATCTGATATTGACTTGTTTTAAAAGGAACGGTTGTCTTTATATGACTAATAAACGCAATCGATGTGCATTTAGAACGTTTCAAGATTCAAAATGATTTGTATTCCCCCTAAGCATCATTTGCACGAGCGAGATCATAATTTCACCGTCGTTTAGACTCTACTGTGAATTACATTAGTTTCCTTCATAAAATTAAGATAATATCATTACAATCCCTTTGGAATAAAAATATGAAACATGATGAAACATTGCAAAATATTTTTTGTATGCAAAAATGAATTTTTCAGAGCATGTGCCATCTATATAATCTCAACAATAAGTGATAATTACATGTTTTCGATTGTTTTCGTCAAAACTTACAAATGTAATACTCATTCTACCTAATTACTTTTCAATACAAAAGTTTTTTGATTTTCAGAAGAGAAGATTCAATACTTCTTATTCCATCAAAGTAAATTTAGTAAATAATAGAAAACGAATTTTTTTGACTGTTGTACAAAACCATCAAAATATTGAACTAAAATCAATTATACTTTTTTTATTAAGAATACGTTAAAATGCTTCTAGTTTCATTCGATTATTATCTGATGTTTAGCCATTCATTTTTTTTTTCAATTCTTCCTAATCGATAAGAAAGATACGGAAAAAATTCATAGATAAGTCGAAAATACGATTATAGTCGGATTTAAACCGATTTATTGGCAGTTCTCTTATTATATCTATATCTCTATAATAAAACATTGGTATTTGTCTATTTTAGATCACAGATCAAAGGCTAATGGTTAAAGGTCAAGCTCTGATCGAACTTAATAGAATATATGAAATTCAGAAACAGCCACAAGAAAATATCGCTCAGAGAAGAGATAGCATACAATGTAACTGATATATAGACAACTCATGACTACGACTATAATATTCTTTTGAAATCATATGAGTACTGAATATAAAAACGATTAGACGAGCAATCCATTCTATAGTTGAACTCAATCTATATGCTCTATTTCCAGGATAAGTAAAGATGAAAAATTACTTTATGACGATCTGTAGTATGTAATATCAATTTGTATATTTATGATGAGAAAAAGAATTCAATATTTGCTCATTTTAGAGTTTTATTTTCTCATACTTCTTTTTTTTCTGATATCATTTGTTACTATAGTAATAAATAAATTACTTGAAATGTGATTTAGTTATGGTATCAATTAATGGAAGACATAGATCTGCACCAAGTACAAGTAAGAAAGTAAGGCCGATGTCACGATAACCCTTTAAAAAAAGATTAAAGAAAACTTTCATTATTTCATATTTAATGAACAATTTACCTAATAGTAATTAAAATGATTATGTTTAATTAAAATTTTAGTAATAACAATAATAAGTTCTTGTAATTTGATCCTATCCAAATCAAAATAGGCTTTAATAAACAAAAATAATCTTCAATAAAATATTTTTTGTCTAATGAGAGAATCACTCGCAGTGGTGTGTACCTTTTGGATATATACAGAGCTTCTTTAGACTAGAACAAACATAGAAAGATGCGTACTTATAGCCCTTCTATCCTGAAATATTGAATTTTCAAGTTAGAAGGCAAAATAACAATTTTGGATTACATCGTAATTATCTCGTTAAAAAAAGGAACTGAATCTTTTATGACAACCTAATAATATTACCAACCAATAATCTTGCAATTTTCATGTTTTTATCTTATCTTTATGGTTTATAGTAATACGGATTTTTTTTGCTTTTGACTCATCGAATCAATAGCTATATATTAGTGCTTGTACTCATCAGCAATATTACTATCACTTGAAGGAATAGAATAAAAATCTCAAAAACTTCCGCATTATTTATTGATAATGTTATTCAGTTCTTATTATCTTTTCGTTTACGAAATAAACGCGATACGGTCCAAAACGGTTATGTTATCCAGTAACTGGAAAATTGAATCTCTTAGGATAAAAGAGCTATGGATACGTATCCTTCTATATTTGTTCTTGTCTATAGAATCTCACTCTATATGCCTGAAAGTGGTTAATCATTTAGAGCATTTTCTTCGTAAGTAAATATTTGGTGGAAATCTTTTTAATATTCGTTCAGCATCCATTCTAACTTGTCGATAAAATCGATGTAATTCAATTTGATCTTTATCTAATTTCAAACAAAAAAGAAAACAAACTGAATATAATTTTAAATTAAATTAAAAAATATACATGCAGACTAATAATCAATCGAAGAAAATAATAATTTCCTATTATCATCAAATTGAACTGGACAATACGATGGTGAATTAATTAGAAAAGGCCGTATTTGTTTTCTATATAAATTATTAATAAAACTAAATGTTTTACCATATTCAATTAATGTTTCTTGATGTTTTTTTATTTAAAAATTCTTCAAATAAATTTTTTATTTTATCAAATTTGTTTTTTTTAATAATTAAAAAATTTTCATCATCACTTAATGATGATGAACCATTTGTTGTTATTGATGATGATATTTCTACAGAATGAGCATCTTCCATTAATGCTGAATCATTATCAGAATCTGAATTTGTTTCAAAAATATCATCATCAAAATTATTATTATTGTTATTATTATTATTAATTAATTGAGAATTTGTTTGATCATCAATTGTTACCATCACAAGTAAAACAAAAAGAATAAAGTACAAGTAATAAATAATCAATATTATCTAGATGATCCAACCGTGACATCAATTTGGAAAAAATCTTCCGTCATGATAAATATTTGTTGTTTTTTCATTCTTCTTTCAAAATTGCATTTTTCTTTTTCTTTCTTTCTTTGTGGAGCTACAAATAAAGTTAAGAAATGAGAGAACGTAGCTCGATCTATGATGTTTTGTATTGTATAATATTGTAACCAATGGAATTTGTTTTAATGAATGTATATGATATGTATTTATTTAATAAAAAAGAAATTACTCTTATTACGTAATGTAATAGAAGAATTCAAGCAGGGATCTTAAGAGAAAAGTTTTCAGTTGACGTGATCAGTGATGATGCAAATAAGTAAAAGCTGAAAGGAATCTCTCAATACAAAGTAGGCACACATTTTTTGCCAAATTACAAAATCAGAGTAAGCTCTAGCACAAGTATCTAAGGCAGAAAGAGGTGCGTTTCCTTCTCCTCTCAAAGTTGCTTCCATTGAAAATGACAGTCATATCATATTTCATTATCAGAAAACTGTTTGATTTGCAAATCTATCGTTATTCAGTCTTTGTTACATACAGTTTGAAATAAATGTTGATGTATAGAGTGACAAAATATACCGTAGGACTATTCTAAAACACGATTGAATTTTATAGTGAGAAAATTGCACTCTCTTTTCTTTACACCCGCTGTAATATATAACAATTAACATCCTGTTTTTTTTCATAAAAACATACATTAACAACATTGAATAACTCACAAATTTCGGGAAACGTTGTTAAGTCCTCTCGTTTAGTAGATTTTCGTCTCATTCAATGATGACATTATACCTTTCAGATTATGATCATAATGAAATTATCAGGTGAATTTAATTATATCGTAAACATTTGAAAATCTTCAAAAATACTCAAGTTCATTTTTACTACTACTGAACACTAGCAAAACGATGATAGGTTGCTTGATTTGTTTTACAAGTCTATAATATAATTAAATATTATCATAATGATTCATTTATTTTGAATACAAATATTCGAAGAAGTATCAAATTTTCAATAAACAAGGTTTTTGCATTGAATGAAAAACAAACCAGATAATGAACTTTATAGATTGTAGGAAAAATTATCTTGATAATTTTTTCGCTTTTATCAGAAAAAAAATAAAAAGAACTTAATTTTCATTGAATCAATACATCAAATGAGAATGTTTCTAAGATAGAATACAAGAAATTTTCTTCTCTTTTTTGACTTCCAAAAGTAAAATAAAAAGACGATTCAGTTGACTATCAGATGGATCCATAGAACCTAATAAATCTTCATGATTAGCCATACGTTTCATAAACTTATGATTAGGATGTTGATCAAGAAATGAATTCCGTATTGAGAATGGTTCTCATCGTCGAAAATAAGTTGGTCTCTCGACAATTGTACACTTAATTGTTTATTTTTAAATGCATCACTTATTTTATTTACGATATACTCTACATGCGTTCAGTCCGATTTCGATTGGCAGAAGGTTTTGAGTAAATTTGGACTCGGAAAGGATATGGAGAACAGTCATGTTTTGAGTTCGGATGAACTTCGAACAAGATTAAGTTCAATATGAGAGAATTCAACCGGACTATATTAATCGAAGAATCATTAAAAACGAATACTGTCACTGTTGATTTCCGTAATGAAAACATTAAAAAGATCAAAAGAAAGACAGGGATCACCAAATGGAAGATGTTTTTCCAAGGAAAGGTGAAGCATTCACTGATCGGAGTAAAGAATTGAAAATGAAATAACACAATACAATGAAGATAACAATCTTTTTAATCAATTCAAAAACGAAAAATAGTAATGGACGATCGTATGCTATTAACTAATCATTTCACCATTAATATCAACATTCATAAGAAAACATAATTGAAATTTCAAATGAAGTAAATCGTATTTTAAAAAGCAATGGTGTATATTATCTAAGATTAATGATTGATATTTTTCATATTGAGTTTCGTTTAGCTAATCAAAAGAATTATGAAAGAATCTGATTTGATTCCAACATGAAAACTTACTTTATAGCTATTTTTTTCTATAAAAGTAATTAAATTTCGTTTTGCGAATACCATAAAAGATTTTGTTTCCTTTTTTGATTCTCGTATCGAATTCTTACGAAAAGCAAACACTTGTCTCATAGATATATTTAACAAATTAAGTTTTATTGAAAACGTGAACTGCGTGATCTTCGAAATTGAGTTCTAGAGAAAACATCTAATCAATGATTTTTAGATTTTATTTAAATCCTGAATAAATATCCTTGAAAGTATTTGTGAATACATAAGCACATTTTTTAATTATTAGAAAATAGCTTTAGCTTCTTTTAATAAACGTTCTAAATCGCCTCGTTTTTCTAAAGCCACCGTATCATCNGAGGAGCCGCGAGAATCCAAGGAGCCAGGAGCCGCTTTTTCCCCCCTTGTGAGAAACGCTTGTGTTTAAGTTTCAGCATTGTATACCTTACTAAACTAGACTTATGACTTGTTTTATAGCTTCCACGAGAATTGCTATAACTTCATGACTATGATAGCTAGCGAGGTCGGGCCGGTTTTAAATTAAAGCTAGCCCCCACATGCAAGTTTTCATCACGCAGACTTTTGAAATTCCCTTCTGTTCATATTTTTATAAGTATTTTACTCGGTATGATTGCCAAAGTAGGTATAAAAAACGCACCAAATCGGGCTTTTCTCAGTCCATGAATCCATTATCGAAAATCCGTCCGATAAAAAGGTAGCTATAATTGAAACCTTTAAAATAAAATAAAAATATCAGGAAAAGCTAAAGCCAAACGAAGGTTATAGCAATTTTTCTACTTGAGACCCATGTTTTCAGACCAACATTTAGGAATTTTTAGAAAGGTGTGTGGGAGTAAGGGAGATGAAAGAGTATTTCTTTAATAAGTCTGTCAAAACTTGCCCTTTTTTCAAAAAGTTATATATATTCTAAAAGAGGAGATCACGGGAAATCTTTCTATGATAAAAACTCTATTTCGTTTTTTTTCGAAAAATCGGCTTTTCTGAGGGGGGGGCTTAAGAAAAGCTTCTGTTCTTCTATTACAAAATTTTCGACCAATTATCGGCGACCAATTTTCGCTTCCCCCTTGAAGAAGCATGCCTTTCATATCAGATGACAAACAATAGTATTGATTATTCAATAATCAGATGTCACCCAGCAAATATTCCAATTAATCATACGCCAACGACTAGTTCTAGTGAAATCTATGTACGAGGGCCACAGTCTGACTTAAATGATGTAGTTCAAAATGAAGCAACATCAACAAGACCATCAACAATTTTATCTTTCATCTTCGTCTCATTATTAACATTGAAAAAAATGAACGTAAAGGTCGATAACTTAAAAAATGTGGTCATTATTGTTTTCTCACTCTAACACCTCAATGTCGTTCATGTTCTGGTGAGAATTCTATGATAGGAAATCATTTTTTCTTCATTCATATCCTTGAATTTTATAGATCAACGATCATATTCTGAAAATAATCAATATGATGCATATATCGATGGTCATGGAATAAAAAACCTAGCAAAGCGGAATCATCACTGTTGTCCTGGTTGTAAAAAAAGGTAATATTAAATATTTGATTCGTAATATCGTTTCAAATAAAAGTGAAATTCAAAATGTTATATTTGAAAAAAAATGAAGAGAAGAAAAAATAAAATGAAGAGAGAAAAGTGACAGAAAAAAATAATTTCTTCATCTCGGATGTTCACCATCATCCTCATCATCATCCGTGATGTGTATAAATACAGTAAGGTCATTTATGGGTAGGATATTCTTATGTCTCTCTATTAAATAATGTTCATGAATTTTCTTTAAACATATTTTGTATAAACTGCTGCTTGACTTGCATCATTACCACTTGTTTGACCATATCCACTTCGATTTTGATTTTGATTTGTATATGATGCACGATAGGTTGTTGTATAAGCACCTAAAAACATACAGATTCATAATGTGAAGCTATTTTTTAAAATTTAATTGGAAAAATAAACCTGGATAATTATAATTTGTTGAACGATATTCCGGTCCCGGCTCCGCTTGAGTGAACTGTTGAGGTGCTGGTTGATATTGACTAGCAGTCGATGGTGCTCGAGATTGAACCGTTTCTGGACGACGATTTGTTAAATATTTTGAATAATTCACCGGTAAATCGGTTATTTTGTCAACAATACGCACTTCACTATATTATGAAAAAAAACAGAAGTAGAAAATTTTTATGGCAAAAAACATTTTCTTTTGTTTTATTACCCAATAGTACTTGTTGCATTGTGATATTGAGGATCAGCATGGAAGACACCTTCATCAGTAATAATCTGTTCATGATGAGCTTTCGGTTGTTCATGTTGAATGATGACATTTTTCGGTGGTCGAATACTGAAATTTTATTTTTTGAAATAAAAAAAATTCAATGTCAATATTTACATACACTTCAGGAGCTGGTGCTCTTTGGACGATAACTGGCCGCTCTTTTGTTTCTTGATAAGGTAACCATTTTTCATAAATTACTTGACGTGGTTTTGGTGGTGGCTGTGGAAGTCGTTCGACAATAACTTGACGAGCTGGAGCTGGTGGTGGTGGTAAAATTTTTTCAATAATTTGCGGTTGTTGTTGAACCGGTGGTGTTGGTGGGCGTTCGCCTAATATAGAAAACTGAGGATAAAGTCAAATTTAAATTCAAAAACAATTCTTACGAATAATGAGAGGAGGAGGCGTCGGTGGGGTTGCTGGCCGTTGACGAATAACTACTGGAGCTGGTGCAGGTGGATGCGGTGCATGACGTTCCTAAGTGTATATTTATTTATATATATATATATATATATATATATGTATGTGTATAAATGGAATGTAAATGAGTGGCGTAGGTTTACCTTGATAATAATTGGTGCTGGTTCAGGTCCTGGTGGTGGTTGCAAAAATCGTACGTTGACCTGTTGTTTATAATGAATATTTTGCTCAGACGGTTTAACAACATGTAGTGGTTCATGATCGACTTGTACAGATAAATTGTCCATACGACCACCAGGTGCAATAACTATATACAATAGAACAAATAATTTTGTAAAAGAATCGACATGATCTTTGTTTGTCTTTTACTTTCATGAGTACGATAAGATGGATGTTGATAGTGTTGACTTGGACCAGCACGAGAAAGAATTTCATTTCCAAATCGTTCATCTTGTATCGCATTTCCTGAAGCACGTAATGCTGACATATCAGCATTATTACTATAGTATTGCGATGTTTGTGGTTGTGTTGAAGCATAATTGGGTCGTGATTGAGAATTGTCACTATAAGTTTATATAGATAAGTATATTTTAGTGAAACGATAAAGAAAACTTATTAGAATAATATTCTAAAGTAACGAAGAATAGAATAGATATCCTATAAATGTCTTTCTTATTTTTACTTTTGAGACGAATAACATTAGTAAAAAATAAATCACAAAGAAAACAAATCGAACTGTTTTTCGGTGAAAGACCGTGTTTATTTTAAGCAAGCAATTTAAATTATCGAGTAAAAGAAAATTGGGAGCAGTAACGAAATGATCTACGAAACTGCATAAGTACTTATCTCGAAACTTATTTACTAGATGTGCTATATACGAAGAAAGAAAGGAAAACAAACTAAAACAATTTATCATAAACATAGATTCGAACGTCATTAGCAGAAACTCTGTTCGATCTAAACATGAAATATAAAAGAGACTATTTTTCTTTTCAACACCCTGAAAAATGTATGCTTATCGTATTTTATTATGAGTTAAATCAAAATCTATCATCAGTATACAATATATCCATGACAAATTGCCATGAAATATTCAATATTTTATTTTTGTTCTTCTAAAAAACCTTGAAAAAAATTTTGTTGTTTTGTTTACACGCACTTCTGATCAGGGATAACTAAATGTATGTATGCTTGTGTGCGTATACAGAGTTACATGTCTGACTGGCCATGTCTGTCCTCAGTAGATATCAAAACTGATTCATCTTTTCTTTTAGAAATCTTAACATAGTATCCTACCTGCCAGGCCCATTCAAATTGCTACGATATTTATCAAGAAACGAATTAGAAGCCATCGATAATGTCTCTTAATAAAATAATTTCCTATCTGAAAATAAGATCTTTATTTCAGTTGATGATTTAACAAAACTGAATTTAAGAGAATACAAGAAACCACTACTACCATTACTGCTGCTCCTGAAAGTAATGTTGTGGGTACTGAAACTCGTTGCTATTCAACTAAAGTATCTTTTTTTACCAATACTTGGTTACCCAGCATTAACCTCCGTCATTTTTTACACTCAGTTGCTCTGTTTGCCATATTTTTTGTTACTAGGGAGTGTAAGAGAGACATTTTCATTTTGTTCTGCTATTTTTGCATACCTTTCAAGCGATCTCTGTTCATGTATGTTACCAAAAATGTTATGAAAGGCGCTTATTAAAGAAAAGAAGAAAAAATCATCTCTTTCTCTTTTCTGCCAAACGACAATAACTGAAAAATGCTAAAACTTTTAAAACAATAAACACAGCAGAGAGAAAAGAATACAGAGAAAAAGACATTGAATGTTGCTCAGCAACATTAAACATTAGTTAGTTACTAGATGCAAATTATTGACCGATATAAACTTGAACGGATTTTCTCAAGACAAATTGAAGCTGAAGAATTTCTTTTTTTTTGTATTACATAGGAAAAAGTAAGAGTAAAATAAATAAAAGCAAAGCATAGTTTAAATTAAAGTGTCGAAAAGTTTTTCGGTGACTTAATTCTATTTGAATTTATATCGTTGAGACTTATTTCGTTTTATAAATAGAGAAAAAAAAACAACATTTTTTTGACTTGTCGAACCTTGTCAATTCATCGATTCACTTGATCGTTTATGATTAATCAAACTACTTCAATAGGAAATGTCAAAAAATCATCAATTCTAGTTCGTTGTCTGTGATGGACTTTTTAAATTGTTTAATAAAAAAGATAAACTGCAATGTTAACTCGAAAAGTTGGGTACGAACATCTCCAATAATGTATATTAGTTACTGTGAAATGAACATGCTGTGTGTTTTTTGTCTACTATTTTAACCGCACCTAGTCGTTATTAATAATATATTATTATTATATCGTTCAATATTAATGTACTTAGTTTGTTGGCATGCATTCACGAAGTAAATGCTTACGCTTTCTGCGCGATTGTGGTTGTTATTGTTATACCTTGCGTGTGTTGTTATTTTGATAGATTTGTTTTTTCGTAAATTGTAATCGTTTCTTTTATGTCTACTCACGATAGATTCATGCATTGGATTTTAGTAAAAATAATTTATTTATCAACTTATGAATGTAATCTTCAGTTTACATCCAATTACTGATTTAATATTGCAATATTGAGAAAAAATACAATGGTATGCGCAGACAGACTGAGTACATGACAATCAATGACAAACACTTCTCAGCTGTAGAAAGTGATGCTGGATCTATGAGGAGTAGGTCTGTTTGGATAGTTTATAAATATCAGAAAGAACGTATCTCTGATTCAAAATGTAAATATTAATTACTCATATTTAGAGAACGTTAACTGCATGATTATCGCAAAGACACTAAATATCATTTAGTATTTAACAGGACTGGAATATTCAATAAAAGTTCAATTATTTTGATCATTAACGTAGCAGTATCATTATAAAATGTCTAATGTCAATATTTGATGTACTGCCACGCTTGAGTTTAATACGCTTGAACAAATGTTACAAATGAACATCTCATGAATCATGCATTACAAAAGTTATCGTATCAATACTGTTTTTTTTCAATTAAAATAATTTGATTTCTTGCGAATGAACATTACAACAAGGAGTCTTACTATCGCAAATATTATATTTCGAATCAAAAATGACAAAATAGCTTACATCAGCGAAATTTCTTTTTTTTTCTCAGAAAGATTAAATAGGCTTTGAAAAATAAAAAAATGACTGTGAGATTATAATGTAAAACTAGTAATAGTTAGTATTCTTTCAAATATTCTTGGTTTTCTCCTTTTTTATGATTTTCCAACGAAAATAGCCAATATTAATGATAATGCCAAAGCAATAATAATATGAATGGAAAGAAAAATTCCTTTAATTAAATCTTTGCTAGTATTATGTTTCATTGATGTTGATTCGATTTTCATATCCATATTGCCATTTTGCTTATTGAAAGTATATGAATTATCGTTTAGTGGTAGATATGTTTCAAAATAATATTCTATAAAGCAGAATATGACAAATATAATAAATACCCAACATATCCATGCTACCACAACACCCCATTTTTTATTGCTTTCGAAATTGAAGCTGTCCAAAAACATTGCAATAAAAATCGCTACAATTGAGAGTAGGAATGATGTAAACCCAACAATACCATGCACATAGTTAAAAATAAAACGATATTCATCATCAGGTTTACAACGAAAGAATGCAATTATTGGTTGAATAGCAGCAAAACTTATTGTAATTATGCCGATGATTGAATGAGCAAATGAACGTCCTTTATATTGTGGTACCCATTCACCGTTTGAATAAACAAGAATAAGAATAAAGGCAAGTATTGTTAATACACTAGTAGCCATCATTAATGCACGATGAACTGAAAACCAAATTTGTTTTCCTAATATCTTTTGATTTGGCCATGACTTTTTGAAAAACAGTGCCAAAATAATAGCAGTTGAAACAAATAATATCCATGTAAATATCATAATAATGCCATGGGCTTTCATTAAACCTGTGTTTTTAGACCCGAATGAATCTATACCAAAAGTTATAGTTCCCGGTATAGTCAGCTGAATACTATCAGATAATGCGGCGCGTACTGTATGTTGATTCAATCCATCTATTTAATTATAGACTGGTACAAGATGCTCTCATTGAATAGAATCGAAACTTACTTGAACTATCTAAACTTCCCATAGCTATAAGAGGACGGTAAGTCGTTGATTGAGATAATGCAGAGATAGCACGTCGTCGGCGTTTTGAACTAGTAAAATTTGATAACATAAATTCACAATTTACAGTACTATTTTCAAGTTTCAGTAGTGTAACACTAAATTGACCACCTGGATTTCCCATACTACTAGCTGACACTGGATAATCATGACCATTTGGATTAATCAAACGATCAACTAAAATTGTGTCATTAGCTAAGCGTTTACAAACAAAAATATGATCTTCACCCTACATAGTAAAACCTATTTATTTATCACAAATACAAGCAAAAATATTTTTTATACCATTTTGTCGTCAAGTGAAAGACCTAAAGCAAACCATTCAGATGCTTTTAAATCATTGATTTTCATTTTAACATTTGTGTTGCCATTTGCGTAGGTCCAAGTAATATTCATTCCAACATTGTTACTTTGTGTAGTAGTAGTAGTAGTCGTAGTCGTAGCAACACCAGGAGTAACAGCAGTGCCAGTATTAGAAGTGACGCCAGTGATGCTGGACACCGTTGTCTATTATTTATAAAACATAAAACTAATTAATCAGAATTTTCGAAAATGTTTCAACTAGAAATCGAATTAAAATGGTTGAATTATTGAATGCAATAAAATAAAATGGTATTTTATTATACTTACAGCTTTTGATGTACTAGTAGTTACGCTGTTCTAAAGAAATGTAAATGAAAAACATCATTCAATAATAGATAATTGAATCATACATCTTTAGCAGTTAATGAAATATTGAAACAATTAACATATATGGTACTGTATGTTTGAACTATTGTTGCTCTAAAAATTGATAAATACTATAATAAAATGTAATATAATAAAACTTTTGCTTTTGTTCTACTTAATAACAGTTGTTGGATCCGATATACTTGGTGGTGGAGACCAGAGTGCATTGATTGAGTTTTTGTCGTTGTTTCCACTGTGAGTTATAGCAGTATTTGAGATTCCACCACAAGAAAGAGATTTTATATTTGCGTTGCTTGATGACCAAGTACCAATAATTTGTTCAGTTGTTTTCGTTTTTGCTATCAATAGAATACCTCTAAAAGTATCACTACTTGATGAACCACTGACAGTAACTATATATGATCGAAGAAAAATCATTTAATGAAAAAAGTTTTCTTTAATTTATACTTACTACGAACTGTGTCATTTTTATAGTATTCTAGTTTGTCAGATTGAATTACATATTTCGATGAACATGGCTTAGAACCAACGCGGTGGCCAGGAGTCATTGTGGCACATGCAGAACTTGGGGATCCATCCGGGTTCGTATATCCAGGTGGAATAAAGCTCATAATAAAAATAAGTAAACAACAAGTGAAAGAATACATCTAAAAATACATTTTGGAAGAATTACGAAAATCTCACCCTCAAAATATAATAAGAATATAATCTGTCATAGGATTTCTCGTTCAGTTTTATACCTGTCAGAATATATCAGAGTACATATTGTTGGAAATGTATTTTAGTTAAATTTAAGAGATTTTCTTCTTTGGTAAATTGACTGTCCTGATATACATGATCAATATTTACTATCTATTGAATATCAGCTAAATCTTAAAAGTCATCAAAAAAAATCAATAGGAATAAACAAAACGCAAGAAATCTTCTTGTAGAAAACGAAAAAAAAACTGTATTGTTTCACTGTCAACATTGATAAATTACAAATATACATTCTTATATCATTGATCTAGATTACTGTAGAATGAATTTTTTTTTCGTTTTTAATACGCTTCGATAGATATATGTGTGTGTAAAAACCCAAAAGCTACGCGAAAATTAAAGTACAAAAAAAGCATGATATATACAAGCTTATTTTTATTTGCAAATTACTCATACAGTGTCAATTGTGGCCTAACGATATATTTTTCTTCTTTTCATTAGTGGTTTTTTTCGTTCTCTACTTCTCTTGTTATTATTGGTCTCAAGTTATCCAAAAGCATAAATTGTAGAACTTATGATCTGTTTAATGAGAGTTAGGACGTTTCAATAGGACATTGCATAATTTACTTTTATAGGCAATCAAATAGTGTTTTATCGATGTTGTCTACAAAAAACTCATTGAAAGCGAACCAGCTTAATAACATGTTGAATATTTTTTTGTCTCCCTCCATCTAACTAAATAATCCCATCATAGTGAATCACACCTGACTCACATGTAACTTTGATAATAGCAGACTCATACATGGGTCATAGCGCTTTTATCGAGAATTAAAAATAATATTCATCCGTTCCCTTTGATTGCTCTATACAATTTTATCTTCCCTGTTTGTTCCATTTGCTCAAACGATCGAAACAAAAGTACAGAAAATAAAAATTAATTGATAATAAAAAAATGATCATATTAAACAAGCGACAAACACATTGCACAGATTCCGTCTAGCCTTAATTTTGTTTTCTTGTAGACCAAAAAGAATCATCTTGGTAGTTTTTTTCTATAATATTGCATAAAAACTGTGGTGCTTCAAACCATTCGTTTTGTTTTCATTCTGTTACCCTTTATTGATGACTACTTTTTTTATTCTACATCAACAATATCGAAAAAATCAATCTTCAAATGGAAATTAATTACGCAACAGACTATGAGGGTACATTTGTGCTTGTCTTGTTCTCATCAAATTTGCTCCTATAATTGGGCCGAGCAACATACAGACTGGTGAAAGTTTAGACTCGTTTTGAAACTTGCCTGTAAGGTTTGATTACTTTCGAATTCGACGTTGCTTACCTAAAAAAAGACCTGAATATACCATAGAATTTGAAAATGTTTATATGTGTATGCGTATACTATGACGACGAAAAACTAAAAAACACAGAGTGAACTATAAACGGGATCAATCATCGAATCTACTACACGAAAAATATCCCTATCTATATTCTACTCTTTGTCTTCTCTTTATTGAGTATAAATGCCGCCTTAATAAACAAAACTGAAATTAAAATATAAACTTTTACTCGCATGTCACCGTACTGCTTATTTAATCACATTTGCTACAGGCCATCAATAAGTTGTTATTACACCTCACCCCATTCAGAAATAGTACCTGTTACCTATTTCTATGGCCTCTTAAATGTGTTTTTTTTCTGAATAGAGCTATTGTATAATCATTGCTATTAGTAATAATTGACAATATCTTTGCACAAACCTAAACATACCGTTCTCTATTGATAAAAAAAACTCATACTTTCATAGTTGGTCTCAATTATAAGATCAAGTAATGTAAATGTTGTTCTGTTATATTTGTCAAATAAAGAATAATAAAATCAATTTCAAGTGGCTTCATCGACACGACAAAGCATCTGTTTTTGAAATTTTATACTGGCGGAAAAAGAATAGTTATCAGTTATTTTGCCGTCACACGGTTACATACGTCTGCGTATGAGCATATCGTCATTATTGTATGTTACGATAACTAAATTGTCACTCTGATTTTCTGTTAATATTATATATATTTTGTTTTTGATGACATCATGCTTATCTATTACGGAATAGTTTATTAAAAGAAAAAGTATGCAGAAGTTTTCAGCATACGAGTTTTCGCATTGAAAAAACAAACAGGAATATTGTTTTGTTTTAAATATACAGGTATACACGAGCTTTAGAACAACCATGAGAAACTAAACTAAAAACAATCTTAGATGCTTGAAGTAGATCGTCAGTATCCACACTAATTAATACTCATCAAATATTATGCCTTCAAAAGACTTTTATCATTAGAACTAGTGATACTTTTCAATCGAAATGAAATAACAAAAAATGTCAATACAAAATAAATACATGGATTGTTTTACGGTCATTTTATTTTACATTTTAAGGATTGTTTTTTCAATTTTCAATATTCTTATATTTTGATATTCCTGTGAAAAGATCGCACCTGACTTCGAATAGTTTGCTCAAAGAATTATGGCTTTAGCTGTAAAGAAAAAGCACTATATGATCAAAATGATAAACTACGAATTATAATTGTATATTCAGGAAAAATCAAGTTTAATGAGGTTGTATTTGAAAAAATATATTTAATGTGCTGAAAATAATTTTTTTCTTACATATCAAATGATGAAACAAATGGAAGAGATTATTTGTTTTATTTTTTTATTGAACCAAATTTAAATACGAAAAAAATATATAAGGAATGATTCGATAGTTAACAATTAAATGAAATTTTAATTGAATATCCTAAAACAATCAATGCACCCATGTGAATAAAAAATATGAAGTTTTTAACATCATTGTTTCAATAAAAAAATTTCTTGATTGATCAAACAGATCTTGCAAATGAAAGATGATTTTTGTTACAACATCTCATTCGATGTACAGAATTTTGCACAAGGGGGAAAAAGCGGACTTCAAGTAGGAAAAGTAGGGCAAAGTACAAAAGTACTTCCAAGTACTTCAAAGTAGTGTGAAGTAGCTTAAAGTAGCCCAAAGTAGCTCAAAGTAGTAGAAAAGTACTTGAAATTACCGCAAAGTACCTAGAGAATAGTTTGAATTATGGTACATTATATTAGAGTACCACTTAAATCTCTAAAATATATGAAACCAGATTGAACTATGTTTTATTGAATATCCAGTGACCTTTATTGAAACAAGAAAATAAGTGAGCTAGGTATTTCACGAAAAAAAAAACAAATTTAATACTAATAAATGCGGAAACATCGGATTTGCATCCGATTGTTATATGTACTTCAAAAAGCAAAAATGTACATCCATTTTTTTCTGTTCCTACTTCGTCGTAAATGTTTTATATCATGCGCAGCAAAACTAGAAAGAGGAGCGAATACACTATTCAAGATACAACTCATAAAGACTGTTGCGAAATGACGAGCTCTATTTACTTTGAAAAAATAGGTATTGCTCATATGAAAAATAAACAAATATCACACCGACAGATTATCAAGATATATGAGTTTTTCGACACTGATACAGAGGAATCTTGTGAGCAACCTGTTTACCCATATAATTTTGCATAATTTTGCAGCCCATGAAGTTTCCTATCTAATGGTATATGATAGTTGAAGAATTAATTTGATTATGATAAATCTTTGCGGCTGAGAAAAAAAATGATAATAAAATAGAATAGGTCACTATTCACATAGAAATTAAGGATATTTTTTGCGTAACTCAACAAATTCTTAATGGATTACTTTCATCTTCGAACTCGACTGAGATGTCGATGATATAATTCTGTGTACAAAATTCATGACAATTGGATGAGGCTTTCAAAAGTTATCGTGTTAATGGTCGGACGGCCGGACATACTAACCGATTCTAGAGTGTACTCACTTTTTGAGTACACAAAAATAATTCGAAAATCCAAGTGTCAAATTATTACAAACATTTACAATCCAAAGGTTGCGATCATATAAAAAATATTAAAAAAGCTGCAAAAGATTCAAGGCTCACGCAACAAGAATTATCGAGATCTATTGAATTAAGATCCAATCGACCGATATCTTCATCTTCAGCAAATTCACAATTAGATGAAGTTGATGATGCTTCTCCAACTTCTATGCCAACATCTCATACTGAATTCCAGATCGTAGTAAATCAGAGTATGCAAGCTAATAAACGTCGTTTGGCATCACAGTCACAGAATAATCATCCAGTAAAAAGAAGTCGCATTTGAAAGTTTTTCTTCTCAGTTTTAGTTCATTTAATGTAGGTGTGATCTTCGATGTTTTTTTACTTTGCATTGCTTATTTTAAGTAAATCACGGCAATATTTGTTTAATTTAAATGTGTTTGCTAGGTTTTCTAGGAAATGTTAGAATATAATACAAAAGTCATCGCATAATATGTAATAAATATATTTTTAGTATTGTGCCATGACGTTCTACCATAGATAAAGTTTCTTGAAGCACTTCAAAGTTATTTGAAATACGTCGAAGTTACTTGAAGTACAAAAGTCCGCTTTTTCCCCCTTGATTTTGCATCTCACATACTAGATGAATTTTGAACTAATACAAAAATAAATGTTTCTCGAATACCACTTTTTCTCATTCTCTCATATAATCAACTATAAATAACCAACCCGACACAATTCTAACCTTACTAAAATCAGTCGAAGAGAGGAAAATAAAAACATACTGTCAAGTTACGAAAAACGCCTGATGTTGAAGAAGAAACAACAACAGCAAGTATATTATTTGAGTGATAGAAAATTATTTTTCGATGATTGTAATTGAGGTTCATATCTGACAGAGATATATTAAATGAAATTGATGATTGTAAAACATATCGAATGAAAATCAAAATTTCGATAATAATCAATAATTAAACGAGTGGGAAGTAATAGAATCTCTATCAATCAATATGGTATGATATTTGCATTCATACAAGCTGATTTAATAATAACAATATGTTTATCAGGATTCACAGTAGGTACATCTTCATAATTAATAAAAAATAAAATCTTCTAAACATATGATTAACATCAATAGCTATTAATTCAGTTGTATAATGTCCATTATTTGTTTTAAATCCATATACAACCATAAATACGATCAGTTACAAAGAGATTTTACTCAATCGCACAGAACTTACGAATTATTTCGATCAATATATATAAACCATAATTTGATGATTTTTTTGTGGAATACAGATGAAACCGGCAAACCTCATCTACTTTAGATATTAGAAGATCAATTGTTCAACCCCTATGTATGAATCAAATAAAGCATCCGCGTTGTTAAAATTGAATAGAAAAATATGTTTGATCTTGCTACGTAATTAGAAATATTAGGGTGTGGGTGTGGGCGTGTATGTAGGTTGCCAACTCAGTTGATTACCAAGTCAGATGGGGTTAATTAGTCAAGTCACTATTAAAGTAGTTAGTGAGGATAAAATTCTATATCTATAATGGATCAAAGTTGATTCGATATTTTTCGGTCAAAGTTTTTATTCGGAGAAGTTGGAGTCGGCGAAAATAAAACTCGGCGAAGCTGTACTAATTCATCAAGATGAATGCTTCCTTTTTACAAAAGTTCGCAGCATAAAATCGATTTTTGTTTTTCATTATGGAAGTTGCATCTAAATGAAAAAATTTTTGATTATATCGTAAAAAAAAGCAAAAAAATATGAGCATGTGTTCTTATCTTAATCAGCTTCAGTAATAGCCTGCACAACTCTCTTTTACTTGCTTCATTTGGTAATATTAATTGACCCGTATCATATATTTGAGGCAACAGATAGAACAAACAATTAGAAATCGATTGCTACTTTTGAACACATGCTACATTAAACAAAAACAGTTTCATTTCTCTCTCTCTCTCTCTCTCTCAATATTTCTCAAGAATCGAGTCAGTACTGTCAATAACATACTAATTGATTTCTTTTCTTTTGTCGAAAATCGAGCGATCATCTTGTTTACGCACAGCTAACACCAACTATCAAATGAATAACAAATTAATTCTACGAAAGTTGTAATATATTTCAAATTAAAAGACGATTAATAGTTTTTTTCTCTTCTATACGAAATTTCGGAAACAATTCTTTCACATGCTAACAAGTGACATATCTGCTTATAATGTCCTATGTTAGTTATCTTATCTTGAAAACATGTTTTTCTAATATTTCTGTGGTCAACTGATCGAACTATTCTGTACGATTTGTTTTACTTTTTCTTTCTTCCAGGCGTTGTTTTATTCTATAGTAATACATTTTGTTTTATTCCTAAAGAATAATAAAGATTGTGTAAAAGATAATTCATTTTTCTTTATGTTTAGATAGCTCAATGAATATTAAGACTATTCTTCCTTCACTGTTGTTATCAATCGATACAATTTTTATTACTTCATAAGACATTTTGTTTTCTCCCACATATTTGATGGTCATTGTCACGTCGTACTGGTATTGATATTCATGAAATAGTTGATATAGCAACAAAAGATAATAAACACAAACAAAAATGAAAAGAATATATTGGGGAAATTGTTGATAATTTACAATGAGAAATTAATGAACATGGTGAACATATTAGTTTGAAACAAATATTTGTGTAATAATCTAGAATTTACATTTGACTATCTTGAACTATGGTTGGAGTATGTATGTTCTGTTTCTAATCATCAAACACAAGTAACTTAGTTTTTCTCGAAGTAAATAAATAATTTATTACTCTTTTTCTAAATCAAAACTTTGAAAATTTTTCGATTGTTGTAGCTTACTAATGAACTACGGAAAAAGTTCTATAAAAAAAAGTTAAATAATTAAAACAAACGTGAAAATGAATTAGATAGTGAACCACTTACAACAGAAGTAAAACGTCAATTATCAGATCCTATAGATTTATTAGAAAGTTATGATCCAATTCGATATCGACCCAGGTCGAACAGTTCGGCCTGGGAGCAGCCGGTTCCGGGTAGTTCCGTTGGTTTTGTGGAAGCAGTATTCCGGTTGGAAATTTTTCGCATTTTTTCAGGTGATTTCCGATCAATTCCTGCCGGACAGCACCGGAACTTGGCAGTAATTCTCCGGAAAAGTCCGGCCGTATTTTTGACCGGAATACTGCTTCCATGTTCCAGCGATTTCCCGTGTTTTCCTGCAGGATACGGTGACTTTCCCGCATATATTCTAGTGGCGTAACCACCGGAGGGGGGGGGCTGAGCCCCCCCTAGAAATATTTCTGTTTTAGCTGTTATTTAATGTTATTCTAATTTTTTCGAGCGACTTTTGTGTGAGAGAACGCAATTTACATATTATTCTTGATCAANGGGGGGGGGGGGCCGCGCCCCCCCCCCCCCCCCTAGAAATATTTCTGTTTTAACTGTTATTTAATGTTACTCTAATTTTTTCGAGCGACTTTTGTGTGTGAGAACACTATCTACATGTTATTCTTGATCAACAATAGTAAATAAGAAAGAAAAAGAACAATTCTGTTCTGCTGGTGTCGTCTATATACAACGTGAGTAATTGATCGTCCCTTATCTGTTCAATGGCGAAACGTTCGTCGTGACCAACAACAGTAAAGAGAAAAGAAAAAGAACAATTCTGTTCTGCTGGTGTCGTCTGTATATAATGTGAGTAATTGATCGTTGTCCATTTGTCTAATAATGACATTTTCTTCACGAAAATTTCATAAAATGAATAGCAGAGAGGAATAGTCTGTTTGTGAATAGTGTTGTGACCAGTGTCATATAAAAGAAATCTAGCTGTTGTTTTATATACATCTTTCTAATTTCACTTAACACTTATTTCGACTTGCATTACTTCATCTAAACGTATGATCACATATAACGAAGAAGCACAACAACAATGTACAATCGCCAAATAAAGACATCGGAACGCTCGAAAGCTTTTGGTCAAAAAGACAGAAAACAGATCAAGTATCAAATGAAACTCCTAAAACTTTGGATACATTTATTGCTATCACGACCGAAACGCAAAATATTTCGGTTCTATCTTCAGCAGATCAAGTTCAAGTAGTTACCAACTGTGTTGCTTCCTCATGCGATCTCAGTATTTCGGCCGCCCATCCACCAATGCGACCAGTCCTGTCCTCCTATCCTGTCAATCACGAAAATCGCTCATTTCAATCACAATGGTATCAGAATCGTCCATGGCTCGAATATTCTATTAAGAATGACTCTGCTTACTGCTATTGCTGTCGGCATTTCGGTGAATCAGTTCAAACTAAATGTTTTCAAAGTGATGCTTTCACTACAGGCTTCAACGCGTGGAGACGAGCACTCGAAAAAGATCGTGGTTTTGATAAACACGTAAAAAGTATTCTCCACATAACCGCAGCAAAAAATTACGATGGATACAAGAATCGTTTACAATCAAACACCAGTGTAATTAATTTACTTGATAAATCCAGAACGGAGCTAATCAAACAAAATCGAGCAAAACTGATGAAAATCTGTTCAACAATTTTATTATGTGCCCGCCAGATGATCGCTCTGAGAGGGCATGTGGAAAACGAAGAGTAAGTGTTCTTTTAAAAGTTATGTCTAGTAATTCAGGATTAATTTTTGTCTTCATCACTTTCAGATCAAGAAACCGTGGCAACTTTATCGAAATATTACAATGGGCTTCATCAACGGATAGTCTCGTGAATTCAATTCTGAACGATTCAAACTCAAATTCTACTTATTTATCGCCTACAATTCAAAACGAAATTTTGAACATTTTAGCTGATCAAATACGGCGGAAGATTTCTGGTGAGGTAAATAATAACAAAGAAAGACATAACTTGTAGAAAAAAAGTTTTACTTCGGTGCTTTTCAGATAAAGAATCGACCATTCGTTCTAATGGCAGATTAATCAAAGGACATAACTGGCAAAGAACAAATGTCAGTTGTACTTCGATATGTTGATGCTGAGAACGAGATACACGAACATTTCATGGGATTTATAAAACTTGATCAATTAGATGCGAAGGCGTTGTCAGACAAATTATTCGAATTTTTGCAGAAGTGTGAAATTCCAATTGAGAACTGTATTGCACAATGTTATGATGGGTATGTACATGTTGTTCATGAAAAAACCTTCCAAATAGTCTTTCTTCTTGTTGTTTAAGTGCCAGTGTTATGAGCGGTAGTCAGGCGGGTGTTCAGACTTTAATGCGACAAAACTATATGCCTAGAGGAATTTATATACACTGTTTCGCCCACCGTCTTAACTTAGTTATTGGTGATGTCTGCAAAGTTGTCTCTTATATTGATGAATTTATGGCAATTTTATCAAAGATACATGAATATTTTACTTGGTCAAGTGTTACCAATGAATATTTTCGTCATGCTCAATGGTCACTTCAATTAGGTAATCTTTTTGAAGAACTTCTTGAAATTTTTTCATTTTCCATTTCTTCTTACGGCTAGATACTTCTTCTAGTCTTAAGCGATGGGCACAAACTAGATGGGATAGTAGATGGATTTCTATTGACGCCTTAAAGAATAATTATTCAGCTATTATCACTGCGTTGAGTGATCTGATTGATAACGGAGGGCACAGAGCAATTGATGCTCGAGGACTTCTAGCAGCTACTCAAGAACCATTGTTTCTCGTCTCTATGTTCATTCTGCACATCTTGCTTGGTCCAATCAAGATACTCAGTGATCAATTAAAATGTAAGCTTTTCCTATTATTTTGTAAAAGGGCAACTATTTCTTCTTCGTTTGTCATAGCTATCTCAATTGATTATGCTAGTGCGAAAGAATTCATTCGATCAATAATTGACCAAATTAAATTTATGCGCAATGAAACAACATTCAAGTGCTTAATCAACGATGTTGCAGACTTTGGAAAGAAGCACAACATCAATTTGGATCAACCAACAAGACTCCGACGAAGAGCCTCGATACCTACCAGATTTAAAGACTCAGTTATCTTTACAACAACTATTGGTCAACGAGATCGAGGAGACCAGCAATCATTCAAGTCAAATGAAGACAAATTTCGGCAGGAACTATTCTATTCACTTATTGACTCTATACTTCTTGAACTGAATGATCGTTTCGGCGATGAAAATATCCTTCTTCTTGCAAGCGTATCAGCTGTTCATCCGAAAAATCAAAAGTTTTTGGATACTGAAGAACTCAAACCACTAGCATCTCATCTTACAATTGACATTAATCAACTCGATAACGAACTCAATGTTGTCAAACATTTTATTCGTGAGAAACGAACAACGATGAATACCACCAAAGATCTATTGACTGAATTGGCACCAGTGAATGACGCATTTCCAGCAACAACTTCTCTACTGCGGGGTGCTCTATGTTTACCTGTCTCATCAACTACCTGCGAACGCAGTTTTTCTCGTATGAAATTGATAAAAACATATTGTCGAAACTCAACAGGTGACGAGCGTCTCAGCGATCTTACAGTTTTAGCTGTTGAACGGACTTTCAACATTGATTTGGAAGAAACAGTTGATATATTTAGTACAAATCACCAAAATAGTCGCATTTTGCTTCGATAAAGTGAATGTAAATATTTTTGACTTTTTTAATTATATTTGTAAGTTATTTTTGTTGTTTTGTGTATTTATGTAATGTATATTGCTGTTTTTCTTTAAAATGCTACTCTTGACATGAAAAATAGTTACTGAAAAATATATTAGTGAATATCAAGCAAGTACAACATCTCGTAAAAAAAAGATGGAAGAAATTCAGTTTTTAATTGGTTCTAAAGAGTCTTGGGGCCGAGCCCCCCCTAGCTTAAAATCCTGGTTACGCCGCTAATATATTCCCTGGAGTATTCTACGAGATCGAGTGGCCGGAATGTTCGGCCTGGGGAAGTAGAAATTTTATATCATCATCATCAATTCAAATAACATCAACAGAGAAATTAAATGAAACTTATTGATTATTATTAACAGTCAAACGATACTCTCTCATATCTCTACAAGACGAATACAATGTTTAAAATAATGATCGATATGCATTTATTAATAGTCAAGTTTTCATTTTTAAATTTCAAGCAAAATTTCTTAATATATAGGTATAAATAAAGTTGGTCGTGTTTTTTTAATTTATAGTTGTTGTATTTTTGCTTCAGTTCTGCTTTCATCCTCTCTCTCAAGATACCTTCAATCAGTTAAATAGGCTTAATCATAATAGAAAACAAGTAAAAAACTTATAAATATCAAAAAAAATTTTCATTGTTCTCATTTCAAGGAAAGATCTTTTATGTTAATCATTATTACTTTTTTTCGATTATCTGAAAAAAGCATAAATGAACCAATATATCGATTTGATTAATTTATTTCAGATAAGCCATGTCAGCTGAATATATGCGACAGAAAACAATTCCAATAAATCAACAATCTGAAAAACAAAACTGTTTTTTAGAAGCAATTATGAAATCTGATTTAGAAGCATTTGATATATTATTAAGTGATGATCTTATAGTAATCAATCATTCTGCCTCATCTTGTTATAATTATAATATTTTTCAATTTATTGTTGTATATTCAACACATAAATTTATTGATTGTGTAATTACTAAATATTTCAATATGATTAATAATTTAACTGAAGGTGGCAAAAATCTTGTACCAGTAGCATGTGAAAGAGGTTAGATATTAATATTAAAACGTAAACCTATTCATTTTATTTTGTTTAGGTGATAAGAATGTATTAAAAATAATTTTAACATATTTTGCATTTGCATCACTTAATGATACAAGTAGTTCAAAACAATCACATAATTATTTAGGTTGTGATAAGCCATATTCAATTGAACTTACAGAATATAAAAATGACATTCCATTATCTTGCGTTATTCGTGATAATCATCCTGATTTTTTATTAATTTTATTTAAATTTAAATCGTTTACATTTGATTGTTTTACAAAAGAGCAGAAACACGAAATATTTCATCTTTGTTTATTAGCTGAATATCGTCGATATACCATGGATAAAAATAAGTTGAGATAGTTCAAAAATCAATCATCTAAATCATTGTCTTCATGCGGTTCTACCCCGGTCGAAGAAAACGATCAGTAAACGGTCATGTACGATACAAATACGGCCGTATATTCTATAGGATACGATAATATTACGCCGGCTTTACGAGGTTTTACGGCTGATATACGGTGTCCGTGTATGGCCGTAATACTGCCCCTATTAAAACGCCGTAATTCGGCTTAAAACAGCCGTTTTACAACGGAATACGATGCAAAAACGACCGTTTACGGTAATGTTACGCCGGTTTACGGTGGTCCGTTTTGATCAACCTGGGTATTGAATGTCTTCGTTTAATTGTTGAACATGCTCATTTTAATCCATTTGATCTTATATTATCTGTATCACCATTTTAACTTATACTCAAACCAATCTATATTTACTTAAAATATGTATATAATGAAATCTATACACATGTAGACGTAATAATTCCAGCACAGATATTATCAGTATTATATAATTTAATTAATAAGCAAATGGAATTAGATTGTTGCCTTATAACGCATTGTTGTTTTCAACCAACAGAATATGATTTAGATCGTTTAGCTGAATGAAATTATTATATTACAGAAATATATTATCAAACTGATTTATATCAGTCACTTTTATCTTTAAAGTTTAATGTAAAATTTTTAGAAAAAGTTGATAAAAAAGATAATAGTGAATGTTTGACATTAAAACGTATTTGTCGCTTTAAAGTTAGAAATTATATAAGAAATCAAAAATATGTTCTTATACAAGTGGAAAAACAATTTAATTAAAATTCTGTATTAAACAAATACTTAAAATGTCTTAATTTGAAATAAAAGTTTTGTTAAATTATTAATGACCAAGAATATGTTTAGTATTATACTTAAGAACATACGATTTATTTTGTTTTGATTATTGAGAATGAAAGGTGTACAGTTGTGTATGAGAGGAGAATGAATGATCTAAATGTTAAAGATTTTCGTGTTCACATCGTTTTTTATTACTCGTTCATTCAATTGGCGTATACATTCAAATGCTTGTCGAATAGGTTGATAATCATGATGATCAATAGGTATATATTTAAGAATTTTTTCAATTAGTTATGGATGAATAGATAATGTGCAACATGTTGTATTGATTTTCTTTGAAAAAACCATTCAATGATAACCCATTATAGTTTTATCTTGAAACATTTCTAAACTTGTACGAAGTCAATTATTTAAATCAGTTTTAGACTGTAAATATTTATTTGCTTTTCATTAACTATTAAAATATCAAAACTAATAATCAACCATAAATGGTAAACATAAACAAAGAATTTCACCGATTCGCGTCAATTCATTCATTGTCATAGATGATCTTGAATTGAATGATTACGGAACAGAACTGTCATTTAAATCGTCAATACTTATCAGACATTTTGGATTTTAATTGTTAGAGGATGAAGTGTAACAACGAAAATGAAATCCAATACGATCGTTTAATCTATGCGTATAGGAGGTGAATGAGATACTTGACGAGAAAATTAATTATGGTGAGGATCGACAACATGCTTAATCCTTTCTAGGTAGTTTTTCTGTAAGAAATCAATCGTTTTTATCAGTTTATCTAGCATGCCTCAACATATTCTCACAAAGCCTTGATGGTAATCATAAAAACGTTTTTTCTCATCGTTTACACAAAAACTAATATCCAACTCCAGAGAATATACTGAGTTAAAAGTACCCGAAAAAGTACCCTGGTATCAGTATGTCACAAGAATTTTTGGGTACTATAACGTATTTGTAGGTAATTTTATGTATGAATAATCGGTTTGAAAGATGAACTGCTTGTCTGATCACATTTGAAGACAACATTCCAATTAGTTCAAATTTTTGTTCTTTTATACAGAAAAACCAATTCATTAACAGTATGAATATAACCTCAGTAGTAAATCAAGGGCTGGTGTAAATTTCAGCTGTATTTTGTCTCGAACAACGACTTTTATAACATCTCCCTCTGGTATGAGAATGGTCCTCCTTTTCCTCCTTTTTCTCAAAAAGCGTCCTCCTTCTCCTCCTTTTCACCTAAAAATCCTTCTTTTCCTCCTTTTGTCATTTAAGATAAAAAATCAAAATTTTAAATATTTCAAGCAAAACGTTTTGATGAATCAGCAATTCAAAAGATATTTCGAGTAATTCATATTAGCATTAACACGACAAGGTATTCATTTTCAATGAAAGTCAAATTATATTTTGAGTTTCTAATACTATAGAATCGACATCTCATGCAATTAGATAGAAATGTGAACAATCACGTATTCATTTTCAATATGTAACATTAAAAGATAATACAATTGCAATTGCAATTACGAAGATAGAGGAAGAAAGAGAAAAAAGAACAAAACAATTATGTAATTATTATATGTACCCAGGTGAATCAATCCGATACCGAATCCCATCGGATTCTATGGGGTCCTACCATCCGACGAAATCCCGTTGGATTCCTGGCTGAGGAATCAATGTCGGATCCGACAGTCGTATTTCCAATGATAACCGATTGTCCGAACCAATGAAATCCGAAGCGTTCCGATTCCGATTGACGGCTACTGTCGGATTTTATTAGTTTCCGATATTAGGATCCGATATCGATTCCGGAACCAGGAATCCGACGATAATCCGATAGTTTCCTTGCGCCTTCCGAAGAGCTCCGTCGGATTTCAATAGGAACCGATCGGAACTCATCAGATCCTAGGCTAGGATTCATTCTCCTGGGTATAAATGTCGTTCGCTTTTTCTTTTGTTTTCTTCATGTATTGCGCTTTACGCAAGTTGTAATTAGATCGTCTTTTAATGCTATTTACGTATTAAGAATTTATACATGAATATTTATTTTACCTTCGAATATTTTTATTTCTTGATGATTACAACTCCAAAGGATTGAAAACTCGAAATAAGGTTGTTTTCTTTTGTACAAACTATATCAGTATTAATTCAAGACGAAAATATTTATTGCGACAAATACTAATGTTTAAATTTATGGTACACTACAGTTAGATCATTTTCTTTGTAATAATCAGTTGTTTGATTTCATTTACTATATTTTGTTCTAAGTGATTGCTTTTTCGAGCTTTTTGTTTAAAATTTATACATAAACATTTGTTGAAATTATGTTAAATGTTTTAATAAAACCTATTAAGAATACTAATAAGCTCGAACTTGCGTAGATGTCTTATTTTTTCGAGAAGACAGAAATCCTCCTATATTCCTCCTTTTTTACATCAGATCCTCCTTGATATTTTCAATGATAATCCTCCAAAATCCTCCTTTTTTTTATAAAATAGCGTTAACATACCAGATGTATACGAAATCTCATCACTAAACAAGGGCTCACTTGACGTGAATTTGCCCTATGACGTTTTTATCCTAGCCCTGCCCTGCTGTATCACATAGATTTTTCATTTTACACTCAATCATATCCTTTGAGTTTCAGATTCAAGTAATAGTCACCTTGAAATGTTAATTCTTCACTTTGTTTCAACATATTTTATTGCTTTTCAACGAGAATCAAATGCAAAATTAATAAATATCTCGAAGGTTTCTGTTAAGAATAAAATGTCATTAACAACATCACTTAAATTTTATCTTCTGTCTTCTGAAACTCTCCCATTTGCACTAAAGAATGCGTTTATTTCGAGATGAGTTCGTAGACATTTTTTATTACATTTATATGCACATGCACATTTGCTCGAGAAATAATCAAAAGTGAATGAACTCGTCAACTTATGTAAGAAATAGTACTAAACAATAGGCCATTGTTTTATGTTCGTTGTGATTCTATCTAATAAATTTAGATTATAATCTGACTCCGTACAGTTTTTTGGCAAAAAAGATGTCAAAAATATATATTAAGTTCATACTCTGTCAAATTTTTATTTATGTGAACAATACCCTAATTATACCCTACATATTTGCTTTTAGCAACCTTATCCTGGCCTGCCCTACGAACTTTGTTACTCTAGCACTAGGACAGGGCAAGCGTACGAAATTATATGATAGGGCAGGAATTACAATCAGTTTGTTTCTTTTTGTTTAATGGTCAGACGAAACCTTCAAGTTAAACACTGCGTATCTTAAAATAGACAGCATTAACTGTATATAGTGATTACTAAAAACTTTTCAACATATCTCTTTTCATTTTTGTCTAAAGTTCGAAAGAATTCAAAACACGATTTCCATGAAAATAAAAATTATTGCAGAATTTCTCAAAAACCGAATCTTTCCGAAACAGTAACTTCGAGTTTTGTAGCAGTTAACATGAGCAAAAAATATATTTGTTTCTCAGCTATATGAAATGATAGAGTGAACAGTTCTTTTGGCAATGAGGTATTATTCAGCTTTCGACGATATCTTATTTGAATTGGGGCACAGTCTTATGATAGATAGCACTCAAGAGAGTTCAAAACAAATCTCCTTCTGTCAACAAGTGTTATCTTGATCGTACTATATACTTTGAACTTTAAAATTGTAACCATATATTTTATATGACAAAATAGGAGAATTTTCGCATTTCAGAGATTTTGTCTTAAGCGACTTGGTAATCAAGTGTTGTTCCATTAGTTTTTGTTGAAGATATTTTTCTCTACTCAAACTAATATTTGTATTCTTTTTAGGACATGACATTCAAAAAAAGAAAAGAAAAGCGAATCTAAAGAAACCTTGTAGAACAATTTTAATAGTTACAGTTCATTTAATAGTATTCTATGCATGAGTTCACCAAACAATCTATCTTATTAAATAATATAATTGTGTTTAAATGAATTAATCTATTTCTTTACTTTTGTTCGTAATTGAATAGCATATAAATTTATTTACATTCATAATCTTATCAAAACCTTGAACAACTTCTTACACTTCTTGTTCTTGAACATTATTCTTCGTTATTTCAATGATACGAATAACCAAAATTGTTTATAAAGATAATTTTTTTTTCTCAATTACATCACGCTAGAAATATCTTGGTTTAAATAAAAACTTATAATTGACATCCTTTTGACTTTGATTTTTCAAAAATGATAATTAGAAGGAAAAAAAAGAAACTATCACATGTACATCATTCAATTATAACCAGTTAACGCATGCATACATGTCTTCTTAAAAAATGCTCGACAGAAGCAAGAAAGCATGCATGCATACATACATATACGATAAAATATGCATGATTCTCCCTTAGTGAACAATATTTAAAGCAATGTAAAAGAACAACAATTTGCAAAAGATGATTAAAATGTAAAAGAAATATGCTCTATTAAATAAAAGAGAAAAAAAAACGAAACTTTTATTTGCATACCTCAGGCTAGAAAAATTTAAACGACATTGATACTTCTGTTTATTTCTTTCAATCACGTCATCATTTTCATGTGGCCATTTAAACAAATAATGATAACATTTCAATGACAACAAAACGTACTAAAGGCAAGTCTTTATAAATTCATTTATTTTGCGTTTTGCATTGATATGATATTAAGTAGCTTTTGCTTCACTCGATCTTGTCTTACCAGTTGCTCCTCACTATCGTACTGATCCACAAGTGCTCAAAGACATTGAAAAAATGCGTACCAATGCAGCTAGTCGATGGGCTAAATATGAATTCTCTCATTCTCCGTCGGGACATTCTAATAATAACAATGACAATACATCAAAAATATCATCATTAGCACGGCCAAAATTAGAAATTTTACGTGCTAATTCACCTACATTGAAACGTTTAGTAGCTGCACGTAATAAACTTGAAAAATATGCTGCTTCAATTCCACGTAATACTTCCGCTAGTCGACAGTCAGTACGTTCAGCACGTGAAACACCTTATCAAATAGCTCAAGAAAAGCCAGCATCTGTATTGTCGAAACCAATTCATGAAAAAGAACCGCCACGATTATCAAAACCAGCTTATACGCCAGCGCCAATTCTTTCACAACCTCCATGTCCAATAAAACCGTTGAAATCTCAATCAAGTCTTGATCATGGACCACTTGATAAAATAACTTATGAAAAAACATGGACACGTAGTGGTAGTATGAAACAAAAGTGTTCATTAGAAATTTGGTTACCTAAGCCTGCTCTCGATGATGATGATCCCAATACTAGTCGAACAGTAACACCACGCATAAATACAATTGAAAAATTGTCTCAAACAATACCTATTGCAAAAAGTCGTCGATCGAGTGTTGCTAAAATAACAGCAACTTCAACCATATCCAATATTGAAGATAAATCATTAGAAGAGATACCAGCAAAAAAATCTGAATCCACCGTTGTACCACGTGTGTATCATTATGGAGATTATATTATGGATATACCTGAAGAACGACCGCGTTCAAGTAAAAGCGTTACAACAGTTAAATCAGATGGTACTTGTTCAATTAAAAGTTTTCGGCGTCAACATTCACGTCCACATACTGGTCGGCACTCTATATCAACAAATAATAGTGAAGAAATTCTTCGATTTGGAACAGTAGAAGTACCAACATCAGCAAAAGTATCATCCATAAAAATAAAATCGGCTAGTTCAAATCATGATATGAAACCTGCTGCGAAATCGAGTAATCCATCGATGATTAATGAATTAATGCAAAAATATTCATTAATAAAGAAAAACCATCAAGAATTAACACAAGCTAAATTGCAACTTGAAAAACCTAATCATGATTCAAAACCAAATTCAAATCTAATGAAAGGTATTCAGTACTATGAATAATTATTAAAATTTGTATTTTATTTTATTTTATTAGATAATTCAACACGACCTCGACCACCTCCTGTGCCTGAATCAACATCACTTGTTTTATCTGATCATCCATCTGTTTCAGTAAAAAAACTTTTTCTTGATGCATCACACTCACGTTCAGTTATCGATCATAATAATACAAATACAAAACTACTTGAACGGCGTTCAACGCCTCGTAAACAATCTCATCCTGATACGTATCCTCAATTACGAATTTTTTCTCTTGCTAATCAACAACAACATCGTCAGTCATCAGCATCTACTGCTAATACTGCTTATTTACCAGCTGTTAATGGGAAAAAACCCGATGATACATTACGGATTTTACAACGCAGTAAAACGCTTGATGTTGTCTTAGATATTCCGAGTTCGGTTAATCCTCCATCGCGTATACCTATTCATACAGATAATTCATCATCCCATCGAATTCAACGTACAACAAATACATTCATTGAACAGATGCCTACAAGTATCTCAAATCGATCAGCACCTAATCTTTATTCCGAACAAAGCAAACAACAAATGAAATCATCTATCACTCAAAATGCTCGGCCAAATTTTCCTCGTTCGCCACCCACAACAAAAGTCACAAGTGTTTCAACAAATAAAGTACTTATTCATTTTAATCATAGTAATGCTGGAACTATGGATCGTAGTTTTCTTGTACCTGAATAGATTTTTCTTATCATCCTTTTCAATAAAATGTAAACTTATAATTTTTGATACCCTTCAAATACTGTTATGATTATCTTTTAAAATTCAAGTAAATCGTTTCGAATGATTCATATGATTTATTTGGCATTTCTTTTCGATACATAAACACATACACACGAATATGTATATATATATATATATATATATAAATAGAATATGGATGATACATTTACACAAACCAAGTAAAAGACACCTGTACATAGCATATGTTTTATCTAATTTTTTAGATCCGAAACTAAGAAAACGAAATAGAGAGAGGAATACACATACATAAAGAAAAACTGTAAATAAACACGAACAAAAACCGATTGAAAATTATGACTAGTAAGAATAGATCTTTAATTTTAAATGTCAATCATGTCAAGTAAAGTAGATTTATTAATATTAGCACAAACAGGTGATTGACATCGAATTATATTTTCATTAGAAGTATAACAATTCAAAAAACTTATACCTATTGTTTGATTTCTAATCATGCGTTCGATACGTTCATCATTTGGTATAAGATCATCAAATGTATCTTGACTAGAATGATTACAATGTGGAAGATCATCTTCTGAATGTGCACAGACATTTATAGAAGTTGAAGATTGAAGTACGATGGGTTCTTCATATTTATTAGTATTATAATTGTTTATTTCCTTAACAGTATTTAATTCTGAGAGATCATCAGTTGATATCACACGACATATTCGATTACTATTATGATTCACAAGACCTAAGGCGCGACGTTGAGTAGAAATTGGTGTAGTAAATTTGTTTTTATTTAAACGAATCGGTGTTGTTATAGATTCTGAGCACATTTTAAAATCATTTACACTTGTTGTATTAATAAATTTCAATTGTTTATTACTATTTGAATACGATGTTAAGTTATTCAATGTTGTCGATGATAACATACCATTACGTACTAAAATTAAATTGAACATAGTTATATGAAATTCAAATAGTTTTTATGTCTTGAAAACTAGCAACAAAGATTAGATAAATTCATTGAGAATCTTTCGATAAGCAACTTAGGTTCTCGATCTTCTTATTAGCTTCTGAAAAGAAGCTTCGTATGTGTGGCAGGCGAGTTTGGACTAGTTTTTTCTTAATTTTTTTAATAGAATTTTTGTTGAGATCTGACTTCAGAAATTTTTATATTGAGAATTATTCCTTGCATCTTTTTATAATGAGTTTTTAAATAATTCAACTCTGTCTATTTTTTAACTATGGGGGCATTGAATTTATCTGAGAAATATTTCTTCTCTATTCTGTTTTTCTATAATCCATTATCACGAGCAGAAAATATTTTTTCGATTAATTATTTTTTTCGCGCATTGCAATCTCAACTGAAATTCTCATGTCAACTGTGACATATGCGTCTATCGTGGCCGATGAGTATAAACTTCGCATTCCTCTGTATAAAAGAAACAAAAGTTACCTGGTGTACGAATTGGATTACGATGTGGTATTTAAAATAAAGGAAATTCACCGCGATTTTCTTTAGTTCGTGCTGCTGTCATCATTCTTTTTTTTGTGCATTTATTAATATAAATATGATCTAAACCCAGATCCATCATTCAGACCGTCTGAAAGGCGGTATTAAACTGCCTGAAACGGTCAAGAAACGGCATAGTTTATGCCCTAAATGATGAAAAACGACTGACGTTTTTCACCGTTTGACGTCAGCTCGGATTACGGGCCGTTTCTCCCGGAACGTTAACGATGTCGTTTAACGCCGTTTCCGATGACAAACGGCCAGTTATAAAAGGACTCTATTTTCGTCCTTTATCTCGTCGTTTTTGACCTTTTAAAATGACCGTTGCGTTGACCGTATATATTTTATTTCTCAAAATAAGAAACAATAAAATAAAAGTAAAATAAAATATAAATACAATAAAATTAAAATTAAATCAAATTATATTAAAATACTAAAAAATTTTAAAATGAAAATAAATAAAATAAAATATAAATACAATAAAATTAAAATAAAATTAAAATAAATTGAATTAAGATACTAAAAAATAAATTAAGCAAAATTCTAAAAATAAAGTATATAAATAAAATTAAAATACAATAAAATGAAAATAAAATGAAATGACGTAAAACAAACGGAAGAAATACAATAAAATAACTAAAATTCTAAAAGTAAAATGAATAAATACGATACAATGAGCATAAAGTACAATGAAATAAATCCAATCCAATCAAATAGAAGTTCAATGAAATAACTAAAAAAATAAATTAAATTAAATTAAATTAAATACAAATAAAATACAAAATAAAATGCAAATAAAATAAAATAAAATAAATTAAAATAAAATTGAATTGAATTAAAATACTAAAAAATAAATTAAACAAAATTCTAAAAATAAAGTAAGTAAATAAATAAAATAAAAATTCAATAGAATAAAATTACATGCAACGAAGCTAAAGAAATATGTGGTAATCATCAAAAGATTGAACGAATACTTCATCCAGCGGTGCTGAACGTGTACTTCACATCATTCATATTTCAGAGTAAAAGAGTTGCAGAACGGTAGAAAAACGTTGGTCTTCAAAGATCGTCGTTTTCGGAGACAGCGAAACCGCTACCTGACAGGCCACCGTTTTTCACCGTATCACTCTGTTTTACGGTGCTTCGTAAACGGTTATCATAACGATAGCCGTTTTCCACCGTTTTTCGATCGTTTGCGGACCGTTCTCTACGACATGGGAAACAATGCAAAATTTCATCAGTCAGTTGACTTCATACAATCACATTCTAGCATTTCTGTCCTAAAAGACTTTCACAGCTTTCTCAAGATTAATACCAAAGCTATAGCAGGATTGCATTTAGTTCAGGTTTATTTCACAGTTCTTAGCAATACACCAAACAAATCAAGATGATCATTTAGTTATAGACATGAAACTACAATCAATCTGATGTTATGTACACTCAAATACAAAACTTATATTCGTTTTCGTATTTCTTAGACGAGACGAAGTATATCAAAAAAACAAAGAAAAATAATTAAGAATAAGCAGTCCAAAAAAAAAGAATCATATTTAGTTTGTCATCGTTTTCACATGTTATTAATTCATTGGATCTGGTTGTGGAGATGGACCTGTCGCGCTTGTATCCTGTGTTGTTGGTACTGTCCCTGCTTGACTTTCGATAGCATTAGGCGCATTTAAACCTTCACCGGGTGGATCATAGGAAATATTAAACATTTCGCGTACTTCGGACGATGCTTTACCACGAACCATATTGGCTATTGTTTTACAACCAACAGCTAGTAATGTTTTTATTCCCAAATAATTAGCAGCCTATTCAAAAGAATTAAATATCGAATATTAATTTTGTTTTCATACACGAAATACTTGCCATAATGATGTCAAAGAGTGTACCTTCTTGCACAGTAAATCTTTTAATAAAATTTTGATCCCATTCACAAATATCATCCGAACTGAAACGAAAACTTTCAAGTTTAAATTTCAACATCGAGAGAAAAAATTTTACCGTTTTGGTTCATAGATATCTTTATTTGGATCATCGTCATCATCATCATCAAGTGGCTCAGGTTTGGGATCGTTTTTATGATAATTGCAAAATTCAACAATCTATAAGGCGAAAGAAATAGAACTAGTGAATTTAGTGTAACAACAATTTTCTATTTAAACTAACTGGAGCAAGAATTGATCCTTTAACATTCGGTAATGGAATTGGTACGTCTCCCAGATCCATTACTAAATAGCAAGCACATATTAGAAAATAATCGAAAAGAAAAATTAAAGAAAAAAAACCTTACAATCAGATAATGTCTTAATAGTTGATGACTGTTCTACAACGCCTTGGTCAATCTCATACGTGTCTCCATCATTAGATTGAATTTTAATTGTTTTTGATGTTGCATTTTCTGTGGTGGTAGTAGCTGATGTATTGGATGCTTCAGTAGTAGTTGCCATTTGTTATAATAGATCTAAAGCTAGAAAACAGCGTATAGACTTGCTTTAAGAAATTATGTTTTTCTGTTTTCAAAATGCAATGAAACGTATATATTTACAACAGTCACCAACAACACGACTTCAAATAGAAAAAGGAAGAGAATAAAAGTTTTACAGCGTGCAGTAAACGTAAAAACAAATTCGTGACTCAACGTATATGCAACATGATGGAAAACAACGGGTATTTATACCAGACAGCGGTTGTACTAAAACAAAAGCCCACATGATGAACTTTTTTTCCGTCCGACTGATAGTATTTAGATGTATAAATGTTGACTTTCTTCCTTTTCTATTTTGCATCGAGAGTGGGTAAAAATAAAGAAAGAGCTGATAGTTGGAAGGAAATAATAATACGTTTATTTTAAAAAAAGGTTTACGCCGAGTGGTTATATTTACATTAATAGGAAATAGATTGAGATAATTTTTCGAAAAATTTCAAAATAGTTTTCATGCAGAAATATTTTCAAAAGTCAAGACTTTAACAGAAATAGATATCTATTGTGCATCGACGATTCAGACATAGATGACGCCAGAATACATTGTGTACAGTTGCAAATAACCGTTCAGGTCAATAGAAATATCGACGACGGCAAAGGGCAACTGAAAATACATTCAACAAAATATGATAACTGTTGGCGAGATCGGTCAAATGTTTGCACAAAAAGTGTAGGACAACGACCATTTAACTGACTGACATATACTCCAATATTCGTTAGTTTTAAGCGGCTTGTTATGGGCACGATTTGATATGAACCTTCGACAAAAAGACACTTTTAGTCGATGAATCGGACGAGCTAGTTATACAGCATATGACCTAACATACGCATATCATATTGGTGTATGCTTCAAAGTTCAATTAGTTTAAAATATAATATAAGCCTTTTATTGTTAGACTGTTGGAAAATTGGTTTGTTAGGCGTGTTAATAAAGATGTAAATTTTTTCAAGTTCGTGTTAACTCAGCTATAAATCATCATGAGAAATTCTAATTGATACTCGTACGCATTTCCTGAGGATATGATTGCTATGAATCGATCTCTTACGTTAATCTTAGAAAGTTACGATGGACATCTCATTTATTATTAGATGAATAAGGATGCACATAAGCCGTATTTCTACGAGATATAGAAAAGATGAATAGCAACTAGTAATAACAGTAAGTAGCAATTATTAATCATGTATTTATAGGATATTTGCAATAACATAAAGGAGTTTTCCATAAAAAAGAAAGAAAAGATCTCATTGAACGAAAAATATAATGATAAGTAACATTCAATAGTGTTAAAGAAAACAATGGTTCTGTGATGACAGTTATAACAGTAACTTCCTATGGTTAAATGTTTTGATTGCATAGAATATATGTTTTAGGAAATATTTTAACGCGGTGTACATGAATTAAATACATCATATTAAAAGCCTAGGGATTTAATATATGATAAATCACTAATAGCATTCAATTTCAGAGCAACATATAATGTAATTTTCTACTTGTAACATTGTTAGTCTAGTGAATTTCTTTTATCACGTGAAAATGGTTTTTACCTACACAGTTGACTGCGATTCACTGACACTACTAAATAGAATTTGAAAACAGTAATAGTCGAATATGCGACTAAAGTTTATATGAAACTAGTCATATTAAAACCGGAAAAGATTATATGCTAAGGAATGACGTATCATCAATACATGATAAATGATTGTTGCTTCATCTCGAGCTATATACACATTCTATTGCTACGCTGAAATTTTCCAGAAAATGTATTTCAACTTCATTAATATTTGTTTACAGTTTAACCACACCGTCGATGCAATTATTGTAACCGATGAAAATCGTAACTCAAACTTCTAAAACGTAGCGTATTACTAGATGTGTGCTGATCAAAACTTCTAATAAATCGCTTCAGTCTAAATAGAAAATTATGTTTTTTTGCAAGCAATAAATAGGGTAGAACTCTTCTCATAGTAAAACAATAGATACTGTTTATCTTGTCGTGTTATCATGATCTAATTTCATGTAAATATATGTACATTGAGAGTCCAGTTGTATTTTCCTCATTTTTATTTTTCGGTAAATAAAATGTACATCATATTTAATCGAAGAAAGAAAACAAACAAAGAACCGATATACAAAAACGAAAAAAGATTCATTCACTGTTTTACAAATAGTATGGGAAACAACAAATTAATTTCTCTGTACTCTCACTTATTTTCATTAAAAACAAGGAAAGTATTTACAAGAAAGAAAAAGAATAGGTTAATAATATTCCAATTAAATGAATAGGAATGTATGCATGTGTGTAGATGCAAGACAAGATATGCACCGAGTTTATATTGAATAAGAAGGCCATTGTGTTATGAAACTTCAGCATTGAAACGTCGATGATTGGATGACGGAGTTTTCGGTACACCGAAGTTCATCGATAAACCAAGTAAATCATCTTGAGGGTTTCTAATCAAACATGGCTCTGACTGTGAACGTTGCAAACGTGGAAATATGAATTCAAATTTTGATAATGTATCATCAATCTAATCATGGAAAGAATTTTGTATAGGAATTTTCGTTTAAATAGGAATAAAAATACGAACCTCCGGTGAAAATTTTGGTCGTTGTTCACGATGAAAATCTGAGCACTGACGAATTAATTCAACTATAGCTTCTGGCGTGTCATCACGACATTGTTCAACTTTTATTTTCAATCGTCCTTTTCCAACAAGCCACATTATCTATAAAAAATAAAAGGAAAATAAATATTTCAATATAATTATTGAATCTAAATCAAGAAGAGTTGCCTCGATTGGCGAAAACAGAATGTTCTTGAATTGAGGATATGTCAACATGACTAGGCCACTGAATATAGTTCAAATGAGATGGAATTCTCGAAGACGTGAAGCCCTCCAGGCTCATCGTTTAGTTAACTTTTTTGGGGTTGACTAGCTGAACTTGCGGATTAATCATTTATAAATTTAAGAGAAATTTTGGAGACTACCGTAATATAAGAGAGACAAGTCTTAGAGTGATTTTTAATGAAAAACAGCATCATCAAACAATACGATGTTTGAATAAAACTTGACAAATTCACTTTCATCGATAGTTTATGAGTTCGTGAGTAGATTGATTTTCTTATCAGAAGAATCATCTCTACCAGAAAAATCTAGTTGAGCAAAATTTTAGTTTGATTTAGTGTTTCAAAATGAAAACAAAAAAGGTCGCCATCTTTTCTCAATCAATATTTTAACATGCAATCGGATTACATCTTTCTAGCGCTCAGTGGATTTATTGATTTCTATTCTATAAAAAAAAAGCAACAGACTTGGCCAGTACGATCGCACGGATCAGAATTAATTCGCACATCGTTTTTCTTGTTACATGAAAACTAACCTGTTCTTTATTACTGATTGGTGCATGAGGTAATTTACCACTAAACATTTCAAATAGTACACAACCATAAGCATATACATCAGAAAAAGGTGAATAGCAAGTTGAATCTTTTTGTTGAATAACTTCGGGTGCCTTTTGAAAAGCAGAAACAAAGATTTACATGTGTTATTTAGAACAGAATAAATTAACAATATCTACCATCCAAAGAACTGAACCAGTTGGCTGGAATTGTTGATTGAAACTTTCAGTTGGAACTGTTTTTACAGCAGCTAAACCAAAATCACCGATTTTTACACGCCAACTAACTCCACCGTCATCAACTTCAGCAGACGTATCCAAAAAGACATTACTGGATTTAAGATCACGATGTATTATTTCTCGATCATGTAGATATCTTTTAATGAAATAATAAATTATTTTTATAGTTATTTATTAAAATAAACTTACGACATTCCCTGACATATCTGTCGTGCAATATCGATTAATTGATTAATTTTCCAATGCCGATCAAGTATATGAATATGTTTATATAATGTTGAACCCTTAAAAAGAATATACACTATATAGAGATGATCCGAGAAATAATACGAAAAGATCTATTTTGAACAGTTTCTTAGTATTATTAGTGTTAGTAAGAATTCAAATAGTGCTCTATATATGAGATTTAATTTGATACAAAAAATTTAAAAAGATGCGTATGGTTACTAGTTTTTCAACTCCTTCAAATCAAAGAAAATTGATATTTTCGTACGAAACGACAGAAGAAAGGAGTTTCGTATTTTTCTCAATAATAATATATTCTAGTTAAGAACATGTTAGAAAGAGTTCAGAGATTCTTGATTTCATAGAGAATGATTAGGTCACTCATTCTAAATGATTTACACAGAACTGCTTTCATGAATACTTGGAAATTAAAAAAAATACTAGTAATCATGTGTATCTTCAATACGTAATTCGCTATTTAGATTCTTATCCATATTTTTTGCGTACTTACTTCACACCATTGTGTAACAATAGCAAAACGAGGTGAAATAATATATCCATAAAAATTTAATGTATTTTGATGAGTAATTTTTCTATAGGGAGTATAAAAAGATGAAATAATTTATTTATTTATTCAAAAAATGTTATAAGAAGACAAACTTTAATGCGAAAACTTCGTTTCGAAATGCTTGAAATTGAGTTGGTGTCGGTGAAACAAAATTTAATTCTTTCAGTGCAACATTACCTAATTATTAATGAAAAAGAAAACCCGATATAATTATAATATTACTAAGTTTTTCGATAGATTCATACCATGTAACCTCACTTCTGCTTTGTATACAGTACCATAGGTACCTCTGCCTACCATTCGTCCATGCTTCAGTATATCTTCCGGCCGAATTTCCCATTCACTAATATATTTCTTTAAAAACAATAATAAAAACTTTCGTTTTTTTTCTCTGTCAAATAATACATAGAAAGATACTTACATGTGCGGGCTTTTTTGCATCAATAAGACCCTCACTATTCGGTTTAATCATACTAGGTCGAAGACTTCCTGGATTTGTTACAGTTGAATCATTCATAGCTATTATTCATAGAAAAATAAAAAGAATGTTAGAATTACAATAGTGAAAAAGAAAAGTTCAATGTGAAATCAATCGAAGGTAAAAAAAAGAAAATCAAAAGAAAAGTAGCTAATCAAACAAAGTGATATATGAAATCGAGTGATGTGATATTTTTTTATTGCGTAGAAATCTTACTCAGTAATAACTGAGGAATGTGATGAATGGGTGATGTTGCTGATGGCAATGATGATGACATATTTGTTGATAATGGTTGGAAGAGTGAATTTGACGATATATTCATCGTCGATTGTATAGCATTGGGAAAATAGTCAACATTAGTTGTTGTTGGCAGTGGAGTACCATGTGAATTCTGACCGGTGTGTTTCTGCGGGCCTGTTAAGGTACAAACTGATTCATTGCTAAGGGCAAGGATAAGAAACCGCGAACGAAAAAATAATAATAATAAAAACCACCAGAAATTAAATATGTGCTATCATCAGGCGTAAGCTGTTTTTATGAAACGGGAAAAAGCAAAAAGATAAAAATAACAGATTCCTTTATGATCTACCTACGCCACATATGCAGTAACATCTGCAGAGATGGTTGAAAATAGAATATAGACACAGAGAAAAACAAAAACGTTCAGAAATATAAAATCAAATAAACATCTTACCAACTCCTTGACTTGTATTAATACCTGGCCTCTGAAAATAAAAGGAAACTGATAAGATTATTTCTAATACAACGAAAATAATATACCGATAGCGGAATTCGAGGTAAACTACGTGATTGTTCTTTATTACGCGATTGAGTACTTGTTCGGTCGATATTAAAGCGATCAGGACTAAGATGTTTAATGTGTCTATTGATAATTGACAGAAAGAAAAAAGAAACAAAATTAATAGATTTGTCTTTTTAACGGTTGAAAAATAAATTACAAAAATGATACAAAACACATACTGAAGAATAGGATGAGAACAAACAGGTGCTTTCGAACAACAATGATTATGATAATTATTTCCACATGAAGTACAACGTTTATAAGCTTCACGAATATGATGATGACAAACAATACAACGAACACCATTTAGTAGAGGAAAACGACGTACTGGAATATTTTCCTATATTTATGCATATACATTATATATATAAATATACGAACAAAACAATAAGCTTTCACAAATATACAAAACAAACATCACATAAAATATACCGAATGAAATTTTGTCGGATAATATGACATATGTGTGACTTATGCATACATCGAGTATGTATACGAGAGCCACATACAAGACATCGTAGTCCTTGCAATAGCATTTTATGGCATATGTCACAATATGTTAAAGTAAAAAATCTTTTTCTAATCTATGAAAATAAAATATTACATTTAACATTAAAATAATGAATTTGAAATTCTCTTTTAACTCAGTGCATAAACAAGTTTTTGATTGAAATGATTTTACCCGAAAATGTTTCACTAATTTTATTTAAAAGGTAGTTAAATATCAACTATCTATCTCAATATATAATGTCAATTTTTAAATATCATAAGAATTTATAGATCTCGAGAATAATACTTACAAATGAATGATCTAACTTAAGATTTTCTTCGAGTTCAATTTCTGTTTCAAGTAAACGATCAAGAGTAATATCCCATTGGCATGGTTGCCTTTAAATAAAAGAGAAAATTGATATTGTAAAAACAAAAACGAGCAGTCCAATATTTGAATTCAGTACCTTGAAATCATATAAACTGGCGTATAAGCTCGTAGATTAGTTATTGAGTGTCTTGAAGCTCGTGATTCAAGTGCAATTTCGAGTGTTTCATCACTGCGTGGAGCAAGCTATAGTTAAAAAAAAATTTAATAACAAATGTAAAAGAAATATCTCTAAAAGGCTTACAGCAGTTGTATGTTTGTTTGGAAAATGAACTCGAATAAAATTACTTGGTGTCATACTGGGACTTCGTGGTCGCTGAGAAGAATCTATTGATGATACATAAGGTTTGTTTGCTATTGAATCAATAGTTACAAAAAGTACTATTTTATACCTGAGTGAATGGATGATGTTGAAGATGTATGGTGATAATGAGGTTTTTCAGCTGGAGATGAACGATTTGATTGAGGTATAGTTGGAGAATCTTGTAATTGTGTTTGTAGTTGATGATTCATTGAGGTAACATCATTATATGATGTTGAATATGGTAACGTTTTTACAGTACTTTGACCTTCGAGTTCATGAAGATATTCGGTTAAAGTGTTTCGTGCTTTTGTTAATACTTCAATACGATCGGTTAAACGTTGAAATTCCTAGATAAAAAAGCAAACCAAGTAATTTTATTTGTTGCAAGAGAAATATTTTTCAGATTAAATATATAACAATAATAGCAGTTTTTTATTTTATTGTATCAACGTTTCAGCAACTCGATTATCTTATTTTTTTAGGGCCAAAAAATTTAAAAGTACAATAGACGAAAAGAAAATTGTAGATATACTGTATATACACATGTTCGCTCGATTGATTATTCAGATGGTTGATACACACGCTCATGATTCATCTCTGAAGTTTTTCAAGCGCTTCACGAATTGTAAGCTCCGCCATGGTTTGACTAGAGATTATTGTTTTAAGTTGTCATCAGTTGATTACTCAGCATGCATATCAAATATTGACACTTCTCTTATGAATATATGTGCACATGTAACCGATAAAAAAGGAACTTGATTCTCCTCAAGTTCATACGTTAATATCTCAACAATGAAATGTTGTCAACAAATTATACTCAGTACACAATAATTTTCAACGAAATACTTTTAATATGATACATAAATATAAGTTTCTTATGAAAAATGCAAAAGAAACAATAAATTAATCATCACAAGATAAATCTGCGATGAATACAAAAAAATAAATAAATACACGAGTATAGCTATCATTGCTAAAGAAACATATAATACTGAAATGAGTAGAGCATTAAATGGTAGTATTACATTTAAAGCAGTCTATACTAGTATGAAACTCATGATAAAGAAAAATTGATAATTCTATCATCGAAAATCAATATCGATTTATACATCCCATGAGTTCCGAGTCGGGTCACATATGTGATTCTTCTACGATTCGTGAAGAGACAAGCCCTCTTGGGAAAATTGTACCTTCAACGAACAAATCTAATTAAAAATTAGCATTTATGCTAGCAAAGAAACTAGGATCATCGAAATAAAAAGAAATGACACAATTATAATTGATATTTTTGTATTTGTAAATTAATTATTTAATATGAAAAAAATGGTGAATTATGTAAAAAATGATTTCATTCGATATAAGATCATTATTTACCAAAGTAACTTTAGATAGAGTTAATTGAAATTACATCAGATAAAATATTCCGTAGCCACTATACATCAACTTAAAGTAATAAAAGATTCCAACTTTACTGTGACGCGTGCAAGAATCTATATTAGTTACACTGATTATTAGAGTGTGCCACAAAATGTAGTCACTTCCTATGTAATAATCAAATATATTTATAAATAAATAGCATAATAATGGGGGGGACCCTGTAATGTCTTGATGAGGATCAGAGACGCAACTAATAAAAAAGCCAGGTGCCATAGTATCGGTTATGGTAGAATGACAACAATGAAAATTAAATAGTATTGAATATTGGATGAAGATCCAATTGCTTATTCAATGAACGGAAATTGTTGAGAATAAGAAGAACTCCACAAGCAAAAAGCTGACATGAGTTCGAACGATTGTAAGGGGCAATCGAGTTAGATTGATTGTAAAGAACAATGAAGTTGAAAAGAAAAGGATAATATGTAATTGATCAAAAAGATGATTCTTTTTGATAGAGAAGAAAAAGAAGAATTAGTATATCTCAATGAAGAGAGATATATTAAGAAAAACTTGAAGAGAAGAAGAGAGTAATTATATATCTCATTTTTCCGAGTCTAAGCGCAAAAAACGAAAAAGGTGCCAATGTTGAAAATAACAAGCGCGACAATAAGCAACAAGAGAGAACAACACAGAGGAGAAATAAACATACATGATATAACAAACATCAAGACAAGATCAGTAACGTTGCTGTCCGTCACCCTCCCCCCGCCAGCGTGTTTTAAATGATTGCTCTAGAAGCTTCCTCTACCACTGCATCGAATATAGTCATATTCTGTGCTAATCTAAACATTCATACAGCACTTCATAGAGTATGTCTTAGTCGTTTGATGCGGTTAGATAATGAACTCTCATTACATCCGACACTGATTATTTCTGAGAGATCGGTCGACCGTGCATATGTATATTTCTAGTGGTCAATGGTTTGGTGCTATATATTCATGTTCTTTTATCTATACACTGAGAGTATTGGCTTGTAACAGTCATTTCTTAGTGTTTACCAAAAATTGTTAGAAAGATGGAATCTTATATTTTGATAAATAAAAGAAAAATCTCTGGATGAAAATCAACATATTCGAAAATAAACTAACAAAACATGGGCTGATAAGAATGAGATAGTTTCTTTGTCCTTCATTACAGCTCAAATTTATTTTTAGCCATCATTTAACTTACCTGAATCAAACATTGCTTTGGTGCCTTCAACAGATCTCGACCTAAATACTGCTGTGTGAAAAAGCAGCGGAAATCTCAGTGGTCATTTTTTGTCCATTCAAAAATTGAAATTTATCCTACAATAAACGTAGAAACATGTATTGGCATTGATACGCTTGAGCAAAATCCACAGGCCCTTTGTAGTAGTTTTCATGGCAAAATTTTGTTGCTCATAACCCCCCCCCCCCATGTTGTATGTTTTAAAAATAATAGTCAAGATAAGCTTACGAGTACTAGGGATCATTTATTTTATCAATACATACAATCAAATTTTCAAAAACATACAGTCACACAAAAACAGGCAAAAAAAATGGTTACGTAGGTGGATGGTATTTTTCCATAACATTGAGCAAGTCAGCATAAACAAATTTATTTGCATCCATGGCCCAAATGAAATCTACATGATTATAATCAGGAATGAGCTTTTGATAGACAAGACTTTGAACGTTATCAAGAATAAATGAAACATCATCAGAATCAGCAACCCAATCTTCACCACCAGAAAATATTGCTGTTGGTACTTTCATCGGGCGGATCGCGTACGCAGGTGGAGTTGTTTGATTGTAATGTAATTGATTTTTCTCCGGCGAACCATAGTCATAGGCTTGGAATGTATTTGTTTGTACACCTTGTGCAAAATGAATCATATTTTTTACAGATGTCCCAGCAGGTTCGTGTGCAACATAGACAGGCATTCGTGTCTCGTTTAAATTTTTCTTTTCTGGCCCATAGAGAACAAGGAAAATGTTTTCACAAATTAAACGATCAACTATAATCTGTTCACAACCATATGTTGCAAGCCATCTAACTATATCAGATGATGGAAGAAATTCATTCCTACCAAATAGTATATGCCAATAAAGTTCTAAGTCTTTTATTATGGTGGTAGTTGATAAATATTTTATGGGAGATTTTATGTGCCCCACATGGGCAACAGGGGCTAGAGCTACATACAAGCTAACATTATTTTGAACCAAATTACTTAAGTTCCCGAATTCAGCAAAACCAATCATTGTACCTTGAGAATGGCCAACATAACCGATTTGTGTTTGTTTGGTTTGATTTAAAATGTAATAGATCATCGATGGAAGATCATCTCGTGCCATATCATCCCAACTAAAATCCCAAAATGCTTCATCATGATCAGGGTTGTATTTTACATGAGCGCGTGAATAATGGTTCCCTCGCATATTACCAAGCCACACATCATAACCTGCATCGGCAAGAATAAAACCAAGACTTTGTTCAGGAAAATTAATTACCCATGATGTAGCTGAATCGAGAAGTCCATGTTGAAGAAGAACAGGTCGACCTGGCGTTGTTGATGATGCATTTCGGCCATGTGGAATACGAAAAACACCAAGAATGTAACCGTCGGCGGTTGTTACTTTATGTTCTTCCCATGGATAACCTTTACTTTGAATTAATTGTGTAATATTGTAATCGCATTCTGGATCGGGCTGTTGAACTTTCGGTAAACTTCTTGAACAGCACAATGAAAATAATAGAAAAAAACTTAAAATACCTGCAACAAAATCGAAAATCATTTTACAGTAAACGAAAGAACTCTACTACTGAGCGCCCACCTACCGAACATCATTTGCTTTTGAGTTGTGTTTTTCTTTATCTTCACTAACAACAATTATTTAGTAGACCTGTATATTTAACTTTGCCTACTTCAAGATAAAAATGATGTGCTAGAGAAAATGATAGCGAGCCCTGATATATTATCAGTTAAATGTAGTTTGTTTTTTGAAAAAATAACGTGTGAGAGTTTTATTATTTATGGAAATATGGCGATGCATATAAAAAAGAATTGTAACTTAAACTGTAACACTAATTTGATTTTATTGGAGTACTAAAGAAAGAATATTGTGTTCTGCCATTATAGAGTTCGTTGATTTTATTGGGTGTGGCATTCACATAGTGATTCAAATATACACTTGTTTAACGTAAACAATGTCTTGATACAATAGCAGTTCACATTATATTTTAACTATTTTATTCAGTCAATTTAAAAAACATACAAAGTTTTATTTATAAAATGAATAATTTTGTAATAAACATCAAACGTGTCTAGCATAAAATTATTTTCGAACTAATTTTCAAACTCGGTATGTTTTATTCTGGTCGAAAAACTCGATTCGATGCCATTAATACATAGAAAATGAGATATATTTGAATGTACATACTCGACTTGAGTATCTGTTTTTGCTAATAATAAAATGCATGAAAGATCTTTCACTCACTAACAGTAAATCGGCACCTCTTCTTTCATTCTGAAACGCAGCGAAATTTCGTGGAATACATTTTCATGAACAAAATACACATATATAATAGATTTCACATCGAGCGAGCCTAAATAACAAGTAATGATGAAGTAAATCGGATTCACCACAATAATATTGTCGAATGAAAATGATAGCATCGTAATGTGCTTGCGGTATACATAGACGACACTCATTAATCATATCCTATTGCATTCAAATAAAATGAAGCTTTATTATCTTTATGCAAACATAAGAAACTAATAAAACTATTTCTCAAACGGGATTACAAACACAATCGTTATGGTTTTTGTTAATATAAATGAAACTACTGTCTGTCTTGGTAGTATTCATCATACAAAAAAGGAACAAATTGATCAGCAAAATAATTGTTTATCATTGAATCGAAGTTATTTAAAGTAAGGATAGTTTTCAAAAATGAACTCATTTTTCTGGATGATACTTTTGCATTTGAGTAATCAAATCCTGATAGATAATTTTGTTTGCTGTTATAGCCCATACGAAATCAAGATGATTATAATCATAAATATATTTCCCGGAAATTAAATTTTTAATATTATCAAAAATAAAAGCAACATCATCCGGATCAGCTAACCAATCATCACGTGGCCAAAATATTGCTGTTGGTATCGTCATTGGACGAATATTATAGATTGGTGGAATGGTTTGATTGTAATGTAATTGATTTTTTTTCTGATGAACCGTAGTCATAGGCTTGAAAAAAATTTGTGCAAAACGAATCATATTTTTCACAGATGTTCCATCCGGTTCATGTGATATATAAACTTCCATGCGGGTATTATTCATATTTTTCTTCTACGGCCCACATATAAGAAATAGAATATTTTCATAAATTAATGGATTTAATATAACATTCCCACATGCATGTTTTGTAAGCCATTTGATACTGTATGATGATGAAAGAAAATCTTTATAACCAAATAGTGTATGCCAAACTTCTTCAGGGTTTGTTGGAGTATTGAATAAGTATTTCAATGGTGATTTTATATGTGCTAAATGAGCAACAGGTGCTAGAGCTCCATATAAGCTAACATTATTTTGAGCCGAATTACTGAAGCTTCCGAATTCAGCAAAACCAATCATTGTACCTTGAAAATGACCAACATAACCGATTTGTGTTTGCTTAGTTTGATTTAAAATGTAATAGATCATCGATGGAAGATCATCTCGTGCCATATCATGCCAATTAAAATCCCAAAATGCTTCATCATGATCAAAATCGTATTTTACCTGAGCACGTGAATAATAATTTCCACGTGCATTACCAAGTCACACATCATAACCAGCATCAGCAAGAATATAACAAAGACTTTGATCTGGAAGATTCATGACCCATGTCATTGCTGCATCCAGAAGTCCGTGTTGAAGAAGAACAGGTCAGCCTAATGTTGATGATGCATTTCAACCATGTGGAATACGAAAAATACCAAGAATGTAACTGTCGGCGGTTGTTACTTTATGTTCTTCACATGGATAAACTTTACTTTGAATTAATTGTGTAATTTTTAAATCACAATCGGGATGATGCTTCTGTACTACTGATTGAGATAGAGAACAATATAATACAAAGACAAAAAAAACATTTATGATGTCTATAATATTTAGAAAAATAATAGTCTATGAATGAACTACATCGACTTACATAAGCACATTCTCTGGCAACTTCTAGACTTTTTTTTATCACGCAAAAACAGTGATACGATGATGATGATGATAATAATAAGAATATTTTAGTTTAATATGCTGCATTCTTTTATATCAATATGCATGGTGTGATCGAAAAGATAAATATTACATGTAAAAATCGTTCATTAAACCGACTTTCATTGTGTAACTAGATATTTTGACAACGCTGTTGCTATGCACTAAATAATTTAGAATATGACGCAATTATATTTTTATATTAACTACATATTTCAATCGATTATTTTTCTATGAGAGAAGTCATGCAACAGTAGTTTTTTCATTTCAATTTATTAACACTGAAAAATACCCCCGTCTAGTCAACTGTTCTGTGTTTACATTTCATTGTTAAAAAAATAAAAATTGTTTTGAAAAATAAAAACAAAATCAAATAGTTTTTAATTAAATGGATAATATTTTTGCATTACATTGAGTAAATCGGAATAAACAAATTTATTAGCTGATATTGCCCAAACAAAATCTAAATGATTATAATCTGGAACATATTTTTCATATACTATATTTGGTAAATTATCAAAAATATAAGAAACATCAGTTGCATCGGCAAGCCAGTCATCTGATGACCAAAATATTGCTGTTGGTGTTTTCACTGCACGAATATTATATTCTGGTGGTGTAGTTTGATTGTAATGTAATTGATTTTTTTGTGGTGATCCATAATCATATGCTCGAAATATATTTGTCTGTACACTTTGTGCATAATGAATCATATTCTTCACTGATGTTCCGTCAGGTTCATGTGAAAGATAAACAGGCATGCGTGTATTATTCATATTCTTATTTTCTGGTCCACACAAAACAAATAAAATATTCTGGCATAGCAATCGATCAATTACAAATTCTCCACAAGCAAATGTGCCGAGCCATTTAGTTAGATACGATGACGGAAGGAACTCATTTCGACCGAATAATAAATGCCAGTACAATTCTAATTCTTTTGATGTGGATGATAAATATTTTATTGGAGATTTTATATGTCCTAAATGAGCAACTGGAGCTAATGCAGCATAAAAACTAACACTATTTTGTAGAACACTATTTGGACGACCGAACTCAGCAAATGCAATCAATGTACCTTGTGAATGACCTACATAGCCGATTTGTGTCTGTTGTGTAACATTCAAAATGTAATAAATCATCGATGGAAGATCATCTCGTGCCATATCATCCCAACTGAAATCCCAAAATGCTTCATCATGATCAGGATTGTATTTTACATGAGCACGTGAATAATAATTTCCACGCATATTACCAAGCCATACGTCATAGCCAGCATCAGCAAGAATATAACCAAGACTTTGATCTGGAAGATTCATGACCCATGTCACTGCTGCGTCCAGAAGGCCGTGTTGAAGAAGAACAGGTCGGCCTGGTGTTGTTGAAGATGCATTTCGGGCATGTGGAATACGAAAAACACCAAGAATGTAACCGTCGGCGGTTGTTACTTTGTGTTCCTCGCATGGATAACCTTTACTTTGAATTAATTGTGTAATATTTAAATCACAATCTGGATCACGTGTCGGGAATTTTGATTTCGTCATGGGACAAAAGAATAAGATGGTGACTAGTAGAATTGACATGGCTAAAATATCAGAGACAAAAATTATTATCCTTAATAGTTAATTGTTTCTATAGCACTATCCCTACCCGTCATCATCACTGCGCTGGAAATGGAAACTTTTTTTGTTGTTATTTTGATACACAAGAAACGTATAGGTATCTAAAATAAAATTTGATTCTTTTTGTTTGTTGAACACAAAAGCACACATTGACAATCAATGGATGAACTCATCGGTCTATGCGCATCATAAATTTAGTATCGAACTCGTTTACAACAGGATGACGATTAGAAATAGGACAGGTCGTTATTTCACATGCTCAAACGGAAGAAAAAAGAACTCTTAACTGCTTACGAGTAGACGAGTGTACCAGCAAAGATCATTTTTAAGTGTTTTTGATTTTTCTTAAAAATGAGAGCCACTAAACATATAGCTAATAGTCAATCTTTTGAAACCATAAGTTTAATAAATCGACGTATTATTTCAAACGATCGAAAAAGACCTCAATCCTTAAAAATACAAACACGCCTTCAAATATACATTCAGCAATAGTTTTTTGTTCGGTAACCATAGTCGTTGTTCCGCATTGATTGTGGTTAGCATGAATGACTTACAAAATCTTATATAACAAATCAAACTAGCTTCATAAGTCGTACGATCATTGTTGAATTACTAATTTGATTATGTTCTCAAAATTCGATTTAACTAAGCTTCGAAAATGAACGTTTATTGCCAAACGTATCTCAGATTAGAAATTTGTCAGACAACGATAGTAATCTTAATAGAATCTAGTGTTTTTTCGAATGCATAACAAAACCATATAGATTGAACTATTTATTCAGTAACTGATAATCAAATAGCACCGTTATATAATACAGAAAAATGGCAATGAAAATCCAATATTCTTATAATTAATATTGTATGGGATATGACTAGATCTGAAAATTATTTTTTCAACAAAATAACATGCAGAAATATAATCGAGGACTTTTGACAGAAAGTATACAACAAGTCGTACATCTTGTCTCTCTAATCAGTTATCATGATAGAACAACCGTTCAGTACTAGATTATATGAGAAATAGAATATTATTGAATCGCAAAGTACATACAGTATTTCAAGGACTGGCAATCAAAATAAATAATTTGTCAAACAAAATTTTCTTAAATATCTCCGTCAGTTGTAGTAATGCATAAAATAACGTGTACGTCTTAGGCAAACAATATTCTATACGTTTCAATTTTGTTTGGTACACCTCTTATTAAAAAAATTGCGTGCATCGATATATGGTATCGATTGATCTATTTTTTATTTTTTATTGAATAGTTTTATTGTTATTCGATTTGATGTATTAAATGACCTATAAAAATTGAACAACTACACCTCTCCATGAAAATAGATGTCATCAGAGCTACATTGTTAACTATTGGTGCATTCACAAAAACGAAGTATCGATCGATCGATTGGATTAATTCATAATAAGAAAAAAAAAAAGACCAACCCGAGGGAGTTTGCGTTGTCGTTCAATAATAACAATCACTGGTAATTAATGATAAACCGCTAATAAAAATCAATTAAAATGCAATAGATTTTTGTAAAAAAATATATTTATCATATAAACAAAATAATATTTTTATTTTATCTATTGTTCAGATGGACCAATATATTGAATCATCCAAACTAGCAACGTATCTACATCCAGGTCCTAGCGGACCATTCCTTGAATTAAACAATGAGCCAATGAAACCACCGTCACCAAGTACATCAGCTTTATTACAACATAATCCAAGTTTGATTGATCTTTGTACATTTAATTCTTTATGTCAACGACTTGTTGAGAATAATTCACCACCAAATACGTCACCATACAAACCATTTGCGAACCCATCCGATTTATATTTTTGTATTCCACCGATGACGCAAATCGATTATTCTCCTCAAACAACCGATTCAAATACTAAATCAAATGTAATATCTGAAGTAACAGCATCACCAATTAGTTCAGCTGGTGATTGTAGTCCTAATGTATCATCATATTCTTCAACGCCATATTCAAGTCCAAAAGTCAAAAGTCTTCTTCAGCAAAATTCTCCGATGGATTTATGTGTTACAAAAGATTGCTTGTCAACAATTATACCTAAACAGCAACCCACCAGTGAAAATATATTAAATTGTGAATTATCAGGTAGAAATCTTTTGAAACAAAGAAAATATTGTCGAATATGAGTGTATTTTCTTTTTTTAATTCAAGATTTTGTCAAAAAAGTTGAAAAATCTCCAATAGAATCTACGAATCTACGAAATGAGGATAAAAAAGTAATAGAAATCATAGCAAAATATTCTCATACATCACCTATTCTTCATCGTTTACTTACATCTCCAACAAAAATTAATGAAAACTCTCAATCATCAAATCAAAAGGATCCGATTGATAATGATAATAATAAAAGTCCACAATATCGACCAAGATATTCTCCTTTCTATATACCCGAAACAAATGCAAACAGAAAACTTACACCAAAAGATACTTTAATCAAGTAAATAATTGATTTTATTGTTTTTTTCCAAATTTTATTTGAAATATTGAGGAAAAAACCATAGAATGACTAACTACAACTAGCTAGATATTCATCATTTATTGTATGGAAAATGATTCATGAGTTTAGAATAACACTAGAATGTTAGTTAAAAATCTAATAAATTTAGTTAAATATAAAAGCGCGCTGTTTTGCTGAAGAAATCGAACAAACATGATGAGTATCATAAAACTTCATAAAAAAAATATCAAAACAGAAGTTTTTAAGAAGACTTATTCTATGTCGACAGAGATTATTGAATAGTTACTTGAATCGGTGCGTATCTACGAAATCGTATGTCTTACTTCGATAGCGTAAATCATGGAACGACTCTGAATTATGAATAGGCAATTGAAAAATTCACTCTTCTTGTTCAAGTAACAGCTAGTATTTACTGAAAAGAAGATAACCAATTAGAGAATCTAATACAGCACTGCGGTATTCTTTTTTGCTAGTTAGAATATTGTCTCTAACTTGAAAGTATACGATTTGTCGGCTGATACTATTTTGCTAGTTGTAAAATTTATTTTGTGATATTTATACAACAACGAAATATCAAAATGAAATGCTAATACAGTTAAGTGTTTACTAAATTTTTACTAACAGATAAAAATAACTATCCTAAAGATATATTCATATAAAGAAATCTTACTTTTGAATGTTTTATCAGCATAGATTTTTCAATTTTTAGTCAATCGAACATTTTACAATTGAAACGATTCGATTAGTTTGAAGAATAGATTGTACTCACAGCTGGTCTTGTTCTCATCGCTCATAAAAACGATATTTAAAGGCTTTCGAATTGTAGATAATCAATTTTTACAGAACAAAAAAAAAACACTACTCTCAAGAAACATAGTGATAGTCAATTCTCATAATTATTTTTTGTGCACAATAATAGTCTATATAATTGTTTCGAAAGCTATGCTCAACAGGCGATATTTTAGCGAAAGCACTCATTTATATCTCTAGAAAATAAAACGAAGTAGGCTACGTGCAGTTGTTTAATCGAGCAGTATCAAGTGTAACATTTTCAACATGCATTATATAGGTCGAAGAATGTCTTATCATTAAATGGGTTCCATATTGAAGCATTTAATTTTTTTAGAAAGAAAAGAACAACTTCATAGAGCTGTTAGAAAAGAATATTCCTTTTCTTATGTGTCTTTATAGAAATCACAAAACTTCTCGTTCGACATGTCGTTCACCTGTACTGTCTCGACGTCCATCCGAAAACGAGAAAAAAATAATGGACACTGATAGTAATGCTAACAACCCTCAATGTGATTCGTCAATTCAACCAACGGCTTTACTTTCATTAGATAATGATGGATTTATAAATGCTACTGAAAAGTCTACATCTGATTCATCAATAAATAATAACAATAAACGATTATTAGATTCGTCATCGGAACAAGTTTTAATTAAACGTCGCAATAAATTATTAGAACCAAGTAAATTTATATTTTTTGCTTACGTAATTGAAGAAATTGAAGAAAAATATTTATTTCCTGTGTTTCATAGTACAGCATTTTTAGCGAAAAGAGAATTTTAATGATTAAAAAATTCCTGCTAATCTCATGAAAAGATCTATGTTTATACTTTAAGATAATATTGATTATGAGGTTATATGCTAGTCACTTTAATTGAAAATTCCTGTTGCTAACATTTAAATTAAAATATTTCCAGTAATCAAAGCATTTTCGTACACAAAAATTGTAAATTACAGGTTTCTGTTTCTCAAAAACAAATCAATCGTTTACAATCTTTCTATGTTGAGACAAATATTTTATCTGAACAATCATTAATTGTTGTCTCTAAATAAGACAAAAAAAACATGTTTTTCTTTTTTCATAGCTATCGTCACTCAACAAAATTATTGTTTATCATATCCAAATAATATTTCACGTTGCATTGATTGTCAAACAGCCAGTCCAAATGATTTTGCAATGCATCTGACTGGTTGTCGATTTCAGCATTGTCGAACGTAAGAATCACTTCTTTTTTTCTCCGTTATAGATACGTCATGTTAACGTCATCGAATATAGTTTAAACAGTTTTCAAAAAAATTCTTGAATTACTGTCTATCGAATGTCGGAATAAACAAGATTAGCATTTGAGATCACCGTTATTGAGACAAATATGTTTTCATATCGATTATACAATCGTCCATAATCTTTTTCTGTGATTTTAATAACACCAAAAACATTTGCTATGCCATTTGTTTAATGAGAAATAAATTTTTCTTAGTGTCTTTCATTTATGAAATATATTTAATTACTCAACTGAAACATGACAGCACTGTATTAATCACACGTTTAGCAATTAAAAATAAATATCTATGAATATCATAAATCAAACTACATTCTTTTATTTCTGTTTAGTTTAAAATATTTCGGCGATAATACATATGAATTTGAAGGATTTACTACATCTATTGATTGGCAAGCACCGGATCCAGAAACATTAACTACACCAAACTCTAGTACGATAAATATTGAGATTGTTGCGTTATAAATTTTAAATTCTGTAAGGTGGTCAACCACCATTAAATATTTTAGATGCAAATTTTATTTTTAAACATATAGCCAGACTATTCTGCTTAATGTTTCAACATGAACAAAGTGAACGATCAACATATGATGATAGTAAATATATATATATATTGTTTACTCTTCTTCTTCGTCAAAACGAGTAGTGAATAATGTTCATCGGGCGTGATTGTATAGCAAGTGAGAACTACAGGTTTCTAAGAAGTTAACAGTGTTTAACAGCAACAGTGAAAGCTTTTTTGAGTATTCTAAGCCTGAAAGATAAAAAATTTCAGTAAGGATAGTTCGTCTTATCATGCAATACACATAAAAAGCAAACTGATTAGCGAGATATGTTAGAGCGTATCGAAACCTACTCTAAATATAATGAGTGAATATAATAGATTAAATCAATACATTCTACTGATATAAATGGCAATAATTAGAACTGATCTAGTCGATAATACTACTAGATAACCTTTAAGAGTCATGATTTGATTAGATTCACCTTGCAAAAAGTTTGAATTCATTAAGTTCTAACAGCAAGGCGAACCAGAGCAGAAGTTTTTCTTTGAAACGGGAATAGAAAAAGAAAAAAGCGGTTGTCTCAAGGAATCTATTAACATTGAGGAACAATTATAATCTTTAAATGCATTTTCTTCTAGTATTCTGAGTCACAAGAAAATATATGAATTTCAGTTTGCTGTGTCGATAGTTTTTCTATTGAGATTTGTTTTATTTTTAAGACAGTATCATTCGAAAAAAATATATGGCTGGTTGGCGAGAAGTATGCGATGAGTGTTTAACCACACTTTTTAATTGCCATTATATGTGCAAACAATGTGGTTATATGATTTGTATTGATTGTTCAAAACAACTTGTATATTTATCTGTTGAAAAAAAAAGAAGTAAAATAAAACTGTTTATTTCTTTAATATTCTTTTAAAGCATAAATTTCTTTTGCATAGAATCGAAACGTTTCTGTCCACATAATGATTCGTTTTGTTTATCTGAATTTATCCCGTGGGATCGTAAGTACTTGTGTTTGATTTGAAATTGATTTTCTAAAAATCGATTCATTTTTATTTTTAAGATTTGTTAAAATTACGTAGTAACGTTATAGATCATTTAAGTAAATTAAAAATTGATTATTCAATAAAATTATATAATTCATCAAGAGCAGAAAATCTTTCAACATTTATTAAAACTTTAAAAATGAAACGGTCACATGACGCACGTGATATACAAAAAGTTTGGTCTTCAATTGATTCCAATAATGATCCAAATATAGAGTTTTATTGTAATGGTCGTCTACCTGTGTTTAATGAATGGACCAGTGAGAATGCTAACCAAGTAAAATGAGTCGAAATTAAATTTAAAAAAAATATCATTCTTAATGTTGTCGTTTTTTATTTTATAGGTTTTTCAAAAAGTTTGGTCAACTGGTTGCCCAGTGCTTGTTAGACAAGTGCATCATAAGCTATCGAAAACACTTTGGCTACCTTCAGCATTTAAAGAACATATGATTGATCATCGAGAAACACCAGCCTTATACGATTGTGAAACATTATCACCAATAGCAACTGATGAATCGATATTAACAAGATTTTGGGACGGATTTGAACATTTGAATGGTAAGTAAAAAAATTCGATTTTGAAGAAAATCCATAATTGAATAAATTAGTTCGTTTGCGAGATGAAGAAAATGGCGGACGACAACGTATTTTGAAATTAAAAGATTGGCCAACAAAAAAAGATTTTGCTTCTGTTTTCCCAACACTTCTACATGATCTCATGAATAATATTCCATTCAGTAACTTAAGAAAATTAATGTTTTAAATTGTATATTAAATATATTTTTTTGTCTTAGGTGACTATACAAGACGATCATATACATATGAAAATGTTGAATATCATGGCGGTCCCATGAATATTGTTGAACGATTACCATCCTGTTTAGTTAAACCTGATCTTGGACCAAAACTTTATATTGCTTACAGTGAGTTTATATCTATGATGAATAAGACAGAATACACAACATAGTACTCATGAATAGTCTATGACAACCAAATGAGATATAATTGATCAATGAACAAATTCATTGAGCATTCAATTTGATATACAAATCTTAATTATATGGGGTTCATCATGCGAGTGCTGTATTTGTTTGTTTAAGAGTTGAATCATATTAAATAATTGAAGTTGTATGTTTTCATGTAAACAAGTTAAACTATAGAGATTCAACTTGAATATGTTTGGAATCTATGGTTTCTAAATCGTTATTGATTCATGTTTAAAAAAAAAAGAAGATATGTTTACACTAAATACTAATGTATAAAATTTTCTATTGAAATAATGATTCATCTGCTTTTATGCAAAACGATTTAGAAGCAGTGAGTCAGCGTATAGCCTAGAAATTTATCATCTAGAGACCATGAAGGACGTCTTTGATATACGATGTCAAGATATGATAGATACACATACGAAGGTTGTAAATGAATAATGTCTCGTAACAATGTGACCCAATCCAGTATATCAATGTTAGAAGAAGAATTAAAAGTACGGTGAAGAAAAATTTCTTCAAAAATACATTGAATAAAAATATTAGTATTCCTAAGAATAAGAATAACATACAGATTTTCTTGTAGTGTGAGTGTTCAAGTACAGAGAAAGCAGATTTCGATCTCATCTCCTGATAAATTCGTATAGTTCATTGTACTGTTTGTCATCGTTTGAATTTTGCGAACATGCAATTATTATTAAGATGAACTATAAGATATTCAAATATCTTTGCATAGTTCATAAAACGAAATATACAAATCGAGATAGTGCTTTGATTGATTATGACGTCTTTTAGTATAAAAAAAAGAATAGATGATTATCTTATGCAATCAAAGAAGCTGTTTCATGCTGCGCATTTTGTTTTTTTCATTGAAAGTTTTGTCATGGATATTAAAATTGATTTTTACATTATAGGTCAACTTGCAAGTCAAGCGCAAAAAAAAGCCGGAACAACAAATCTTCATATCGATGTATCAGATGCTGTCAATGTTCTTGTCTATGTTGGTATAGGTGGTTATGGTGACGATGGATCTGATAACAAAGATGAAATTCGACGTAAATAAAAAGAGAAATTTAAAAAATTATTAAAGAAAAATTTGCATGTATTTATTGTAGAAGTTGAAGCCGAAATACTTGACTCGAATATTGATGAAGCTCAATTACAACGATTGAGGAACGGAGAACGACCGGGCGCTCTTTGGCATTTATTTCGTTCTGATGACGCGAAAAAGATTCGTGAATATGTTGGCCGAGTATGACTTTTTAGCGTCATAAATTTTCATCTGTATGTTTTTCTCTTAGGCTCATCGTAAAGCTACTGGCTCAGATACTATACATGATCAAACAGCTTATCTAGAAAAGGAAGATTTAGACAAGTTAAGAGATTGGAGTAAAGTTGAATCATATCCAATGCTTCAATTTCTCGGTGATGCTATTTTTATTCCAAGTGGTGCACCTCATCAAGTAATTATGAAAGACTTTTCTCTTTACATAGAAATTCATAAGCATGTTTTCTCATTTATATGCATTTTTTTTTCTTCGTCGAACAGTTTCTTTTCTTATATTGGTTGTTATATTTTAGGTGAAAAATTTACATTCTTGCATAAAGATAGCTGAAGATTTTGTTTCACCGGAAAATCTTGATAGATGTTTAATAACAACAAATGAATTTCGGTCATTATCAAGTACACATACAAATCATGCTGATATCTTGCAGGTAACTATTCACTCAATATATCTATTTGTCAAAGATAAAATTAGAATTCGACTAGAAATAAATAATTGCATGTAACTATACGCATTACAATTAGTAGAATCCCGTAACAAAACTATGAACGTCGTTTCGTTGTGAGTGAAATATAAAAAATAATGTAGTTGTTATTACTAGTTAGAGAAAGATCATTTTATTCGATCAATTGTAAGATAGAAGTCGATAAAATTTTCTATAATTCTTCAAAAATATACTAACATAGTTCGTATAGGAGAATGCGACGTACTTGATATATGCTCTTCAGTTGTATATCAAAAACGCTTGTCACGGTCTATCATACTTTCATGACTTCGATTTCTACAATCTAATACCTTAGTATCATTTTTGAATCATGTTTAACAAGAGAGAGAGAATATGCGTGTTAATATGACAGAAAAAAAGTATCATTCAACAACAGAATATGGTTACAGTTGTAATGACAAGTTCTGAAGAAAGCAATTTAAAAAAAAGATTTATTCTATTGTGATTTGATTGTATAAAATTCATTTCCAGTCGAATAATAATTTTATCCAATAACAACTTCGATAAACATTTATAAAAATGAATACTAAATTTATTACATTATTAGGCAAAGAATATTCTATACTATTCAACGCGTGATGTATTAAGTTCTCTGATTGAATCAAATCAAACTGATCCATCATTGGAATCTTCCTCTTCAAATGTACATAACTAGTTTCTTTGATGGATGATGGATAACATATATATATATATATATATATATATTACTTTTTCTTCCATTTTTATTTATTGCATTTATTTGTGTATTTGTTGTTTGGTTGATGTGTTGGATATTTTTTTTGCAAAGAAAAACTATTCGAAGGTTATACTAGAAATTGGAGTCACGTTCTTTGTTCTCAATATGTATGTCTTTATCTCACATCTTTCTTGTGTTTTTTCGTCAGTTTTTCTTGTTGTTATTGTCACGTTCGTTTTTTTTCCTTTTTTTTGTTTTTGTTTTGGTGCTAGATTCATTTTCATGCATAGATTTTTTTTCTTTGTGTGTTCGTTGTTAACTTTTGTTGTTGTTCATTTGGATGTTGATGTATGTTAAGACAACAGATAACGATAGGTATGTTTTGCCTGTTTGTATAGCATATAATCAAAAGATTTCTTTATATATATATATATATATATATATATACGTATATGTATATGTATACATTGAAAAGATTTCAAATTTTATTGAATTGACCGAAGGAAATTAAAAATTGAAAACGAATTTTTTTTGTTTGGAATAAGATACGATTAGGCTATTGATTAAAATTGATGTTTTGGGATAGAAAATTTTCCGGTTTGAAAAAAAAGATGACGTGTTGAATATCCATATAGTTAAGCTGTTAAATTAAGCATGATGGCAGATTTAGTCTTTTACGTTAAATGGAACTATGCAGAATTGAATTTTTTTTTAAATAATAAAATGGCTCCAATTCTAATAAAAAAACTAATTTTTTTATTAGTAAGTAATTAACCGTTTAATGAGAGATATTGATAAATTGAAATGAAATATTTCTTGTATTGAAATAATAGAATAGTGACTCTTAAAGTTAGTACCAAAAATCAAATAAAGGTAGGCTTAATTTAATCAGCTCGAAAACGGTATTAGTTGGTGATCTGGAATTTTTATCTATTGGAACAGAGAATTCAGGGAGTCTTTTAATTTAATAATATGTGAGCTGAAATTATTTCAAAACTTATCAGCTTCATAGTACAATTGATGACGTGTAATTTCAAATTTTTAATACAATTTGACAGAACAGATACATAATTTCGTTTGATACGTAATCAGATGAATACTGCCTTGAAATATAAATCTGGCACGCATACTTAAATTCAAGTTTATATAGAAATGAACATACCGTAGTATATTTCGTAAATATGCTCAAAGTTAAAGTAACTTGGCCTTGGAGGGTGTCAGACAAAAAAAGGAGATCCGAATACTATTCTACTTTAATTCCGACATCTATACTGTAAAACAAGATAGATACATGCATTGAGAATCTTTTTTTTGCATAGATGCAATTGTTTTTAAGATGAGGTGCTACGAGAATGACGCACTTGCCTACACATTAAAATCTTGAAAACGGTTCGTTTATAGTATGTTCGTGTTAGATGATTTCATTAACTAAATAAAATATAGAAGAATCCTTGTTTGAGTTTGAATTTTCTTGAATAATTAAATTACGAAAACAAGTTCAATTCTTTTTTTACATATGTATTTTTTTAACTCGATTAAAAATCATAAATATTTATAAACAGAAAATAAAAACACACTGAATATCATCGATTATTTCTTGTACACTGCCATTTTCTCACCGAACACAAAATGTTAATATCGTTGTTGATGATGATGTGATCGTTCACTAGCATATAAATTTCTTTTTGGTACTGAATATACAGGCCCTATTGGACTTACTGGTGCATAACCAAATTCAACATTGTAATATTGATTGATTGGTTGCAAGCTTTCGAAAAATTCCGGTTGATCATGTTTTAAACGGAAGAGAGAACCCATGGAAATTGACGAATTTATCCTTGAATGAACTAATACAAAACGCGTATTTTGTATGTTTTCATGTATTGTACGTATATATTACATACCCAAGAAAATTTTTGCTATTTCTTTACAATGACGACAATTAAAAGCATATCGAAAGAAAATTACCTTTTTTTTCTATCTATGTATATTCATCAGGAAATTAAAAAACGTATAAAAAGAATTCGCTATCATAAGACAAACTGACGATATGCTCGAATGATTGGAGGGCAGATGTCTATAGTTGCTAGTGAACTATTTACAATTGTCTCTGGTTCGTTTGGCTACCAAAACCAATGAGCCAATGCGTTTCTTATCGGGTATTTTAAAATTTTAGAAAAAAAATGTTATCATGTAGCATAGCAGATTAATTAACGCGCCGGTTTAACTCAGATTCTAAACAAATATCGTTAATCTTTCTTCGATGGCTTATCATAATCATGATTTAAAACGATTGCAACCTACAACACACTCATCTGAATATAATTTATCAATAGATGACAATGAAGCAATGAAAGAATTTGTTCAACAATTTTCCATTACTTATAATAATATCAATAAGCATTTTCCGCCGGTATTTGTTACTATTCTTATGTTAATTTGTTTGAAATAGTATTAAATTTTAGTTTAAACCAGGCCCACATCGAGCACGACGAGGTGGTGGCAATGGACGAGCATATGATCGCAACTTCTTTTCATCAGTATCACTACCCAAACGAGCAATTCACTATGATTTAGCTGAAAGTTTCATGGATCATTCAACAAATCCATTATCATCAAATTTATATAAAGTTCGATTTCAACATTCGGCGAAGCAATGGCCTAATGGTCGATTTATTAATTATAAAGAAATTCTTGATAAATCAGATGGATATATTATTGGTCTCACATGTGCACTTAATTTTCCTCTTGTTCCAAAACGGAAAAGGGTCGAAGAGACACAACAAGATTCATTAAGTGCACAGTCATCACTAAGTTTCGCTGATCCAATTTCTGAAGAACAAAAGAAGAAATTAGCAGATAAACAAACTAATCTTTATGCTAATTTATTTGGATGTGGAAAAATTCCTCGAGTAAATAGAATCTTTATTGTTATACTCACATACAGGATTATATATAGGAAAGGATATATTAAGAAAATAAAAGCAATTTTTTTTCTACGAAAGTCTAAAAGCAGCTGGATTAGTTAGCTTATAGTTTTACAATTAAATGTCAAAACTATCAAAACAATGGAGTTGATGTATTGTGAAATTAAAATATTAATCATGCTTAAAAATCATGCTACATATTTCATTATTTATGATTTTTCACAACTCAGAAAAAATGATTTATTTCTTTTAAAATTACTGTTAAAAGTTTATTCTTATATTAATGTCAGCAGATGTTAATGATTTCATTTCGTGGATTATACAGGCACGTTTTCAATTTTAAAAGTGATATTCGTAACTTGCGGTAATTCCGAAGAATTTTATTTTGCAAATCTTTTATTCTTTCAATATATGTCGCATGAAAATAGCTTAAGAAATTTTTGATAATATTCTTGCTGATATCTATGACCATATTTATTCTGTCTAACAGAATGACGAAATATACATGTCTTACTGAAACGTTTTTGTTTTATTTCAATAGTTGCCATCGAATACTCAAATCAAAAAAAGTAATAGTATTAATAATGTGACAAAATCGTCTGATCTTATTGCGTTACTCAATGAAAATAAAGAAGATAATCCATGTTCATAATTTTTTGTTTCAATCATTTACTTGCATTGTGCATATTCCCTGTTATTGTTTAGGCTAGTATCCATTCATGTATGCATATACGTTATGTCCATTTTTTTTACTTTTGTTTTGTATCTTTCATTAATTGTCGGATGATACTACTATGTATGTATCGGTGATGTAAGTGGATATTAATTTTTTCTGTGCTTGTTTAAAATGTTAAAAGTTTGTGTTGAAGTATGGGAATGACTTCGAAGAATGTTCGTTTTCTTTTTGTTATTTTCTTAGTCGAAGGAGATAACATACCAATAAAAACATAAAATTATAATCATTGATATGAACATATTTCAATAGATAAACCAAACAAAATTATTTTCTCTAGTGATGAGTAATAGTATTATTCAATTCATAGAGAAAATATATTTCACTTAGTTTCATTTGATTCAAAAACTATATTCACATATTGTAATTTTTGTCTGTGAAAAATACAGTAGATGTCAATAGTTTTACACTCCGTTTTCTTGTGAAATACTGACTGACAAATAAAAAACTTGAATATTTAACATTATTTTAGACTTGCATGAAATAATTTCGGCTCCTTCGGATGGCAAGTGCAACTGCAGAAATAAAATTTGTATCTTTAAGATATTGCTCTGAAAAAGAAGTGGTGTTTCGTCTCTGAAAGCGTACGTGTGAACAATAAGAAAAATTGGAAACTACTGGGGAAAAAGTGTTTGTCGAGACTATACATAAAATTATGATGCGCGAGTTTTCAGTGAACTGAATATGCTATTAATATAGTTTCTATTATTGATGCCAGTTGTGGTTTTGATTTATAAAATGTTACTGATGAGTATCAAGCCAACGATATATGGTAGGGAACAAGTTTGCAACCAATATAATGTCTTGTCTTATCTGAACTTGCTACGTTTGTTTGATGTACATTCTTTTTATTTTTTAAATATCCGAAAAGCGAATTTAACGGTTAGTACGAGATAAATACGTGGCCGCCCGGTGAACGCATACGAAGAAAGACGGGTGCGAAGCAATTGACCTTCACAATCACAAATATCTTTATTTACGTGGCCGCCTAAAAAGCATTCATATTTGCTGATACGGCGTGCACTGTCCGCTCATAGGCGGTCACGGTATATATACGAACAATGTACATCTCTGATACACATTTCATTCTAAAGAAAAAACTGCATAAGATAACACAGTAAGTTACTTTTTGGTTTTTTCAAACAATCTAAGAAACTTGATGGAAAATTGATTGTATCCCACAGGTATTAATACGAAACAAGGCAAGAGAACCGAAAACAAGTAAACAAGTAAGCAAACGAAATAGTCAAATTCTATTTAATTTTATTTGAACTATCGTATACCCATTAATTAGTGTGCTTACTTATTACCGTGTATGTAGACCATTCGATAAAGCATTAGCTTAGAGGATTTCATTCATTAAACATCGACTTCACAATCTAAGATGCAAGAATTTACATATACAAGGTATTACTTATACCTATTCAAGCAGAACCATTTGTCAGTCAATAGAATTACGAAAACAAAACAAAAGAATGATATAAGATTCATTATTTAGTGGGAAAAAAGTTAAGTTGTAGCTATGAACAATAAATTTTATTATATGACATGAGAAAATATCAGATCATATTATGATCAACTTGCTAGTTTAAGTAAATCTGATATTCATAAAAGTTGACTATGTCTATTAAGTCATTGTCAGTTATGAAACAGTTATAACAAAAATATTCTTCGGTATTTTTGTCAATACATACATATAGATCATTTATGATATTTCACGAAGTATGTGTAACAAGAAAACATATCACATATGAGCTGAATGCGAGTATTTGAATGTGACTGTTGATGAGTGCTACATGTGCAATACGTCACCTATGCATAATTCGCCAAAGAATAACGAGTAAAATAATCGACTGAAGTTTAAAAAACAGCTAAATATCTTATACTTTCATTTGTTTACCTCTTTCATCGTTGCACACTGAAAATAAATTGATATCAAAGTAGTTTCACGCGCCTTTAATTGAACTGACCAGTGCTAACATATAAGAATCCGTTGAATCGTACTATCTACAGCAAAGCAGAGGTGGGCAAAATACTCGAAGTACTCGTACTCGAGAAAGTCCGCACTTGCCCAGCTCTGCAACAAAGGCCCATTAGAATTTACTAGCTCAATACAGTAGCAAAGTCAAATTTTTGAATAGAAAATCGAATATGATCCGTGTGTTTTTTTCGTTCAAGAAGAGACAATTTTGAAATTCATAATGCTTCTCTAATAGCTATATATCCTTTCATCTCTCTCGTTTCCAATATTGAATCCATTGATCCGAATAAAATATGTACAGTACCAAGAGAAAAGCTTTGAATTTCGAGTTTGAGTTAGTTTGCACTCGGTAAAGATCAAGTTAACATAGAACGAAAAAGTACTTAAAATCATTGATGCATAAAGAGGCAAAAATTTCCAGAGCTTTCAAACAACTGGACTTGACTTTACATTCCATGGTGTAGTGAAATTAGTGAAACAAGTCGACAACAAATCAATACTGCAGATAAATAAGTTTTCATCTTTCATTTCCAACTTTTCCTTTTTTGAATGTGTCATGATATCAATTTTAACATACGTCTACAAAAAATCAGCCGCGGCTAATCCATGATCTTCCACAAATTGCTCCAACGACGATTGAAGATGTCGCTCTCGTATGATACCATTTGATACATATTGAAATTAAATAAAACTTATTTAATTAGTAAAATAAATAAATAATAGATTAATTCCTCAAGTTATTTTTTTATTCATTTAAATCGAAATCTTTTTATTCGACATTTTGTCGATTACATTGATGAGGCTATTAAATGCTATGCCTGAATGGCGACCGTGAAAAGACACTAAGATCCAGTCAAAATGAAGTTCTTTGTATTGTTACCACTAACACTATTTCTTTCCTTCCTCTAATGAATGTTTTTTTTTTCTCTCTCTCTCTCCTTCCCTCTCTCGTATCTCAAGATCTCGTGTGCTACGTATAAACGTCAATAAATGAGTCAAATTGCAATATCGTAGACATATATAATACATAGATCGATCATATTTCAGATTGCATCAATTGAGCTTGTTACTTCACATCATCATATTTTGACTATACATACTGTTATCTGTACATTTGTCAATTGTTTTTGTTTTTTTAAATTTTTTTATCTTACGTTCCTTCAAGACAAAAAATATCAACATCTTATTTGCTCCATATCTATGTAGTATGTAAAATCTGATTTTTATTTCAATAAATAATATTTTGTCTCTCTATATAGAATATGTTATATAATATGATAATAGAATCGTCTTTTAATTATCGAATATTATCAATATTTGAATAATATCCATGATGATGCCAACAATAACCGCTTTTCGGGATCCTGTTGAAGCTCCAATTCGAAAATTAAGTGTCGATCTTATTAAAACATACAAACATATCAATGAAGTACGAATTCTTTATATCTATTTCTTTTATTACTCAATCGCATAGACATTCATATCCCATATAGTATTTTTCGTAGTGCTTGATGATGCAAAAAAGGAGGAGAATAAAAAACAAATCAGATCATATCTCAATGCATACACGTTTTCGTTTTTCTATATTAGTAATCATTGAATAGAGCATCATTCAGGTCACCTCCATGGGCATTAGCAAGCCGAAATGCATTCATATCAGTATCACGCAATTGCTTGACGCCTGTAAAAATGAGTAAAGTGCACACGAATATGATTCGTCTGTGATTTTTCTTTTGTATCGTTTAATTCATTAGTATTAGCCTTGGTGTTCGAGGTTTGTTATTGGCTGTCATCATTGATACATACTATTTATTTAAGCGACACAATAGTTGTATAGATTTTTCTCGTCACTCTTTTTTTTTTTTTTCGTTCGGTTTTTCTTGTATCTTTTGTTTATAACGTTAGTACATTTTGAGATAGAGGTAATTAAACTAACATAATGCAATACCTACAAGCACCTTATACGGAATGGGTTAAACCAAATAGCTATGATCCGTTCAATTGGAATGGTATTTATCATAATTATCCTCCACTTTCGTCCAATACTAGTAGTCTTACTGATGGTAGTTCAGCGTACAGTAGTTCGACTAATTATCAATATGATGTATTACCATCATCTATAGGTCGATTTTCACCTGATAAATATCATTCCACTTATCAAGTATTAATCAATCGAGTACTTTTTATATCATTTTTTTAAATTTTGCTTAGGTATACTATGCCAAAAAGAAAAAACGTAGTAACAATCAAGTGATTGAAGAAAATGGTTTACATAAGAAGGAGAAAAGAAATTTAAATGATGGATATGATGATGAAAATCATGATTATATTGTACGACCTGGAGAAGTATGGCTCGAACGATATACCATTGATTGTTTAATTGGTAAAGGTAGTTTTGGACAGGTAAATGAAAAATTTATGATTTTAGTTCATACGAATGACTGTTTTCATTCTTATTGCAAAACTTAATTTAGGTCATAAGCATTTTTATCGCATGAGAATTATCAAATATGTTAAGACTGCTAATATTTCAGTTATGTCGAGAAAGACTTGTTCGATTTCAGATCACTTTTTTCTTCCTTTTAAATTTTTACTTCGTCCGCATAAAGAAAGGATGACAAATTCAGTATGACCATGTATTTATATAAGTGCTGTTTCTCTCTCTCTCTCTATATATATATCTACATACTAATAAAAAGCTTCATTCAAAAAAGCAGCTACTGAGGCTTCATCTACTCCTTCACATAATAAAAGAAAAATAATTCAATATAACAGAACTCCTTGGAGAATTATAAAAAAAACAGCTAGAAACGAAAGATAAATTCTACTTTTTCCTGAAACATTTTAGCGAAAAATGTACTAACAAGTTTAAAAAAGATTTGTATTCATTATGAAAGATAATACTTGGCATGTATGGTTTTATCGAACGAAAATTTTAGCGTTTATCCTGTTGAAGAAATGTAATTTTTCGTTTTCATGTCAGGTTGTCAAAGCATTTGATCATACTGATGGTGAATATGTAGCTATAAAGATAATAAAAAACAAGCGTCCATTTCTATCACAAGCTCAAATTGAAGTACGTCTTCTTGAATTAATGAATCAACAGGATTCAGATAATAATGGTTATGTGGGTATGTAGTATTTTTAACACTTTGAAATAGATTTTAATTGTTTTTCTTTGTTTAAGTTAAACTAAAACGACATTTTACATTTCGAAATCATCTATGTCTTGTATTCGAATTATTATCCTATAATTTATATGATCTATTACGAAATACAAATTTTCGTGGTGTATCGCTTAATTTAACACGAAAATTTGCTTTACAACTTCTATCTGCATTGCTATTTCTTTCTCAACCTGAACTTAGTATACTTCATTGCGGTAGGTTATTTAGAAATAAAATAGTAGGCTAATAGCAAATTTAAAATTATTAGATCTGAAACCTGAAAATATTCTATTGGTTAATCCAAAACGATCTGCTATTAAAATTGTTGATTTTGGTAGCTCTTGTCAAATTGGTCAACGTGTATGCTACTTTCGTTTTTTTGCTCATCAATGATAGATAATATTTTTGTCTCGATAAATATATTTAGCTTTACCAATATATTCAAAGTCGATTTTATCGTTCACCAGAAGTTTTACTTGGTATTCCATATGATATGGCGATTGACATGTGGAGTCTTGGCTGTATTCTTGTTGAAATGCATACAGGCGAACCATTATTTAGTGGCACAAATGAAGTATGTTATTTAGAATATAAGTTTATAATATTGAAAAGAAATCGATCATAATGTTTTTCTCCCCAATGCACTATTGGTTAAATTCCTTAGATGAAGAACAGTAACTCATGGTTTTTGAAATATATATGTATTTTTTCGTACAAAAGAAGAATGTATGAACAAGAATTGAGTTGAATAATACTTCGAATTAGAAATGAAGGAAATTGACTGAATACTTACATTTACTAATCTATATTAACATTGTAAGCTATTCTAGTTTTTGAAAAATATATCTAGAAAAAATGAAGTATTTACTATTAACCAAAATTTTTTTCTAATTACAAACAGTGAATACTTTTTGTACGAGTCAAATTGCTGGATTTTGTTGTCTATCGTCTATGTTAGGTGTACTGCTGTTAATATGAAAATCACACGCACTCATTCTAACTGGTTAAGCTCTTGTTGAGTTGATAAGCATGCTTTAGCGAGATTAGGGGTGTCAGAGTTCCCCGCTCCTAGCTTTCCGTTCCTAGGAACGAGAACGCATCGCAAGCTGCGATTTAAAGAGATTCTAAATAACTCGAAATTTTTGTCCATTATTCTTTATCGTTTTATTTCATAAAAATTTTCCTTACCGGTTCCTAAGAACGGGGAACTCATATAGCGTTCACATTCTTGGGAACGGGAACGGGAAATGCGTTCTCACATTTAGGAACAAAAAATCCCAATTGAATTTCCGATCGAAAGGAATATGAATCTAGAGATTCGTTCCCATTCTTAGGAATGAGTACTCAGTTAGCGTTTCCGTTCGCAGGAACGGAACGCGAACGCGACATCCCTAAGCGTGACTAGTGAAAGTCTAAAAGAATTTGTCGTATGGGCCTTTCAAGAGAAACTACGTTCTTTTGTTCAAGCAGCTTTATGGATATACTGAAAACAACATATAGCAAAATGTTGATGTCGTGTCTTTGGCTATCGATTAACTCTTTTGTTTTTGAAACTCAAAAAAACAGGAGCTTTCTTTCGACTTACAACTTTGAAAATTCATTCGATATATCTCTACATAAAACTTCATACTAAAATTCTATTGTACTAAAACACTAGCTTAAGTTACAACTTTACAAAAAAAACAACGACATTTAATTATGAGAATCGAATTAAGCCTAATTAATATTTATATGAATCGAAGAAAAAAAAAAGAAAACCTTATATTTTAATCGTTCGTCATTTCTAGTTTGATCAAATGATGAAAATTGTTGAAGTACTTGGTATACCACCAACTCATATACTTGAACAAGGAACTAAAACTAAACGTTTCTTTGATCGTCTACCTGATAATACATGGATACCACGGAAGAATAAAGATAAACGGGTAAATATACTAAAACAAACATGATCCAACTCAGACTGAACTAAGCACTCTCAATATTTTACTTTTAGTATCGATCACCTGGTACACGTAAACTACATGATATTATTGGTGTTGAGATCGGTGGTCCTGGTGGTCGTCGGGCTGGTGAACCCAACCATTCCGCATCAGATTATATCAAATTTAAAGAACTTGTTCAACAAATGCTTGAATATGATCCGAAACGGCGTTTATTACCATTTAATGCATTACAATCGAGTTTTTTTAAACGAACTTATGATGATACATCAAATGTTAATCATACAACAGCAGCCACCACAACAGCTCCAGCAACAACAATAATGAATACTAACCCATTGTCAAATCTTAATTCGAATAGTTCACCTAATCTTGATCCAAGTAAGTTAAAGCGATCGTTTGTTTTTCTTTTATTTTTCTCTTTCATTTTCATTTAAAATAAAGCTTAGTTGATAACGAGTTGATCTTTGTTTGTAGACCATCAGCAAGTAAAAAAACCAGGACGAAAACCTATGATTATTACTAACGATTCAGTATATAATAGTCATCAATGAGCAAATTGTTTTTTTTCTTTTCTTTTTTCATTTGTCTTCTTCTAAATAGAAATAAAAAATAGAGATATTCAAAAACAAAACAAGCTACATTTCAATAAAATGCTTTATTTAATCAAATATTTTTAATCTCTCGCTATGGGACAGTCTGTAATGCTTCTTATAACTTAACTCTAGATTAAAATGAAGACGAAAAATAAATAAAAATAAAAAAATTATGATGGTTTATTTCTTTTTCAATTTCATAGGCCTTCGTTATCGTCATTTAATTGAAACAGTACAACCGCCGAATCTTTGGCAACCAACAGATTCATTTATGCCTGGAATTCCAAGACCATATCCTGCTCAACAAACGACAAATACTAATAGTTCAATTTATTTAACTAATACTTACCCAACTGATTCAATTGATCTTGTTGCACCAATAGAATTTCAATCAACGAACAGCTTTTATTCATCTCAGAGACCTCATGTATCACCGTCCGGAACAACATTTCCACCATTATTTACATATGTTCCACAAAGTTTTAATCATCATTTATCATCAACTATAGACGATAATTCTTTGCTTATACAAAATCCTAGTTTGACTTGATCTGTTTAAGCACACATATACGTATACACACACACACGCACACACACACACAGGCATCTTATTCAATCTTTACGTTTGTTCCTTTTAATTTATTGTTCTTTCTATTGCGTTTATTCTCGCAGTGATCTTTTGGTTTTTTCTTTTCTATAATAAAAGAACATCAAGATGTCTTTGTAAATAATGTGTCCTTTAGCTTTTCTTTTTCGGAAAAGCTTCTTCCGCATAGAAAACAAAAATAATTTGTGTGTGCGTGTGTGCTTGTATATAATTTAGAATTATGGAAAAATTGAACTGCTAGGAGTGAATACTAACTGATTGTGTGCGTTTTTATTTTCTTTCTTTTTCTCTATCTCTCACTCACATGTTTGTATAGTTTTGTATGACGCTTTCGAAGTGTGTATATAAAACAAAACAAATTTTTTTGAATACAAGCAAACGAACAACAATACTTAAAAAAAGGAAGTAATAATAAAGAAAACTGTCTAAACTCGAATCAAAGTTTTAGCATATCTTTTATTTATGATATTCTATTGTTGAAGATGCATCAAAGATTATCATGTTTTTATTAGTTATAATTGCCAGCTATTTTCTTGGATGCCTATCAACAATTGCACTAGCCATCTGTTTGTTTCTACGCTTTGGATTATATGCTCCAGGAACAGTCTTTGAAGAAGAACAATTTCAAGCATGTCAACAATTAGCTGAAGTAATTCTACATTTCTTAACTTGTATTTCATAGACGGATCTATATATGTTCTTCTCTTAGAATGATCGAGCGCAAAATGCTACAGTTGATACCGTTAATTATTTATTACATTTCTTATTTCAAGAAATAAAAGATGGAACAAGGTTCAGACGCTTTATTATGCACAAATTACATGTTGAATTTGATGAATTAAAAGCAACTCGGCTGGGAAAATTATTTCTGCAAGATATTCGTGTATGTCGATATTAAAATAAATAACTATTTTGTAAATTGTCTCTACTATTTATAGATACTAAGTTTTTCTCCCGGAAAAGAATGTCCAATATTCAGTGATATTCAATTTGGACGACAAAAACGTGATGAGCGTCAGTTAATTAAAGTATAAAATTTTTAAGTCTATATAAATATTCTATGTTACATTTCCAAAATAAATTTATTTATAGGAATTCGTTGCTAAACTTAATGGTGTCTATAGAGATGGATTTTCCTGTACACTTGATATTAAACTTGCATTTGGTGTTCAATGTCAATTATATATCAAAGTTAATCGTATTCGAGGAAATTTACGTTTAGAGTTTCGACGTGAACCATTTTCTCATTGGATAGTTGTTTTTCAAAATGAACCATTGATTGACTTAGAAGTTAGGTCTTATTTATTTAATCGTGAAGCTCCTCTATTATCAATATTAATAACCCAACGAATACTTCGTGCTATACGACGTAAACAGATTTGGCCAAGTTATAAAATTCGTTATCAACCATTTTTTCCAAAATCAAAACAACCATTGCCCATTGAAATTCCATCGATAAACAATCAAAATTTATTACCTGGAATTATGGAAATTTCAATTAGATATTGTGATCGTCTTTCGATTCCATTCGAACTATTCAATAAAGAAAATGCTTCATTGCTATCAATATTTTTATCGTTGAATATAGATAATCAAATGTGTAAAGATTATTTACGTATTAATCGTGATCAGTGGATAAGAAAAGAAATTGAATTTATTCCACAAAGGCATAAAATTACTATCAAAGAAGTTCTATATATGGGTCACATTGAGTTTTTAATCGAAACATTTAATCCCGTGCCAGATGGAATTGATGATGTAACAATATTCAAAGAATCATTAGAAAACAAAAATATTTTTCTGTTTCAAATGGAAGGACAAGAGATGAAAACCCTAAGAAATATAAATCGTCTGTTAAAATATCAATTAAATAATGCGCATGGGCAAAAAGTAAAAATTGTTGTTGGAATACCTTTACTACATTGTGTTCAAGTACAACGTGACGTTGAAATAGAAAATACAAATCTAACAGAGAAAACAGTAAGAAGTTTTATTTATCTACTTGAATAAAACTTGAATAATTAGGACCCAGAATTATCAACGATGATACAACAACGAACGACAGGTTTGTTTCTTAGGTTTTAATACTGTTCTGAAATACGATCAAATGAGAATGCTGAAGTACATATAATACAGCCTAGAACATGCTGTCCTTGTCTTTCAGACGATAGCAGACGGAATTGATAGACCATGACAGCTACGTTATCAAGGTTCATCATGTTACAATATGTAACAGACGTTATTGATATACAAGTACACATCATTAAAAATATCTTAGTAACAATTTCTCCTTGAATAATAGAAATCATCACGTATTTTGAACATAAGATCAATCGTATATCAGTGGTTCTAATGAATGAAGAATTTCTCCGTTAAAAAATCTCCAAGATTAAATAAAAAGGATGTTGAAGAAATTTCTCTTAATATTGATTTAATAAAATGACGTGTCTGTAATTAGCACCAAGAGTACTTGGATCGTTTTTCTAATTTCAACCAGCTAGCGATGACATGTCAAATCTTTTCATTATACGTTTATTTTAATTCGTTTTTAGTCAATGTCAATCAATCAGGCAGTTTCATTCCAAGTCAGAATTCAAATGCAATAAAAACAAGAAAGGAACAAGTAAATAAAAGCTATCTACATCGTATCTCAATTTTCTGATATATTTAAAAGAAAAATTCTTCATCGGATGCACTCACTTTAATCATGTTGAATACTGATGATATACAAAAAATACTTCGCCTTCGAACGCCTACTAAAAAAGCAGAACCAGTTCGTATTTTTAACTAAAACAAAAATAAAATAACTTCATTGTCATGTTTGTTTTGGCTACTCCTCAATATAGTTTGTTGAATTTAATCACAAGTTTCAATTTGAAATAAATCCAAATGATCAATACCTTAATTTCTACTTATGGTATAAGCCACCACTCGATTTTGATATACCACAAGTTAGCAAAAAACTTATTCTACTTGGTTATGTAAGTAAATAATCATCAAATACAATAGAAACAACGACAATATCTAAAACTTCTAAACTAGTCTTTCCTTCACAGTTTTTTATTGAGTACTTGTTTCCTCTATTGTCATTAATAATCATTTATGACAGAACCCAAGCTATCATAAACATGAGTTAATTAAGTAATTTACAATTTCAACCTTTTGATTTAGACTACGGTTGCTCTTTCCGAATTGGTTATCGATGCTCATATGAGTTTCAAGCGTGAAACTTCTATGACACTTAATTTTCAATCTGCTTATACGTCAAAACCTAATTTGTACGGTGAAATCAAAAGTTTAATTCTTAAAATAACGAACAATTACTATTTTTTTCAATTTAGGAAGTCTATTCAAACAAATTCGAAAAGGTATATCATTGAATTGAATCGAATAAATTCATGTTGTTAAATTCTATTCTAGTAAAAAACTTGCTGAATTGAGTACACATAGAGGTTACGATGATAATATGGCTCATGGTTTTGTTACAATCGATATGAAACATGAACCAACAACTAAAAAAAAATTAGATTCAGACGAGAAAACACAATCTGTTTTGGTAAAAAATGATAAGAAAAATCGAGACCAACCAATTTCTAGTAGTGAAGAACATAGATGGTCTTTAGCTAGGTTAGAAAACGTTATTTGCATAAAAGTAAAAACCTTTTCATATAATTTCTTTTGTTTAGCTCTTATAGTCATTTATTTGAAGATCACACATTCAGTGTTAAAACATTATGCGTGAATTGCAATACAAAAATTTGGATACCATCAGGTCGACTCTGTCGATATTGTTTCATAGCAGTACATAAAAAATGTGAAAAAAAATGGACCAATGAACATGTTTGTACTCGGAAACCTATTCGTTCAGTATCTGAAATATCTCTAGATGACTATTCCATTATATCAACTGATGATATCGCTTTGAATTCAAATAGAAGTCCAGTAGCATCTCATTTGCAAACAACAGTAGAAAGTGCGGCTGCGGCTGCATTTACTTTAATTGATTTATCAGCAAGTCGATCACTTTATGGCGTGATAAATAAAAATTTTAATGTAATACCATCGTTAGTCCTATCAGATAATGAATTGATAAGTAATCCTTCAACTAATTCCTCATCTTCGACGGAACAACGATCTGTAGCAAATCTTCCCGCACATATATCGTCGAAATTTATTAATGCTGCTTTACTTACCTATGGTAAATTAGTTTCGTTAAAAGGAAGACAAATGCCACTTTCTTTAACCGTGGAATCAAAAAGAAAACGATCATCGTCTGATACGGGTAATGATTTTTGATAGTTTATATCATTTGAAGTTAATTCCCCGTTTTGTTTTTCTTAGCTGCTCGTGACAACATTTCGGAAGACGATCTTCAAGATTTTGTTAAAGTAAATAGTACAAAAAAATTATTAAAAAATGACAACAAATTTTCCTTTTTTTAGAAATGTTTATCTAATGAAACGATAGATGCAAAGAGTTTTGAAACTTTAATTCATGAAAAAGCTGTTGATCATACAGCACTCTATGCACAAGCTAATGAACTTGGTGCAGAATTATTTCCAGAGTTACCAGTTGAAGAACGAAGACAGAAATTCGAGAATGAAGTTCGATAATTTTGTACATGGAAAAGTTCATATTTTTTAAATCGCTTTTCTTCTAATTCAGATTTCTCGATTACAACAAGAAATTGATTTACAAGATCGGATCCGCGATGAATTGATTATTGAATATAATAGTGAACGGACAGATGAACATACAAAAAGAAATATTCAGACAAAAATCACCAATGTCCATGAAAAAGTACAAGCACTTGGTAACTATTTTTTTATATTAGATTATTGAAGAAACACTTCGTTGAATTCTTTTGTAGCTGCTTTAACGATTCTTTACTGTTCCGGTAAATATCTCCGTAGTTTTTTTTAATATCATCTTTAAGAATATTATTTTAGGTCTTAAGCATTGTTATTCTCAAACATAAGTGATAAAACTCTACAGTCGCCAAAAAAAACCCAATAGGATGATAGCGTTAACAATCAATTATTTATTTATGATAGTAAACAGTGATAATTTCAGTTAATTTTCGTATAATCAGTGCCATTCGATATTTGTTAAACCCAATAAAAAAAACAATATTTGTATTACAGACTTGATGCAATTCGCAGCAATATTATTCTGTACATAATACAATCTGATTTCGTTTTCTTTTTCATTTTCATTTTCTGTAATTTTGTAACTACTATGATGACTAATCGTGTGATTTTTATTTTTACATTTATTACTGTGATCGATAATCTGTTTTTTTTTTTAACAGATGCTTTTTTACAATTAATCCCGATATGTTTAAACATATTAATTGAAGTATTTTGTTTCTTTTTGATATTACAATGCATTGTACATAATTGATGAGCAATTTAAATGCATTTTTTATTTTCAGTCATTATTTTTTCAATCCAAACAAAGTGACATCAATAATAATTTAATAAATTGTGTCTTCCCTTCGTTTCAGATGACAGATATTCAACATGAAATTCAAACATCAGAAGGAACGAATGTACAAGTAGAGCAAGCTCGAAAGAAACTCTACGATTGGCTTAATAAACCTATGCGTGTGTCAATAGTTGATGGACGTGTTCTTGTTGGAGTCTTACTTTGTACTGATCGTGATCAAAATCTTATCTTAGGTAATTGTAATGAATACATTGGTTCACCAAGTGAACAAGAAGAGTTTCGTGTACTTGGTCTTGCACTCATACCTGGTCAACATATTAAATCAATTTATATTGATGAAAACACCTCATCAATACCTAATCATTCAAATATATCAATTACGAAAATCAATGATCATATGTTAGATGATGATAAAAGTGATTGTTAATTTTATTTTTGTTTTTGTTTTCTTGCAATTTTAATCGATCTTTTTTGTTTTCTTCTTTTGTATGTATTTGATTCGCTTATGATTTTTCCTTTTGCCCTTCAGATAGATGTCTTGTCAGAAAGGTAACATCGGTAGAACACGCAAACAAAAATATCAAAATGTATCAAAATTTAAAAATAATATGTTTGATACAAGTAAAATGACCAAAGAAATCAATGCCATCGAACATAAAGGTGTTTGTGATCATTGTAAAGGAGTTCTTGAATGGAAAGTACATTATAGAAAATATAAACCATTAACACAAGCAAAGAAATGGTAAAGATTCATTTAAATTTTATTAAATATTACAATTTATATTCGATATTTTAGTGTTCGTTGCCTGGAAAAAAATGTTATTCGCGCTTATTACATCATGTGTGATGATTGCGGAGCTAAAGATAATCTTTGTTGTAAATGTGGACTAAGTCAAGATGCACCTATTCCGTAAAAATCAGCATTATGTATAGAATAAATATAATATTAGATAATATTGTGTATTGCAGACGACCTGTTCCTGCTGTTGAAGAAGAACGCGAACAAGCAGAATTTGAAGTTGATATTAAATTTCTTCGAGAGAGACAAAGACGTATGTTTATTAATACATATTTTAATAATAATAAAAAAGACAAACAAAAAAGAAACAATTCTCATTTTTTTTTCTACCTAGGTAAATTTCATCGATTAATGAAACAAGGAATGTCCGGCGAAGAAGCTCTAGCAAAACTCAATGTTACTCCGAACAAACAAGCGAATGGTGGTGATGGCGAGGATGATGAAGATGATGATGATGATGATTCGGATCTCGATGAAGATAATTCAACTTGAAATGCAAAAGAGAAGAAAAACAATATATACATGTTCTTGTTATTGTTGTTTCTAAGCAATAAACAGATCATCAAATAACGAATTGAAATATTGTATAAATATCGACCAATATGAATGAATAAGTAGAGATGGTTCTTTTTCACGTACTAATGATAAATATTCGAGGACTATTTGAACATTGTTTTCTTGATATCGATAGAGACAATCAAGTGTTAATGGTCGATGAAATTTTACTGCATTAGTATAGTCTAATTGTCTTTTGTATGTTTTGATACCGTACGATAACTGTTGAATAACAAATACATGAGTATTAAGAATTGTTTGCATTAAATCTGATTTTGATGAATGAAGATTTTGTAGAAAATTCGATTGGTATTGAATAAGATAAATTAAATGATAAAGATATAATGATGATTTTGGCAAAAGATAAATAGAAAATTTTTTAAAATCTGAATACGTCAGTTTAATAGATATGGTATTAATTAATGCCGTCGAACTGTTTTCTTCATTGTATAGATTATAATTTGAATTAAAGTAATGAGGAATAGATTTTGTTTGAAGACAATTTAAAAGATAATCAATAAAATGATGTACAAGACTAAATAAATCACAGGTTATAAATGAGTTGGGAGAGTATTGTTCAAAGAAATAGAAGAGTGTATGTTTAAAAATTGCAAATGACAGTTGTCCTTGTGTTCTTCCATTTAAATAATTCCATAAGATTGTCGCAAAACGTACATGTCCATCAGACATTGTATGGACAAGTTGAGCTTCTAACGCCGCATATGAATAAGACCACGACGAGTTTGATAATGATTGAAGTTGTTTTTCGCAAGTAGAACATTTTTCGTTTGTCAATATTTCCTGGTCGTTACCATTGAATCGAATGAAACAAGTATTTTTAAATAAATTTTCTACATTGATCGGCCAGAAACGCGTGCGTTGCTGATATGTTGAACGTATTTCTTGTGGCCACGATTGAAGACGTAGAACAATGTAAAAAGACGTCTGATCAACATCAAAATCATAGGAATAACTTAATTTTGAATTGTTCACAATTATTTGTTGAATTCGATTTGAATGTTTCCGTGAAATAAATCCAAAACTATTATTATTATTGATTTCATTAAAACATGTTTGTACTAAATTATACGTGACATTAGCAAGCAAAAATGAATGTAAATGATTATTGAATTTTGAACCAGAAATTAATAATGAACAATGATCACAAGATGATAATAACATTTGCGGTACATCTTTTGTATTATATGTTATTGATTCAAATTCATTTGGGCGAATATATTTCGTTAGATAAACAAGCTTTTTATCTTCATCAAAGATCAATGATGGCGTATCGAATTGTTTTAAATCTCTACAATGTATTTTATGTAATACGATTATAAAGAAAGATTTACTACTTACTTTAAATTTATACATTCGAGTTTGTTATGTTCGATTAGTATTGTTTTTGTTCGACGATGAACTCGAATAAAATCTTGTTGTAGAACATCATCAATAGCAGAACTGAGTGTGTTACAATTATGAATTATTGTATTTTGATGAAATTCACTTAGAAATAAATCATTTTTACAACGTGAAGAAGATATTGGTAGTACGATTGAGAATATTTCATTTGTAGATTGATTATCAAAGTAGTATTGTTCATTGGAAGGTACAAAGTGAAATCTACTACTATTTATTAATTGATACGATGATAGAATCGGATTAATTTCAGATGATGAACAAGACGACGAAAGAATAATTTGACCTTGAGACGAGAATGATGTTGTATTTGACGAAAATGAAGATATTGATGAATCGGAAAGTGTTGGCGAAGGTGCCGTACTACTGCCGGATTCTTAAATAATCATTTAAATAAATAAATCTAATCATTGAAATGTTATTTCATCTACCTGACAATATTTCTTGCGTAAAGGTCAAAACTTCTTTATTGTTACTTATTTCTTTTTCTTTACTAACGAAGTGTCCCATTGCTGAGTCTTGTTGATTTGTTATTAACGTACCTGAATTGACTACATTATTCTCACAAAAGTCTAAAACATCATTACTCAATTTAAATGTTTTACATTGAATTGATAATTGAATCGGCGATAACCTTGCCGACGTATTCGTGAATAAAAATTGGTCTTTTCTTACTGTTGTGGCTAACGATAAGGGATATTCAACGGCATTCTTTTCATTTTGTTCATTATGATTAAATAGAATATCAGATTGTTTTACATTGTAAAAACGAGCAATATGATTACTAGTTTGGTTCGATGATGGTGGTCGATTTGATTTTATAGTTAATTGATTATTACTGCGTAATTTACTAGTGGAAATTATTGAGGAAGAATATTGATGATGTTTCTTTTGTGCATGAGATTTTTTACCAATACAGTTACCCATTTTTATAAATGATTTAAATTAACTAAAACGAAATGTAGAAAGAATAAAATCTAGAGTTTCGATGATATTTCAATTTTCAAAGGCAAAGCCATACTATTTACAGAAGAGAAATTCATATCGATCTACAAACGAATGAATATATATATATATATGAGCTTTCGAGTGTGTCGCGTACATGTACACATAGAAATTATGGTTTCTTTCTCTTTCTCTTTTATTTGAACTAACAATAGTATAGTGCGTGTTTATTCATTGTCCTTCACTCTCTTTACCTATCACTATTACACGAGTAAAACTTATTGTTATTGTTTTATGGATGAATATTCAACAAGCAGAGACTTGAATGCTTGTATGCTCATGCACGCTCATATAAATGAACTTTTCGTATTCTCTTTTATCTCACCTCCTTTCCATTTGTCATAAAAACATCATAGGAAATATTCAAGATGTTTCGATTAAACATAAATAAACTGTCATAGTACTAATCAATTGATAACCTTCGGCTAAAGACAGAGAAAAGCTTTTTACTTCTCAATAACATATAATTTATATACGTATATATATATGTGTGTGTTCTTAAGTGAGATCAACATGTAACACCCTGCATAGTAAGTATACATATGAAGAGAGAAATCAAAAACTAATGTACTAACTACTATGTCATATAATAAAATATGTAACACAAAACAATATGATTACATATTGAACAGCAGGTAGTTTAATCTACTAAATAAAGAAAATTTCATTATACGTACATACTGTGTTTTGTAGAGAAACAAATCAAATTGCCAAAAGATTTCTTTTTATGGTCGTAATCATTATTATTATGAGAGAAACATAAATAAACTTATGAACATACATGTTGTACAAACGTTATATGTAACTCGAAGTGATTCTTATAAGTAGATTCTGAGTATAAGCATTTGTTGTCTTTATTTCTTTTCTTTTCTTATGTCACATTTGGTCCCTAAGAGCACGAATATGTAGCACCTGCTCATTGATATTCAAAAAGAAAAAAGAAAAAAATTTAATTCTATGCAAATTTCCATAGCAAAAGACAATAGAACAATGAACAACAATAACATGAGGTATTTTTGATTAAAATGATAAAAGAAAATTAGATGTTACAGTATATATCTGATTGTATGTTCGTGTTTAATAAATAAAATTTAAAAAAAAACAGAAGAAGAAAGGAAAAAAGGTGACAAAAAGAAACAATTTAGTTACAATACGACTATCATTAAATGAACTGACCTCGAGATAATGTAGCGACATTCATATCAATGAGGCTTTTGATTTTTGTTGAAGGCGGTTCTCCTTTCTTTTTCTTTTCTTTTAATTCAAAGCATCTGTCAACACACTTCAAACATCGACTATTATGACAAATATCTATAGTTCAGTATTCGTCTGCTGTCAAATAATTTAAAAAAAAGATTATGCCTTCAGTGTCATATCATTGTTTGTCTCATGCTTAGCTATTTTCTTTGAAATGCATGTATGCATATATAATATGAGATTTTAGTTTCTACATACTTACTACCAATGTGTCCTAGAGAAAATGTCTGATCATTATATATTTATTTATGATATGATGATGTTACATAGATGACAAACGAGAAAGCAAGACAAACCTTGCAATAAGAGCTAATGGCAGCGAAGAAATTACGTCAATCGTAAATTACGTATTGAACCTGTATGCGTCTGTCAATTTTGGGTGAGTTGAAAAGATCATGTCAACATATACCATAATGGTCAACCAAACAGACATTGATAATGGTTATACAATGCATAACGAAGATGTTTACATATATATTCTATGAATGTCTACGTCCCATAATATATATATACGTATATATAAGTATATGCATGAATGAAGAACTATATCCACCTGGTCACTTTCTTTTATTTTTATGTAAACTCAAAAAGAAAAATTATTACATCATGATTGGTTTCATTCTATAGACACGTAAAATTAAAATAGGAAGAGACAGACCGGCAGACGTAGACAGATAAAAAGAAAAAAATAATGCAAGCTGTTGCTTTTGTTATATGACTAAATGAATACGAAATCATTACTAAATGTAATCTATATTAAAAACAACTGATACGTAATGATAGACATTTTCTTAAGCAATTAAGAGGAAAATTATGGAAAAAAACGAACAAAAAATCCTACCTTTGATTTAATTGTCGTATGACTTACTTGTTTGTCACAACAGTAAGAATGTTTTGAGAAAGATTTGTCTATTCTCTATCGTTTCTATGTTAGACTTTAATGGATTAATAGTTATACGATGTCAAACGTGATCAAAAGCATATTTGTGATTGTTACTCGATGGCTGTGATATATGACACTGATTTTTTGTGTCAGATCACATTCATCAAAATTTCACCAAAAGATAGTCTGTCTTTGGTATGAGTTCGACATTGTTTATATAGAGTATGTCCATATGTCTAACATTGAATACCTTCACCAAGGACACGTGCCTATAGAAAATATTTGTTATAGATATCATAGAATTGATTCCAATAAAATCCAGAACTATTTCGCCAGAGAAAAATAGACTATTTATTTGTTCTTGAACAATATTTTGTTGTAGAATAAAAACTCACGGGACTTCATCCTGTAAAATAAATCAATAATAAATAACACGAGAGAAAATATAATAAACAAATGCCAAGAAAACAGTTCGGTAGTAAATGAGAATGCAAAAACGATGTATGCATTGAGAAAATGAATTCAGGATGATTTCTATGTGTAACTCAGTTATATTTTATAGAATTTCTGTCACAATCAACATGTGAAATATTGTGATGAATTTTAAATGGTCTTGAAGTCATTGCCAACGGTGTGAGTAACAGATCATAGATACGAGGATAGTTTTTTGACAGTTTGGCAGAAATTCATTTAGTATAAAAATCTATGATGGGACTTATCAGATTTTATTTTCGTCTAGTTATAGAGTGGTATTCTGTTTAGTGTATCAATGATTACATCACTAATTATTATGATATATATATATATATGTATATATTTCTAAGTTAGATTTCGAATAGATAAATTTAAAGATTAATATTTACATGCACAGCATGCTGATATTGAGAGAAATAAATCGAAAAAATAATCGATTGTTCGAACTTGTATTCTAATTAATTTCTTTTTATTGATTTTGTTTACATGCTTTCAATGCTTAGGAACGGAATAGTTCAGATTTTCTAAAAAAATCTTTTTAGTAAATGCTTTCTATGGTTTTATAGAGAGCTGAATATCATCATATCGCTCAATTTTGCATATCCGTTATCTAGATATAAGACAAACTTTATTTTACTTTAGTCAGACCACTATTTTTATATGCATTGGTTATGAAAATTTGAACATACTGTTTCGATTAAAATCATAGCGTATGAAATCGAACACACAGTGAGATTGTTTTAGAAAAATCATAGTTGTTGATTTTCCTATTTGCAGTGAAATAAGTAAAAGTTTCATTTACAACAGTTTCATGCAAGATTAAGTTGTTTTCTCTTATTTTAAGAGTATGTGAAATTTTTACGTGATGCTCATACTAGAGATTTAACAATACAAATCGAATGATTCATCTTTGAACACCCGAAAACCTTATTCTCACAGAATTAACAGATGTATATGAAGAAGTACCTATAGATTTTTATCTTCATAGGTGCATACATTGAACTGAATGTTAATTAGTTACTGTGATTAGTTCATTAAGAAAGGGTGTTAGCGCAGCCCTTTTGAGGCTAAAATTGTTAGCTCGTATATTTAACAATGCCAGAGACTAGTTTCTATGGCCTGTAATGGTACCGTAAGCTAGTCACTATGGTCTGTAATGGGTAAGCATTGCCTTTTCGTGTAGTTTGTAATTAAAAAAGGAAGAAATAGCAGCCTAATTAGTCAAGCTCCTAATTAGTGCAATTTTTAACTCATTAATGTTTGTAATGGGGGGGGGGGGGGGGGCCCAAAAATCTCGCTTTTAAACTTACACTCAGCATTTTCTTCGAAAATATATGTGAGTTCCACAAAAAGCCAGAAAAGTGGTCTTTGCATTTCGGGTTCTCGAGCTATATTTGATTCATGAATTTGTTTCTGTATAAATGGTTACCATTATTAATTTGAAATACAAAATTTCGTCAGAATTTTTTCAGTGTGATTAAAAATTCTTTCGTTTGTTGTTCAAGAATAAGCAATATTTTACGACACATCAATCCAGGAGGAGATAGTAGTATTTTGGTAATAAGAAAAACAAAATTGTTTTAGGAACTATACAGTTATATCGAACATTTTATCGATATACTATGCACAACTGTTGCACATATCTATCAACAAATTAATCTACATGGCTTCGCTTCTAATGATTAATTATCCATAGTATATAAATATGAAGCTTTATCTTGTACTATCGGTAACGTCTTGTTTTTTGTAGAAATATAATATAATGATATTACGATCGAAGAATGAGTATATGTAAACGAAATCTATGTCTACAATAAAAAGATTTTCTTAAAGGCTTTCTTTATTTATTGAGTGTCTATTTATAGAAATGCAAAGACGAGTCCTATAGAAAAACAGATTGAATAAAAAGAAAAACTTCAATGTAAATCATTTAAAAGGTATGTCTAAAAATGGAAGTCCGACAACTGACAAATCACTTTTAACTCGAGACTACCTGCATTATGAAGACCTAAGTAAGCCATGAATACCTTGAATAGAGAGTGCGTCCTTGAGCACTTAAGACGAAAATGGTGCATTTTAGAGGTATTGTACAAATGAATGCTGTAGCTCATTTAGAAAACCTAAAACAATTAAGTTTTGGACATCATCTAAAAATTTTGTACAGACACCATCAATCTGATCTGAAATATTAACGAAAAGAAACATTCTGTTAAATGGTTACGTCTATGCAAAGTGCCAATTTAAAGTTCAATGCGCCCCGTTTCTGCTGCTCTAGAGGTTTGCAGCGAGTTAACATGAATATATTCGACTACAAGCTCGTGCCTTTTGTTTTTATGTGCATGTGCATGAAATACAGAAAAAAAACTTTATTCGCTATGCTTAACACATGTCGTATTAGTTAAATTATAATTAATTTTTTGTTCCGAAAAATATATTGTTTTATATAGATATGCTTGATAATCGACGTTTTGTTTACGTTATAAATGTGTTGTATATTCTGGAAATTTATATGACGGACTCGTTTGACTAGTGGCATAATTCTTATGAAACAATTTGATAGAAGAGAGACACAATTGTACGTGAATTCTGAAGAAGAATACGATTTTAACGAAATCTTCGTTAATGTTTTTTTTTTTTTATTGAAATAATACTTAATATATGTAATCATGAGCAATGAGTGGTTTCGTTTCAAGCGTGTCAAATTATAATATGTCTAAGTCAGGTTTGTGAGTAATTTGTTTCCGCAAATGAACTTTCCCTATTTGATCGAATAATTACACTTGTAAACAGGCATCATAATTTAGCATACTGCACCCTATCAGATAGTTGACTATCAAATAGTTATCAACGGTGTACAAGACGATGACATATGTGCGTCACAGTTATTCGAGATCACAAAGCATATCAAAGCGAATAGTAAATAATGCTGTTTTTGATCGTTTCAATGAATTGACTCATAGTCTGCGATATTTCAAATAAATGAATGAGAAGAAACAAAACAAATGTGTTCGTATGGTTGTCCTTTCAAACAATAAATGTTCATAGATATATAGAATTCGTTCAATTGCACAAAATAATCATGGCAGAAAAATAGACTATGACGTATTTTCACATAGAAGAAGCCATGATTATTGTTTCAAATCAATAATTTTAAAATATTCCATAGGATATATGTTTTCTAACAGTTGATTGTCACATCACAACAATATAACTCTTTCAGAACTCAAGCAGACAATCTGATCATTGAATTTAAAGCATAATCATCTAAAGATATCTATGAAAAAGATAATAATATCATGTTGTTGAGAACATCTCTTTCCACTATCATAGAAAAAAATCAATTGATAAGGATAATTGATTCTATTGTTTATTGAATTTTAATTGCCAAAACAGAAAAATTGATTCTTACTTATTTTTTGCCGTTAAAAATTCGACTTTTTGTTTTTCCATAAGAAAAGATTCATTCATGCATAAAAACGCCATTTCGAACCAACCATCTTGACAAAACAAACGTGTCACTTGTTTCTTTTCTCGTGTATATTTTTTTATATACACAAAACTTTTCTTGAGTGGAAACTTAATCTATTAAACGCCGCCTACTCTTCAATTGCTTCCGGCTGTCTGGTTGCGCTTATGCACACGCTTTCAGCTTCATCGATCGATTTTAGGTGTATATATATATATATATCATATTGCTAACTGTCTGTTATATCTATCCTAACATGACAACATCCATCTGTCAACGAATAGTATACATATAGAAACGATCGGTACTCGTTCGCATTTTTTTTTGATTCCCTTCATGTCTCAGGAGAGTTTCCAATGGCTGTTCATAAATTAATGTTATAAATATGAAATGAGATCGACGGACAGCAACCAATGTACAATGACCAAAATGATCGCATGTTTCTTTTTGCCTACATTAACACTCATTCGTCGTTGTCGATAATCAAACTAGTTCAAAGCATGCGCGAACACATGTATAGAAGTAAAATTCAGTTAGCTTTCTCTTGTTTTATTTATGGAAATCGCATCATCACATGGATCATTTTTTCTTTTTGAGACATATAAAAAGAGTCAAATAGGCTTGATTAAAGGAAAAAGATCTATCTATTGCTGCAGGGAGTGACAACAATATCAAGGCACCCTAATAGCTCGTCTATCTTCCTTTTTTTTTCTATAGAAAGTTAATTATGATCATGCAAATGCGATGCATTGCACCGGCTGTTCAACGATTTTCTCATTATTAGAAGAAAGCATAGTTCACAAAATACGATATGTTGATTCATTCTTTGTTTTGCATACTGCAACAAAAAGAAAAGAACGAGGAAGAAGAAAGTTAACTAATTCATTAAGTTCAAAAAGAACAATCAGATATTTATCATTCTTATATTATCCCATGCACAACAAAAAAGTTATTATTGATGTTTTTTGTTTTTGTACAATACTTTTTAAAAAAGTGAACAGAAAAGAAAATTGCATTTAGATAATTAAAGCCACACACACACACACACACACGCACAAAAAGTCATATGCACGCAAATACAACGAACGAGAGAAAATAAATATATAGAGATGAAGAAAACAAATTGAATAGTGATAGAATATAGTTTATTTATTAGTTGGAGTTGGTCCATAAGGTGTAATCGCATTGGATGAATTAAGAGCTGATGATGTTGAACCTAATGTACCAAACGGTCCAATACTACTAAATGCTGATGACATTAGATTAGTCATTCCTAAATAAAGCAAAAGATGAAATGCTATTAGCTCAAAAACAAAAAAGAAATAGAAAAAGAATATATTAACAAATAGGAAAAAGTAAAAATTAATACAGTGATGAAGATGTCGATGAAGATGAATTGGAATTTGTTAAAAGATTATTCCAATTTTGTTGTACTGGACTTATCGATGATGAAAGTTTGAAAGCACTTCCATGTTGTTGATGACACACGAAAGATAAACCATTTTGACGATTAACTACATACACACACAGACAAACCCAATATCAGACAACACAAACATGCATATACAAAAAGAAAACTAACCATTTAAAAAGCCAGGTGATGGTACACCATAGGAAGATGCAGATGGACCATAAGCATTGCTATAAGCACTATAACTTCGTGGTGACATAGGTGCTCCTTGATTTCGTGAATAACCTAACACAAGAGAGAGAGAAAGAAAGAAACAATAGTAATATATATATATGTATTAACCAATAGAGATATGTATTGATTAAACTATCTTCAAAAAACAGTTCTCTTAATATAATGAACAAGACGCTCATGCATAATTTCTTTCAATAAAATTGTTCGCATACGTAAAAAAAATAAACTATATCACATGACAAGCAATAGCATATTCCCTAACGTCACTTTCTTATACCTTCTAATGATGACATATAATATGCTACAAAAAGATTCATATGTAATATATAGAAAATATTCTTCACAAATAAATGTCTTACTCGAATCATTTTCATGATCACTTGGTGGTGTTGGCAAAGCAAAATGATGTGGATTGCCTGACATTGTATAACATTGTTCAAGTAGATCAGCTGTACGTTTAAGAATTATTTCCTAAAATTGAAAAAAAAAAGAAAAATCTTATCTATATAAAAGTTTATTATTTTCATTAGAAAAATATCTACTTACTTTTGGTAATCGATCCGGATCATCTGCATGTTTTGGTATTAATTTAGATAAACGTTGTAATGAATAATCAATAGTTGGATCTTGCATAGCTAGTAGAGAAAAAAAAACCTAAAATTAAAACTTTAACTATCGAATTGATGATTTACTTATAAAAGTAAAACGACCAGGACAATCTCGACAAAATTGTTTTCCCTTATATGAAAGCGTGACATCAACAACACCTGGACTATGACGTGATGGTGTATGTACGCGAATGGCGCCAGGTGTTAAAATCTATTTTGAAGGAAATTAATTAATTAAATTTAAAAACAAACGAGCCATCACTAACTTCACTGTAAACAATCATTGTATTGAACATAACTTGAAGACCGTCAAAGAAATTTTCTCCAAGTATAAGTACAGCCTGTCCGCCAACAATCCAACCTTCATTTGGTTGAATGTGTTTTATGACTGGTGTAGGTATAAGTGATTCTATAAAGAAAAATCAAAAAGAAAACGGAAAGCAGTTTTATAAATTAAATATTCTTTTTCAAATTTAGAAAAGGGTCAAGAAAACTGACCCAAATCGGAATCTGAGACGGACGCACCTCCGTCAATAGGATCAAGTCGTCTTGTTCGTCTTCCGTGTTTGGAATTATTATGCACAAACATATTTTCTGACACAGCCAATAATGGTGGTTCAAGACCAATTGTTGTTGATAAAACAACCTGATTAAAATAATTGAAAAGTAAAGAAATCAGCAAACATAGAGAGAATTCTGTTTTATTCATCATACTTGAAATCGTCGCATATCACGTGGATTACCAGCATTTTTTAAACAGTTTTGATTACATTTAAGAAAAAATTTAAGAAAAAACCTAGAAGAAATAAATAAAAAAACATCAGTGTCACACAAGAGAAATTAACTCTCTAGTAACAATAACCAAAAGAAAATTAATTTTCGTCGGGACATACTCAAGGGACATACTGCCGTTTATTGTCATTTGCAATTAGAAACAAGAGAGAAATATATACCATACGTTCTTATTATTGTTTTTATAGAAACACAGTCAAGAGAAAGTCACGTTATCTATTGTGTTAGATCTCCTCCTCTTCTAAATATTTATATTTATTGATAAGAAAAGTAATCAGAATCAACTTGTGTCTATTACCGTTCAACAACAACTGGATCTGATGGTGTTTCATTTCGATTACCACATGATTTTTTGTCACAACAACGACTACACATAACTTCGTGTGTTAACAAAACGCGACACATTTCAGGGTTTTTATCTTGACCTTCATAAATGATTGGCTTAAAATTAATTATGCGAATAATAAATATTTTTCATACAAAAACAAAAAAGTGAAAACATACTTGTTTTGTTGCAGAATCAATCATACGAACATAAATATCTTGTTCATGTCGATAATTAACTAATAGAGAAGAAGAAAAAAACAGAATTTTAGATTGAATATTATTTTTATATACAAATGGAATTATTGTTTTATTTCTTACTTGCTGGATAATAAAGACTAAGACGATAATGAATACCGTTATTTGTACGTAAACCATCAGGTTCCTAAAACAATAGCATATGTTCACTTTAATGGTCACAAAATAGAAAAAGAAAATTCTGTATAAATTTAAAAAAAAAACGAACATCTTGACATAGAGACCCATCGCGTGATAAGAATCTCTATCTGTTTTATGTGAAATGATAATCGTAATCATTCTTTTTATGTTAAACCCAATGAGTTTTTCTATTTTGTTCTTACCATTTCTTTTTCAACGAAACCAACAAAAGCTGTACGCTCAATTTCGATCGGTTTGCCGCTACGATCATAGAGAGCCACTGTAAAATGAAAGAAATTACTTTTGCGTAAATTATTTGGTGGTTGTTTTTCAAAATGTGCTGATATAACGCCAATACTTGGATAAAGATAACTAGAAAAAGTTTAAAATAACGAAAATACATCGAGATACGTTTCATTTTATTTTGAAATGAGTAGGAAAAATAATTTTCTACATACCAACTGGGATCAACCAGCATTGCTGGCCACGAAGCTCGTAATGGTTCTTCTTTGAGACCTCCAAAATTTGATAGTGCCCCACGAGGCTGCATAAATGGATCTGTGAACAAACAAAATATAGGATTATCTCAAGAGAATCTTAGATTTTTACTTCATAGTTAAGATAGTTTGACTAGAGCCAAGAGAAAAGATTCTCAGGTAAATGTCTCTTGAGAGAGATATTTAGATACTTAAGAAATATGCTCTCAGTTCTATTACTGCTATTCTATTCAAACAATAAACTACATACCGTATGGATTCTATGGTTGAGAACAAAAATCAACTCCGGCTGAAGCACCAATTCTTCTTTGACGATTGTTTATGTCACGACGCACCACTGTAAAAGAATTGCGTTCTGTAGAATTTATAAATGATAATATCCAATAAAATCAATTTAAATCTAAAAATTTGACCAATAGGGATGTGAAATAAAATAAATGTTCAATATATTTGACTCGAGGGAACTTGACGTGCGTTGCGTTTTGAAATTAGATCTTAACTTTTTATTTATTTGAAAATGAAACCTGTCAAGAATTTTTAATACAGTAGGGGACGTTTGTTTTAGAATTTACCAGTGTGACAAGTATTGTCATTTGCTGCTCTTTTTTTTATTCCTACCGAGAGATTATGGGCACCAATGGGGATCGCTAAGTCGTGAGTTTCATGTGAGTTCTCCTGTGAGACCTCGTGCACTAGACCAAAGGAGAAAAAAAAGACGAGAGAATTTGTAAAATGAAACGATTAATCTGTTTTTCTTCGTAGAGAGAAGCAGAGAGAGAAACAGAGAGAGAGAGAGAGAGAAAGAGCTCGTGCACGAGAGCGTGAAAAGGTCAAAATGATGTGAGGAAAATCCTCTTCTCGTCGTCGCCGTTTTTTTCTGTTCTTCTTCTTGGAAACAAATTATCTTTCTCTCTTATTCTTTTTCGTTTCCTTCTCTTTTTTTTTCTATAACTTTTTTGCGCTAGAGTAGGAACCAATGAGAAAAGAAAACGTTGGAACCTGAGCCAATCCTCGATTAGTGTCAAGAAAAATGATCATGATCAACATCTTCGTTAGTACTAACTCATTTTTCATCAATAATGCTCGCAAAGGCTAACTTTTTGCTCGTTTCATCATCTTTTGTATTTGATGATATGAGGAGAGAATGAAAGAATACGATGTGTGATCGTTGTTCCACTCAATCAGACGCCGTTCCATTGCATCTTTCGCTCTCTTTTTTTTTATATCTTTGGAGAAATCAACGAGACCAGGGAATTCTTCCTTCTTTCCTATCTTTCAACGACAAAAAAAAAAAGAAATGAGGAGGAGACTAAAAATCGACAAAAGACATTAATATATGGCTGTGTGCAAAAGAACAAATCAACATGTATGATGAAAGAGAGGGTGGCGGATAAATTTTCAGCGCTTATCGGAATGAAAAGTCATCTTCTCCCAATGATTATCATTCATGACATAGATACTATATGGAAAATGACCACTTTTACGACTCCTTAGAGTCATATACAGAAGAGAGTTCGATTAATGTTCACATTTTCTATCGCATATGCTAGTTCTTATCTTTCATAGAAAGGACAAATGAATGTGAATCGATGATATTAATGATAATTCTTTTTTTTTCTTTAACAAAAAAAGCAACAAACTATTGAACAGGTGTAGTGCTACTATGAGAGGAAAAAGAAAAGGATAAAATGACACTTTTCCGTTTCATTGACATTTTGTTTGGCTCAGATCAATTTATACACATTATACATCAGAAGATGAGTAAAACTTGTCAAAGATTAGTTGCGCCTGAACAGGATCGTCTTTTTTTCAGAGTGTCTATTAGATCAAGCTTATTTTAAATTTTAAATTTATTCAATAGCAGACGTAAGCAGATACGACAAGTGTTGCATGTGCGAAAGATTTCAATCAAACATACACATTGCATCATATTTCATAAATTAGATCGTATCAAGATTTCGTTTTCTCGCTACAGTCAATCAAGCAGATGTATTTTATTTTCTAATAAAGATAAAAACGAAGAAACTCTTTATTTTTCGTTTGTTTTTCTTGTACATAGTTCTGTCTAAAAAAAATTTTCCTTAGATTAAAGTTAAAAAAAAGGAACAATTCAATTGATTGTTTTCAAGTGATTTTTATTGGTTTGTTTATGTTTGATGATGGATACTCAATGCCATCCATATACATCTATAATGCAAGCTATCTGATTACATTAGTCACAGTATGAAACATTATGTTTGTTTCGTATATTTTAAAGCTAATTTAAGAACAACACGAAAGCACCGTTTCTTGCATCACGACGCACTTGTGATCTTCAAAAGAATATAGACCCCCTGTTTACATTAACTACCTGCTTGAAACAAACGTTGTTGTCCTCATCGTCGTCGTCGTGAATGAGAGATTTTTTTTCAAAATCAGTATGCCGCTGCTAGTGTCTATCTTCGATGGAATAAAAGAGGCATCTTATACAATGTTCAATAGTGTGTGTGTGTGTGGGCGTTTTATCAGCATGGAAAGTTAATGATGATTAGATTTGATGGTTGTTTCTTTTTATCTTGTTATTTCGATGCTGATTTGAAGAAAACATTAAAAACAAAGAAGAAAACAACTTATTTTCATATGTTGTTTTTACGTTTGAGATGATTTATCATATCATTGAGATGAAAATAGGTACATCCATATATGAATGATTCTACATAAGTTAACAAATTGCATTTCGTCCTTTATTTGAATATTCATACTGTTTTGCATAATATTTTTGATTGTGTGGCAGTGAAAGAATTTCATTACTCAAGACAATTGAATATACACGTCCTCTGAAGACTTAAGAACGTGAATAGGCTATACAATCAAAAATTCGAATATTACTACCGCTTGTCGACTCATCTGATTGTTCATTAATGAAATTCTTATATAAAAATAGAATAGAATAGAATATGTGTGCCTGCTCATCATTGATTCTATAATAATAGAAATGATGCACTTCAATTTATCTCGTCACTCACTTGACATTTTTATGCTGATGTCTTCGATCAAGACTCTAAATTGTATTTCAAGCATTACGTGACTGGGAACTTTTTTCTTCTTCTTCTTCTTCTATACTTGAATTAAACCTAACTATTTTGATCAAGATGATCTTGCGATCATATTTTTCATTCATACGTTTTTTTGTTTCTTTTTTTATTCTTGAGGCTAGTTTTTTCTTGTTCTTCTTCTTCTATGTGACATAATTTCATTACTTTTACTTTTTGCTGTTTTCTTCATACTTCTCATATGTATGTATGAATGTAATGATTAAAAATGACGACAAAAAAGTATGTTAGCTGCTACCTTCATTGTCGATGTCGTTTGAAAAAGGAACACAATATAAATGACTCTAGAGAATGAGAACAATACAATGAAATTTTGATCGTTCACTTATTTTGATCGGGCTGCCACTAGCAGGAAAAAAATGCAAGACGTTACTTCACTGCCAACATTTAATGAGAACGGAGGCCGAAATTCATGCATTGAAGAAACTGATTATGAAATACAATCAAAACCAACAACGCCACAGTTAGAACAACAACTAGGTCAGCCTTTTCTACCTCCATTAAGATACGATCATGTACTTAATCATAAAATACCACAACGACAAACGAAATTACATAACTATGCACCGCCAGTTTCTGATCGCGAAGGTTGGTGGCGTATTACAATCAAGGTAAATTTGAAACTACAGTTCAATTTGCCTAGAATCATTTTTAGTGCATATAGGATTCACCAAATCCTGGTACATATGATACACATTTAAATACGTTCATTAAAGAAATGATATCTCGCCCAATGACCTATGGTTTTAAAAGTGACGGACGACGACGTGATCCACAACCATTAGAACCTAAAGGAAAATTTCTACTACCCGGGGCATATTCAGTAGAAGATTTTGTTGAAAGGTATACAATACTAATTCATTAATAGCCTTCGTAAGATATTGAAATATTCTTATAGAATGCATCAACTTCGACTTTCCTATGGTTTCAAAGGTCCTGACCGACAAGGTCTTTTAGACAAATCCATGGCAGTTAATCAAGATAAGGTATAAATTTCAATAAATTTATAAATATCAATTTGGTTTTCTACTAAAATACTAAACATAGAATATCGATGTTCCACCAGGATTATATGAAACACAAAAATATCAAACATTTGATAGTGCTGTTGAATCGAGCAGGTTAGTTAGCTATTAAAAATAAAATTGTAACTTATCAAATAATGCTCAACATACTTTATTTAGACACAGCGTTTTTAAATCGAAAACTACACGTAAAATATTTCTTCCAGTGAGTTCTTTTTTTATATGGCAATCGAATTGAACAATTCAGTGAAATTTTTAATTTTCAATATAGAAAATTGGTCCAGCACCTGGCGATTATGAACCGAAAACTAGTGTGACCAATGAGCATAGTCCAAACATAACATCCGCATTTCGTAGTAGTACGAATCGCTTTCATGTAAAATTATCAAAAATACCTGGCCCAGGAACTTATGAAAAATTGGCGAATTTTCCTCCACCAAAACAACTCAATAAATTATCGATGCGTGGAGTATTTTTTAATGCTAACTTTGCAAATCAAGCGACAAATCCTATTTAAAAACATTCTTGTTTTTGTTGCTTTGTTTTTATTCTTTTTGTACAATCAATAAATGGCATGGCTATGAAAAACAAAAATATATTAAAAAAGTTGCCATTGCGATCAAATGGAAAGTACTTATACATTGCTAGTAGAAGCAGTTCAATTCATAACTGTTTTCTTATACTAAACTTTATTGACAGTTTCTTCAAGCAAAAACTGTGAACAAGTCAAGTTTAAAAATTAGAAATATCTTTGCTTCTGCTAATTTATTCGGCATAAATAAAAATATTTACTTGATTTTCATGATGGTGAATGCAAATTACAATGAAGTCGAATCGACTGCTTCGTAACAGCATAGCAGCTTTTTTTTTTATAAGCAAATTCGCTTAGCTCCAATTAGAATGACATGGAGATAGATCTTTATTTAGTTCGAATATAGAAAACAAGTTCTTCAAATAGTTAATGTATTTTTCAAACTCTACCGATGATAATCGATCAATGTATGTCAAAACTAATGCCATTCTGCAAAGTCAATGATGGAAGTTAACTTTAGTTTTATTGATCAAAGACATTGTCTTGCAGAATGAGTAGAAAATAAACATCAATCTCAATGGAAAACAGACTGTTAAAAGCACGAGAGGTATTAACACGAATGCTGTAGCACGACAAACAATAAACGCAAATGTTCAATCGACTGAAAGAGTAATCGGTTATGTTTAGGTACACCTTCTATCTGAAATGAATTTAAGAAGTTATAAAAAGAAATAAATATTACTATGTAAAAGAACTATTGTTAATGAGCAGAATAGAAAATACTTACACATTAATTTCATGAATATATCATTGAACATTTTTTCTCATCAATGCATTCTATCCTTCAACGTAATCAATCTCGAAGTGCAAGTCTTCTGGGATTGCAATCAATTTTTAAGGATTCGAAGACTACAAGTAAAACATCAATGTTTCAAACACGGGTTGACAGCCTCAACACATTAGTCATTTCAATATACTGTCCCTTACATTGATTCAATTACAATAATATTCTTCCATAATAGTGAACTCTTCGTTGCATAATTCTATTAGATTTTTGCATATACACTATTATTGCTATATGTTCACTTGATTTTACATTTTGTACTAATTATTTTTTGTTAAAACGACTTTTGTGCTGAAGATATTTGCATTTCACACTTACAAATGCAATTTAAATTCGATGGTAATTTTCATTCGCTGTTTTTTTTTTTTTGTGAGCTTCATTTCAACAATAAATAGAGAGAACTATCAGAGTAAATGAAAGAAACATTTGTGGAAGAATAATGATAGATTTCAGTTTCTTTTTTCAACATTCAAAATATTTGAAACAAAGTGAGAGGTAACGGACGATTGATATTTGAATCCCCGGTCAGAACTCTATATCTAAGTTTTCGCATAGTGATTCAGTTGGCAACTGACTTTCAGCTGAAAACATTAGTTAGTAGTGTAATATAATAATATAACTATTGATTTAATGAAGCCTTTTTTGATTCATTTGAATAAATGCATTTGTAAGTCTTATACATATGGCTTTGATTTTTCTCGTTCATGATAAGTTCAAGATACATAATAGTGAATGCACTTTACTATTTGGCATCAAATCTTGCTGAAAAAAGAACATACAATTATTCACTATTATCCATTTGAATGTCAAATTCTTGCCAATATGTATTGAGGTATATGATAAAAGAAACATGTGCTTCATTTGCATAGAAGAACATTCGGCTATCTTCAGTACACTATTAGTCACATTTCTTAGCACTAGCCAATATTTTATGTCTTCATTTGCATAACTAAATTTTAGACTTGCTTCTAACAATATTATTGATTCTAGAAGTTCATCTTTGAATAGAAATCGAAAATATTTCAACAAGATAGATGGTTGGTTATGGATACAAATAAATTTTATAGAGACAATAAAATTATGACAGCATCTCAGGTCGAACGATTAGATAGTAGGATCAGACGCAAATCGTACAAAAAATCGTTGTCTCATGTAAGTCGAACACAAACTATCGTTAGTTCTACTTTTTGTTCAACTCTTAGTCTGAGATTCTTTGAACGATTTTGTTTACTTATTTGCGATAATGGGTTAGAAACAGAGATCGAAGTCCGATTACTGATGCAAACTATCAACATTGAATTGAGAAGAAAGAAAATAATTTTGATTAGGACACTTAACAAAAACATAACTAGACATTTAAAACCAGACGAAAAGTGTTTGTCTAGTTTGAAAACCGACTATGATCACTTCCGTGACTTGGCTGCTTTTTTTGCTTGATGTCTTAAATAATCAGCTTCGCGCTGGCCAGTTTGTGCAACAAGTTGTGCAAATTGTGAGTTATTGTCAGACAATAATTCATGAGCGCTAGCAAATTCAACAGCCCGACCTTGTGATAGCACCTAAACAATCAGCCATATTTCATGATAGACTAAATAATTCCTTGCGCTTTTCTTACTAGAATCTTGTCACTGTCTATGATTGTTCGTAATCTAAAATAAATTTTAAAACGTGGCGACATTCGAGATGTACGTTTTCTTTTACCTGTGAGCTATTGTCAATACAGTGCAATGAATGAATTTACGTCGGATGGCTACTTGAATGATTTCATCTGTTCTAGAAAAAAAGAAGATTTTGTAATGAAAATTATAATCAATGGCGTTATAAGATTTTTTAGATAACTGAAATTTTAAGGAAAATTATAATAATTCATATATACAAAAGTAAAGACAAGACTCATTTCATCAGGCATATAGATTACTTGTGAATTCATTACGTATAAAGAGAGTATAATTACTTATGATCAACATTGGCCGTAGCTTCATCAATAAGAAGTATTCGATTTTTTCGAAGCAATGCTCGAGCCAAACAGATCAACTGTCGCTGGCCCACACTAAAGTTTGATCCACCTTCGGTTACATTGTGTTGAAGACCTTCAATCAAATCGAATTTAAATTGAACCTAGATAGTATATTGCAAAATCCACATTAAAAACTAACATTGATGATTCCAATCTTATCTACCTCATTGAGTGCACTCCATATTTCAATATCGGAATATTCACCAAATGGATCGAGATTGATTCGGAGACTATCGTTGAAGAGAACAGGATCCTAATTTATTTATGTTTTGATGAAAATAATGTTTTACTTGATTTTTTTCTCGCAAAACTCACTTGAGGAATAATTGAAATATGCCGACGAAGTTCGTATAATGGAATCTGTTTGGTATCTATTTCATCGATCAGTATTCGACCATCAAGTTCAGCCATGCGAAATAATGCTTGTATGATTGAACTCTTACCAGCACCGGTTCGACCAACAATGCCAATCTTGAGACAATAATAATAATAATGATGATCATTATCTCATCTTTCACATATTCTTACTTTTTCGCCTGGCTCAATAGAAATATTGATATTGCTAAGTACCCACGATGAATCATCTGAATAACGAAAAGACATATTATCGAAGACGATCGAACCGATTGGCCATCTTGGCGGCAAAATCACTAATTGATCACTTGTTGACGATTCTTCCGGTTTCAAATCAATATATTCAATTACTCGTTCCGTACTAGTCATCTATTGAATAGTGGTATGATCAGCAACAATATATTCCTTTCAGTCATACACTACCTGTATCATGACATCAACAATTAATCGTACTATCCATTGTACAGAACCCATCAATGTAAAAGAATAAGCCAGAATAAGACCCAAATCAGATACAGGCAAATCTACCAACAATACAATCAGTAGAATTAGAGAACTTCACAGAGAAAAAAACAGTTTACTTCGATGAACAAGGAACATCGAAAATGTGAGAAGACCAATAAAAGCCGCAATCACAGATTCAATTCGCATTGCTAACCATCGGTTCATTGTAAGCATTAAACTAAACGCACGACTATGTTCATCGAGATAATAGGAAAAATTTCGTGTGCACATCGTTTGAGCTCCATAGGACCGAATTAATGGTATACCTTGAATTGTTGCGCAAATATAAGAATAGATTGGTGATCGACCTAAGAAAATGGTTAATGTTTATATTAAAATGGTAAAAAGTTGAACAAAAAATTGATCTACCAAGACTTTCAAGCCGTTTTATATCACGTATCGCTGGACTAAAAAATCGACGTATCCGTTCCAGTATTGTACCAACGAATATTAATGATATTAATGAAACTGGTTGAATGTACGCGATAAATGAAATTGTTGAAGCAATATTAGAAAAAGCCTATTATAATAGAAAAATGATTCTCATACAAAAAAACATTTTCTTTGAATTGATTTCAATTCGATTGTATCAATAGATATTACCTCGATAAAATTATATGTGGTTTCGGATAGTTTTTCATCAATCGACGAAATATCTTTCGAGCAGCGATTTATAATACGACCTNTGCATGTCTCTTGAATTAGTAACAGTATTAAAGCAACGCAAAGTTATACTCAATGTTGGAGGTAAAAAATATACCACGAGTATTGAGACATTAACGCGTGAAACAGATACTTTCTTCACTGCATTCTTCTCTGGACAATGCCAACTCGTAATAGATCCTAATGACAATAATAGTGTATTCATTGATCGAAATGGTCAAATCTTTCCATATATTCTTGAATGATTACGTACAAGTATAATACCAGAAAAAATAATGCAAGACGCAACACTTTTAAAAAGTCTTATAATCGAAGCCGAATATTTTCGTTTACAAGGTCTGCTGAAAGTATTAGTGAATGAATGCTTTCCGGATGGAACGTTGCTTCAATCACAACATAAGAAGATTTTTGAATCAATTTTATCATAAAATATATCAACGATGGGAATTAATTTATAAAGGATCACCTGATGGATTTCATGCAGATCCAATTCATTCACGGTGTAATTAGAAAGGAGCAACAATAACGATTATTCAATCAGACTAAAATTATCGTGTTAGAGGTTATGCATCTGTTTCATGGACTTCGAATGATGGATACAAAACTGATCCGAGTGCATTTTTATTCACACTGACGAATCCTCACAATATTCCACCGACGAAATATCCCATCAAGTCAGACAAGGAAGATAAAGCAATTTGTCACAACAGCAGCTACGGTCCGAGATTTGTGTGTGGGTGTGGGGTGTGGTTGAGTTAAAAATGCAGTCACACACATACCCACACCCTCTAGAAAAAGCCTTTTATATAGAAAAATTATTTTCATACAAAACATTTCCTTTGAATTGATTTCAATTCGATTGTATCAATAGATATTACCTCGATAAAATTATATGTGGTTTCGGATAGTTTTTCATCAATCGACGAAATATCTTTCGAGCAGCGATTTATAATACGACCCATACAACACAGTGAAACAGAACATTTTTTACTAGAATGAATTTGTACGTAGAAATAAAAGAATAATATTCAACAAGACAAATCCTAAAATTGAAAAATATATCCATTGATTATTTTCTACACTCAATGATATTAACCTAGTAGAGTGTAGAAATAATTATCTCGTTTTTTAAACCATGCATTCATTGTCATATTTAGAATCGGTGAATGATTTTCAATAGTGCAATTGGCATTTGTTGATTTTGATGCATATCGAATTCGTTCAGCATTTGACCATCGACCTAGCCACCAATTGGTGAATAGAGTAAGGACACTAGTTCCCATGAATAGTGTAAATATGATCGCAATGCCCAAGACTCCCCAAAGACTTGCTTGAATGTATCGAAGGTAGACGCTACCACTTACTGAACCAATACGCTTAAATTCTTCTGTTTGCTTTTGAACCGATTTCTCAGTTGTTGGTACCAGCAATTTTTCTGTTTCAGGACTAGTGGGAACTCCTGCGAATAGCTTAGAAAGAAAGAACATTTTGTTGTTTTATTTCAGTGTTCAGTCATAGGTTGCTCTTACCGAGAATTGTGTAACGAATTCTGGCGTAGGGGATGAGTTTAACTGACTAGCTGTATCCGATGCAGATGATGAATCCAAACGTGGATTGTTTGTGTTGGTCTGTGTCCATTGTTTGAATTCAGGACACATTTGGTGTAATTGCGAATAAGTTCCACTGGCTAATTGATTTCCCTGATTGTGACAGTGGAATAAAAATATTTTCGTACGATAGAAAAATATAATATTTTTGATTACTTTATCCAAAAATAAAATTGTCGTAGCATACTTCAAAAATTGAATTTGATGTGTAACTAAAATACACATTTTGGAGCGTAATCTTCCCAGTATACATCTGGAGAGACGGAATTGAACTGATATTGACTTAATTTCAATAATCTACTTTTCTAATATGTGTCGAGCCACTTGCACATCGACAGCCGAAAGTGGATCATTGAGTAGGTAAATATCCTCATCTCGATAGAGTGCTAGAGCCAATGATAAACGTACTTTTTGTCAGCCAGATAAAATAATCTCATTGTCTCCTACTAAGGTGGAATCCCCATATTGAAAATTTGCTATATCCTACATTCAAAACACGAAATAATTAACAACTAACTGGTAAAATAAAACTAACCGTATCGAAACCAGCAGCATAAATAGATTCATTAAATTTTTTCTCATTGAATTCCATTCCAAAAAGAATATTTTCTTTAATCGAATCAGAAAATATCCATGATTCTATCGAAAAAAAAAAACATTTACGGTTTACCATACCATCTTACAATTATAATTCGTTGAATACGTTTTGCTAATCAACTTCAATTTATTTTATTGTTGATATTTTGTTGCAGATCATACAAAAAACGTTGATTAGAAAATGATTTCATCACACTAGGGATGTTCAGAATTCATTGGATATTATTTACAACTTCCCATTCCACTTATATATAAAAAACTCATAGACATAGTTGAATAATTTTCCAATGCAGACTTAAATGAAAATTTTCAATTGATTGAAATTTTTATTGCTGGAAAACGTAAAAGAAAAGTTATACCTTCGGAATGTCTCGTGCTCAGAAACTCCAAAACTCAATTCTCGCCGTATCTCGAAAAGTAGATTCTTTCGGTGTGCAAATTATTCAGGGTGACTTTAGAATCTGTAAAATATCATTCGATGATTATTCATCAATAGATACGTTTTGCGATACAACTCTCATCTCGTGCGCTAAGAGAATGGAAATCTCACAACCTTTTTTTATAACTAGCACTCGTTTGGTTTACCTTGAGGTACATAACAAAAACGAGCATTTCGATTTAACTTTACAGCACCACCAATCATTTTCATTTCACCAAGTAGAGTCATGAGCAATGAGCTCTAGAAGCCAAAAAAGAAGAGAAAGAGAAAACAAATGAATTCTCAGTCGGATGTAACAATTCTTTTTTGTATACTTTTCCTGATGCAATCGATCCAATAACAATAATCAATTCTCCAGTACGTGCCGAAAATGTCACATTCCGTAGTTGAAAGGAAGAACTCTAAATGAAACAATCGAAACGATCAATAGTTTACTTGAATAGTAAAATACTACCTCCCAAGTCGATGATAAATTTTGAATATCGACTGTTAATTTATTTTCACTGTTGAATTCATTTTCGATAACAATCATTTTCTGTTGATTAAACTCTCCAGCATTTAAAAATTCCTAAACAAAGAAACAACAAATAATGAAATATTAATCTTATGAATTTTGAATTTCTACCTGAATACGCTGTACAGCTACCCAATATTGCGATATATTGACACATGAAGTAGCAAATCCATGCAAATAAGTATGTCGAAGATAGGAGATAAGTACGAAAGCAATAGTAAAAAAGTCAGTATTGAATGGAGCACGTCGATACCAAAGAAGACCGAAAACAATTAGAAAGAATATCAATGAAAATGAGTACCCATTGACTATTTTCACAGTGTTCATCAATGATTTTAAAATAACATAAAAAGTTTCTTTGCTATAACAAATGCAATCCGTATAGCTAAGAAAAACATGATGTCATGTTGAGATTACCGTCGTACGCGTTCAACTTTTAGTTGAAATGGTCTTTCCCAAACGTACATTTTAACGAGATGAATCGATTTCACGATTTCATTCATTAGCTTAATGCGCAAATCTGTTTGTTGAACACGCTTAGTCCTGAAAATAAATTCGAACACACGAAGAATTTCTGATCAATGTCAAACATGAAATTTCTATATAATACCAGATAATTTGCATAACTTTACCACAAAGAATTTGAACAGAAATAACCATCAATGTATATATCATAGCCAGTAGAATAGTGAAGCCAACATGTGACCAAAGGATAACTAATACGACAATAGTTTCTAATGTGCCGATCCATAGAAAATGTGCGTCAAGTCCTAGATGATCAACTGTTTGTACATCATTTGTCATCATATTGATAATTTTTCCACTTGACTGCGCTCCCAATGATCCCATCGACAATCGAACCATCTAATTGATATATTAGCTGATATCTATGATGATAGATTTTTTGTATTATTCTCACCTTACGAAATATTAGCCCATGATAAGCACAACGAATATGCATACCGGCAAGAAAAGCATGTGTCAAACCCAGATGTCTAGTTGTAAACATTAACCAAGGAAAAGCGCTGTTGAGTGCAGCCCAACATATCATCTCCGATAGGGAAATTTTCGAGCACGGTACAAGACAACGGATGAAACGTGCTAATATAAATGGCTGAATGAAACGCAGCATGGTCTACTCAGAGGAAAAATATGATGACCGCAGATTCATTCAACTATTATAACACATACATAAACGAACAAGAAAATACCGATGATACCATAACGAATACGATATATTGACCAAGTAGCACGAATCAGCGAAGGTTTCTGTTTTTTCTTTGGCGACTTTGTCGACAATACAATTTCGTGCTCCCACGCTCTATCGAATATAGAAATATATCGACGACTTAGCTAAAAATTCCTACACCCTACTATTGTCTCGTCTTTAGGATAAGAGGGGGGAGGGGTTTATTTCTGTACTTCGTCGTACTTTTCATTACTTCTCGGTACTTCAAAAGTACAGAGATACGCTCTGTCCTCTTGCTGTTGGATCTATAATCAGCAAGGAACATCAGCGAATTTGAAGTCAAAAATTATTTCACAGTGTACCATTCGAAGTAGTTCAAAATAACTGCACATTCAAAAATCCGCTGTTTCCCCTCTTGACAATCAGTCTTATAGAGTATAAAAAATCCTGTCACTTCCACTTCGACAACCATAAACACTATTTAACAACTTGAAAAGATTATCATTGATGTGCATTCCTGATAAACATGGTTGTATACACTAGAGTAACGCCTCTTCAGATCAAGAAGCGAAGTTAACATTTTTCTTGAATAATAGTTTACGGCGTATTTACTGATGAAGTTAGATTATGTGTAAAGTTCAAAATTTATTAATTAGATTCTTCATTTATATTCTCACGAAGAGTCAGACAGCATAGCTGAAAATCTTTCGAAGTGAAACTATTTGAAACAATTAGAAAGCATAAGCCCGATGTATTTCTATCATCAAACAAAATGAAACCTTTTAAGATAGTTATTCTGATAGAAAAAAATGTATTAGATATATACTCAAATACTTGACTGTGTTTTATTCATTTTTGATCTCTACATACTGGCCGACATTTCTCTTACTTTTCTAGTCGATCGATCCATGGTTCACTTTGATCATCAGGCAATACATCAAAAAGATCATCGTATTCGAGAGGTCGTTTACGACGTAACGAAAGAAGACTTGAAATCCATCTAAAATCACATATTAATAGTTTTTACCTTGATCAAAATTAATTAAAATATACTTACGAATGAAAAAGCTTACTAAACGGATTGGCTGTTAAATAAGGATGTTGATCTTTGGACATTTCTATTACGATACAATGTGATCGGCGAAGAGAACGCTGTAATAGCAGTAATCACTTATTTGGTCTTTATGTACTTTCGTGAGAACGCTTGTATGCCACAATCATTTTGCTGCCCTCCTACCTACCGTCTGTTCCATTTTCGTTTTATTATCTGCCTCTCCTCCGTTTTTTTTTAGTTCCTTTCTTCAAGGACACATATTATATGGTGAAACTTACCGTTTTATTGCTTACTGCAGCATATAGTATAGGTTAAATAAAGATGACAGGCATTCAATTTTATTCATGAATATCCAATTTTCGTATTTTAATTAAATTCGCTTATTTTGTACCTAATGAAACATGAATGACGCCATATCATCAATATTCAATAGAAATATTGTTTTTAGCTTTAATTCAAACGTATGACCTTGTTCGAGATAAATTAATTAACATATAGACTATACATTGGATGTGTGTCACTTTGAAAAACGCAGTTTCCATCGACTCTTAAGATTTTAGTTAATTGATTTGACTTTATCTCGCTTCAATCAGCGAAGAATTATTTCTCCAGTAGGGAAAAAGATGGCCTTTCGTATTTTGAAGCGCAATTATGTTCATACTTTAGCGATGCTTGGAGATACTTCATTCCTGCTGTATTTATGCTCTGTCCTCTTTCAGTCTTTCCACTTTTCTAGACTGAAAATAAAGGAAATTTCATAATTCTTCTGAGTTATAAAACCTAAAGCCAATACGTATTACTAATAGTCTACATATAATTATATCTTATCGGTGACAGGAATCATATTAGTGCAGTATATTTTCTTAAGTATACATTAAAAACTTGATTACATATTTATCATCTGCTAAAACAAGAACGCATTTGACTGAAATAAATATAGTAGATATTCAAATTATTGACTCTCAGTCTATTCATCGACAACCACTGAATATCTTTCTCGTTGCTTCGATTGATGATGTGAAGTGCTCAGAGCAGTAAAAGTATAGATTTCATTATATATGATATTTGTTCTGACAGAAAAGAGACGAAGAATTAAAGAGAGTAAGATAGTAAAACGAAAACAGAAAAGACAGATGGTGCGTAGGATGAGAGAAGGATTATTGTGACAGACAAACGTTGGCATGTATAGAGGGAATCTTTTTAGTGAGCTTCTTATTAACGATATGAATGGATGTAAGGGCGTGGTGTGGTGTGGACGGGTGTGGATGTATATTAGGGTATTGATAACAATACTAGCGCCCCATTTCTACTTTTAGCTACACACCCCGCACACACTTGAATTATTTATTTTTGAAATACCAGTGCTTCCACGTTTCCATTGGTATTGAATTTAATCAACCTTCTAAACGTACGACGGAGTCTTCACTCAGCAAAACTAATTCGAATCGCAGTGAATACCTTGATAAGAGAACTACCGGTTGTTTTTCTTATAACTAACTAGAATCATTTGATAAATACTTAATCAAAAAAGTGTAATCTCTGCTTTATTTTAAAATACAGTATACAAATTACAGAACACTATTGGCAATCATCCACGGTTTCAAAATAAAATCAAAGAAGAAAAAATGTTAAGTCACTTTGATATAATCAAAACGTTTCGTCCGTATCACGATTTCTGTTACTTCTATTTTGAGGCGGTGCATTTCGAGTATGACTATATGATATTGGTTGATATGAGTTATTCCCGCTAGATGTTTTATGAGGTATGGCTGCTATTGGGATAGTTGATAAAGCATCATTTACTTGACTTCGACTGAATGTAAAAACTTCTTGTCCAAATCCTCCCCGAAAAGCTACTTCAATACCTCGATGTAAACCGCATACAATACAAGGACAACAAGTAAAGAATAAACAGCACAACATAGAACATGGATTCGCTAGACATCGACAGTCATTTTCTGGTTTATCTTTTACACTACTGATATCGGAAAGAAAAAGCATTGAATCAGTATGATAACATGAACAACAACACACTTTGTTTTTACGTCGTTGTATAATTCTGGCATCCGTTAATTCTACTTTATACTTGGGACCGCACCCACAGCATCGGTCATCACATTCATATACTTGCAAAATTTTTTCATCAGATGAAACTCGAAATACATTCTCTATTTCCTGTGGTTGCTCTACAACAGCCTGGCGATATGCCATTTGTTTCCTAAAAACCAAAATAACAGATATCTATTCATTATTTTACTACAAGTGTTAAGTAAAATTTATACTCACCAACAAAATATTTATTACATGAGATTTTTCATAAATTAAACTCTATTAGACAAGAATGCATTCCAGAAATCGAACGGGCTCTCAAGTCGATACGGAAGGAAGAAAATTATATGTATATAATCACACAAAATACACTTGTTATACTAATATGCTCAAAATGAGTCAAACAATAACTAGACTAAGTCAAATCAAACGGATACAAGCACAACAATTATGGACATCTTCTTGTTGTGCTAGTAGTGTACGTTCGTGAAAACACGCATAGTGATACTTTTCGAAAATGATTCCTCTACTATTTTTATGTGTTTTGATGAGAACTACAAAAGCTTAAAAGATTAGCGGAAAGTTGATTTAAAAAAGCATTTGGTTTATCTTTTATGTTATGTAATTAGTCTCTAATTACATAAAATACATGCTAGAGAGTATTAAAAATCCATTGTAGTTTCAATTTCGTTAAACAATTCAGTGTTAAATATTAAATTGAATGATAGATTAGTCGACTGATTAGTTTTGTATGTATTTTTATTTTCTCTCATTGCGTTTAGTCTGAGCTGACAAATCATAAAAGAAAAACAACTGTTGAAAACTTAAATCTGAGCTCATGCAAAAGAATAGACACGAAATTTTCACAGTTATTTAACAATGTCGAGCTTAAGAGTAGTAGAAAATGCTCATGGAAAATAGAAGTGCTTAACTTTATGATATATAACCAATTGCGTCTATGCTGTACAGATTCCAGTGTACCTTGACTAGGAAAAAAGTCATGGGTCTGACTGTTTTGTTCTACTTCTACGCTTCTGAAACTTTAAGATGAAATTCATTTTATATAAATATGGTTCGGTAGCTTATTAGAATATGCTTTGGATCATTAAACTTCATAAATACTCACATTTCATGCCGTGGCATACTATCTTGAAACTCAACGGTTTTTGTATGATTGTTTGAGATGTCTGAAAACAATATATTTGTCAATAAATAAATAAAACAACAGAAAAAAGACAACTGCAATCTTTTATTATGTAGTTTATATTTTCGAGTTATCTAAACTACTCATTTTCTATAGATAAACTCTTGAATATCATTTTTAACAAGTATTCTTGCTGCTTATCTAACCAGGGAGTCGCATAAACAACAAAGTATGCTTAAAAACAGTTACCAGAAGTTGCTGATAAGCCTTACGAAATAGTACTGAAACGAGTCTCTTTGAATTTGCTTCTTTTCGCGAAAACGATAGAGAAAAGTGTTTATAGGCGTCTTATGAAAAATATCAAAAGAACTGGAAAATCGTACTGTAATTTTGGCACGATCATGACACAAGACGGATGCATTTCAATGAGCTCACGTGTTCTATATTGAAGCCATTTAGTTGCATCGTAAGAGTCAGTCTCAAGTGTTAAGTCAGTCCTTATGTCTTTTATTATGTGGCCGTGCAGCATGACAAAATAGCTTATGTGAATGTTTTTTCTGATTCGTATGTAATTCAATGAAAATATATTACAATCGGTATACACTTCATTAAATATATTTGGGTGAGATTCTGTTGCAGTAAAAAAAATTATTTTCTTCCCACAGAATATCCATTCAGAGTAAACTGATAAAATTTACGTTTATGAGATTTTGCTGATAAGGGACGGTATGCGTCTTGAAGCATACACGGTACTCGCTGACATACTGAAACAATGTTTATTTGGTAGCACTCTATTCTCGTGATTGATGTAGCTGACACTGTTTCGTCTGGAACTCGCGGTAGCAATTGACTTTCCAATGGTCAAATCTAACCTCATATGACTTCTTTCTGTGATTCAATTTGAATAAATAGTCATTCATCATAAATACCGCAAAAAAATGATCGCACAACATTTTATTGATAGCCACTGATTGAATGTACGATTACAGTGTTGACGAACACTGATAGTTGAGAATCAAATATTCGAATGAATCTTAGAATAATAATCCACACTGTTGGTGGGCATTGGTTTTTCAATGAAGCTATTAAATTTGTTCTACAATACTTAGGACTAGGGCATCATCTTTAGCTCTAGAGAATGAAAAAGCGATTTGATAGATCTCAAGCTTCATTGAATTTGTAAAACGTATCGATTTTTCTATGATGAGAATTCAAGCGTGTCAATAAATGTTTGAGCTGCATCAACGCCAATATCTCAATTTCGATCAGCTGTTTAGTCGTAGCATAACTTGTCCGATTTACTGGGACAGAGTAAAAGCTTCGTTCTACTGAAACGCATATGGTTCATGAAGATAGGCTACTTCTAATGCACTGATAGAAAGAATTATTCATTCCTTTTTTTTTAACAAATCTCAACTGTTTGAGTATTCATAATTCTCTACTTCACAGAATATTTCTAGAACGGTACCAAGATATTTTTATTAGGTCGGGCTCAAGCCCCTCCCATTTACAGTAGTTCTGTGATTTTTTTAGCAGGAATGCTCAGTCATATAAAAAAAATGAGTATAAAAGTCTGATGAAATCGATTGCAATTGTCATAAATAGCTCAAAGTTAGTTGAAGACTGTTTCAATTATCAACAGAAAAGTCGATTCTTGATTGATAGTAATTGATTATTGATCATTTTTTAATCAATTCTCACCAAATTTTATTCTAGTGTTTTCTCATGGGCACTTTCACCGGGCCGCTGTCTAAGATTATATTTGACAACATCTGAAATATTTTTCTGAGTGAATTCAAAGACTATTTAGGTTGGCTATGTAAGTTTCTTCCAGCCTACTCTTGGTGCTAACACAATAATTTATCACTAGAAAAATAAATCTTTTTAACAAAATTATTCACACTTCTCCGCAACATATCATTTTTCTTCGATTCTGAATTTGGAATTGATACGTAAGAAATTCACAATGTTTGCTATTTTCTTCATTTAACAATGGGATAGTTGTTTAGACATAAAGTAAAGATAGAACGAAGCATAAATTGAAGTACAACTGTAGATTTAAAAAACGTTTTGTTCATATGTTGAAGAATAATCATAAAAAACACTGTATGGTAGTAATTCTGGAGGAAGTAAACGGCATTTTATTTTTCCACTTGGGAAGTTATGTATTCCGAGCATACATCGTAGCGCTTGTCAGGATTCCAGCGAAAAAAAAATTTGCAAAGGACGTCCCCCTCGGGATTTATCAGGATAGTGCGATGTATAATTCTGAGAGAAAAAAAGACAATTTCATGATAGCTTTCGACATTATTATTTGTTTTACAACTCTTTTTATTGAGATGGATAATAGAAGAATATGCAATAAAGAATTTCGTCACCTATAATGTAATACATATTATCAGAAGATATTTTCTTTTATGCAAAGAAAAATTTCGTGTCACTGATATTAAATGACATCTATCGAAAATTACTTTTTTCAGAATAACGAATAGCCATCAACAGAAATTTGTATGCATCAACTTCAAGCAAAAATGATGGAACTTCCACTGAATAATTCTCATTCTCAAATGTTGTTCTAACTCCAAATAGTTTTTTAAGATTATTTTTGTTTTGTCAAACATAATGAATGAATCTAATGTATCAAAGACTACAATACATAACGGTGATTGTAACCATGATATAGTAAATATAATTGATGATGATGATGATATCTTTGTGTTTCAAATTCTTTTGTTTTTCTTAGATGGAAAATTTTTCAACATCTTCCATTATATCATGGACAACGGATGATGTTGAGAAATGGCTTGAATCTCTAAATTTATCTAAATTTATCGATAAATTATGCAACGAGAATGGAATCGATGGTTTAACATTACTTCTCATGAAAGAAGATGATCTTAAACAGTCTCCTCTATCCATCGAACGTTTATGTGATATTAAAAAATTATGGTATCATATACGTTTACTTCAATGTAACAGCAACGAATTTTATTCGCATTTAAATAATGAAACAAAAAAACATAATCATTCATCATTATCACCAACGCATTTACTTGAAACAAATTCACACAATTCGAGTAGTTCATGTCAAATAAATTATAAAGAAAAAACTATTTTCAAAACACCGACAGGAGAAAAACGTAAAACATTAGTTAGTTTTATTTATGCATTAATTAGTGGACTATGGACATCATTCATTATGGTAGTAGTACATAATCGTGTACCCAATGTACAAAAGTAAATCTACGCTGCTGTTTTCTTCTTTATTTTAATTATATTATTATCAATTAAAGATATCCACCATTGCCTGATCTATTTCTTGATAATATTCCTCATATAAGTAAATACTTTGTTTATTGTTTTATTTTTTAAAGAACAACAATTTTTTTTCTTTGTTCAGGTTGGGCATTTGCTGTCAGTGAATTTTTAATTCTTGTTATGGGCATAGTTTTTCTATTAATTTTAATTTTTCATAAATATTGGTAAGTATAATCAAATATTATTCTTATATTAACTTAATAATTTTTCTCCATAGGAGCATCATACTTCGACGATTCTTTGCTCTTGGTGGTACTATCTTTTTTCTTCGGTCAATTACAATGTTGGTTACATCATTGAGTGTAAGATTGCTTTTATGATCATAGAGAAGCTTATAAAAAAAGGAATAATTCTTTGTATTGCTGTTCAGAAAAATCATTAAAAGTTTACAAATTATTTCTGTTTAATAAGTATGCGTTGATCTTTGACCCATTTTGTTAATCTGCAGACATACGTATTCAAATTGAAATCAAACTTGATCTGGCTCCTAGAGACAAGTCAACTGAATGAAATTAATTTATCAGTAAACGCTACTATTTTTCTATTTATTTGCGAACAAATTTGACAGCTTCTACAGTATTGATAATAAATAAAAGGAAAAGAACTCATAAGCTTAGATAAAAAGAAACAAGAACTAGAGGCGAATGTTGATTGGATTAGACGTTCTAACGATTAATGTAAACGTAGTATTTAATGCGAACTTAATTGTTTATATCATGCATAATAAGAGCTATTTTCTCTCAATTATCAAAATAATTGCATTCAGATGCCAGAGACATGTCATTGGTTTTCTTCGTTTTATAATTAAAAGATTGTTTTTGAATCATAAAAAAATGTTCTATGCTAGCATGATTCATATTACTTATGTCTCAATCATTATTCGCTAGTTACATTAAATATAATCGATGAATGCCATGCAATGCATATATGTATATAACGCACAGCTTGAAGCATGAAAATTATATTTAAAAGCATTCTGTTGCCTTCTATTATTATTCACAAACATATCAATTAAAGTTTTATTCATAAATATTTAACACGAATTCTTTTCTTCTGTTTTTTTTCAAGGTACCCGGTCCTCATCTTGAGTGTACGCCATTGGTAAATAAAGATTTATGTTTTGAAGAAATCTATATGAATTTTTCTATGAATTTTCTTAGCAATATGGAACAACTCGAGAAATCTTCACACGTTGGCTTCAAATCTTTCTTTTTCAAGGTCTATCAATTCATGGGATACGTTCATGTGGTGATTATATGTTTTCAGGCCATACTGTTATGCTAACATTATTAAATCATTGTATAACTGAATGTAAGTTTAATTTTTATCAAACGTAGGTAATAAAAAATCATATTTATTTTTAGATACAACATCTGATTTTTATGTTGTACATCTCATTTCATGGTTTTGTAATATATTTGGTATGATGCTAATTTTAGCAGCACATGAACATTATACAATCGATGTATTCATTGCATTCTTTCTAACAAGTCGTCTTTTTCTTTACTATCATTCATTAGCTAATAATGCTGTTTTACACTCAATATCAGATAATCGTTTATCAATATGGTTTCCAATGTTTTCATATTTTGAAAAAAATATCCAATGTATGGTGCCCAATGTGCTACATATACCATGGCCATTAACATTGATTTATTCGAATACCGACGAAAAAGAAGATAAAAATTTTCTTTTAGAATATCATAATGAAAGAGACATTCGTAAACGTAAATAAGAATGAAGTGTGATACTTTTCTGTTCTTTTTTTTTCTTCTATATATTCTCCATGATTCTTCTTTTTACTGTGATTTTGCACTTTTCGCTTCGAAATGAACAATAAATTTTATTTTTTAGATAATCGCCACAGCGCGATATTTGAAAAGAAGCGAATGGGATAAATGGAAAATAAAATGTAAGTAGATAGAAAGAAAGATAATAATAAGAATGTCATGAAATAAAAGTGTTTCGTTTCTGTCGTACGAGATAAGGCGTAGCGACGAGTTTTTTTGCATTTTTGCATCCACCAAATGATGCATACTGATGAGGACGTGTTGACAAAAGATAAATATTTTTCAGCTAACAAGGCATAAAAAAGTTTGGTTAAGACTTGATTCATATCGGTAATCCATTCTTTGAAGGTATACATCAGTTATTTGATATAGTAGTCTTTTTTCTCCTTTATTATTGCTAGTAGTAAGATGAGACATGCATCGAGATTTTTCTGTTATTGTAATATAAATCAACATAGTAGATCTATTTCGTTTTATTACTGATATGAAGACATTAATGTAGAAAAATCTCTTTTCATAGTACTATAATTCTCGAAACAGTAGGCATGTGAAAAAAGTGTATAATAAAGTTTTAAAATATATGTAAATAATTACTATTTTTTCTTTTATGCTCGACATGCTTAAGACACGTAGAGAAGAATAGTGATAGATTATTTTATTGAGCATGAATTCTCTTCCTTTTTCTTTTTTTTTAAATTTCTTTCTTGATAACAATTCATCCATAAATGACAAAAAAAGCAAATAGACCTTTTGTGAATAACGTTATATGCACTCGTTGATAAGATTTTTCTTTTGACATTTTATTACCTTCGTCAGAGTTATATGCAAATTTATTACCTAACTCATCTCGAATATTTTTTTTAAGAGAATTATCAGAAGCAACCCTTGATTCTACATCTATGAATCGTTCAATCGAATATTCTCAAGTCTTACAACTATCTGATCCATTATCATCATCATCTTCATCATCAGCATCATCATCATCATCGTCAACAACGTTTTATACAAATCCAGTATTATGGACAATAGATCAAGTTGAAGAATGGCTTAAAGCTAATAATTTCGATGATTGTGTAGATATTTTATGTCATCAATCTCATATTGATGGAAAACGTCTAGTAAAGTTAAACCAAAATGAAGTATTATCATTGACAAATAATAAACAATTATGGTTAAAAATAAAAAGTTTGAAACCAAAATCAGAACAATCCATGGTAATTCAACTCGAGCCGCCAAATACCAATTGTCAACGATATACATCATCCAATGAAATCGAAGATCAACCGTTCACACATTGTTGTTTCGTTACTTCAATACGTTCAGATAGAAAAAAGACTCTATTAGCATTTCTTCTTGCATTCATGACAATATTGTTTTCTTCATTTATTATAACTATTGTTGATGAACGTATACCTGATCCTAAAAGATTTCCGCCATTACCTGATCTTATACTTGATAATATTCAACCAATATCATGGGCATTTGCTGTAACAGAAAAATTAATTTTAATTGAAATGACAACACTTATTATTGTTATACTTGCTCATCGGCATAGGTTCATAGAAAGAAAAAATAACTTGTTTGTTGTGTAATCATGAATGAATATTTAATTTTAGAATGATTATTCTTCGTCGACTATTTACTATCACAGCGTCACTCTATTTTCTTCGAAGTATTACGATGGTTTTAACATCATTACCGGTGGCAACAACCGATACTGATTGTGAACCAAAGGTTTGTTTTTGAATGTTGTTTTCATTTAAATGAGTATCTTACTTGATTATCTTCCAATAGAAATTAATTAATTTTGAAGCTCGATTAAAAAAAGCAACTATGATTTTTCTTGGTCAAGGTTTATCATCATTTGGTGTCAAAACATGTGGTGATTATTTATACAGTGGTCATACGTGTACTCTTGTGCTTGCAGCACATTTTATTAGTGAATGTATGTATACACAAGTGAAAGTCTATGCGAATATGCGCATTTATTGTTGCGAAACATAAACTGTGCCCTTAAAGATTATAATTTTGATAGATGAAGCACGTTGCCAGGTTGAGGGTGTTTTTTAATGTCATCTAGAAATTTGTTTGATAACAAAATACAGTGAATAACTTCAAGATAAGCATTAGAAGAAGAAGAAGAAGACGTATGCATCGGTGACATGAAAACAAGAACAGTGACTTTTGGTTTTTAAAGTTAAATATTTATCCTGTTAGATAAAAATGTGGCTGATATTCGCTAAAAAATCTCTATGAATCAGTGAAAATAGGAAAGATTAATAAGTACATGTACAGATGCAGAATTTTTGGAATATTTATCTATTTCTAAAGTAATACATACAAATTGCTATAGTACGTAGAATTTAGATAAAATTTGTTTGATCTTTGTTGATTTTTAAACATTTTATTCGAAAGAAAAAGTTTGAATGGTTAATAAAGATGAAATTTAAGAAAGCTAGCATGCTACTATCTAGTTCGCTAATTTGTTACACTATAGTAGTCACTAAACGAAAAAAGAAATCAAAATAATTTCTCGAGTAGAACAGTTGTATCAATCAAAAGAGGATATGATTTTGAAAATAAAGTAGCACTTAGAACAGAATGTTTTGGTTCTTTCGAAGCAATAGTGTATGTGAGTAATTTTTTTAATTCTAACTGAAAATTTGCACATAAAATGACATTGACGAGAATGTCTTCTCATAAAAATTCCGCAGTCGCTCATTTTCTCCTATGGGGAGATAAGAAGAGTGAGTGTACCGCCGCGCAAGTGCAATTTAATAGACATTCTGATATCATAAACACAGGATAAGATAACAATCATGGAAATACATGATAATCCAATAAGAAATTCTTTTTTCAAGATTTTTCACTATAAAAAGCTTAAGTGTAAATTTCGGAAATCAATTTCACGGTTGTTACGATAGAAAAATCATAGCCTTGATTCAACAATACAATTAGAATAAAATATTTTCGTAGTAACACACTTAGAATTCGAATTTGTTTTCTTCAGACATCAACAAGCCATTAGAATCTAACTTGAAAGCAACATTCTTATGACCAAACAGAATTTCGAATGTAATGATTTATTTTTTCTTTAAGATACTCCACGTTCGTGTCAATTATTACATTATCTCAGTTGGATGTCCGCATTGGTTGGCATGCTTGGCATACTGGCTGGCCATCAACATTATTCTATTGATATTATTATTGCTTGGGTGCTCAGTTCTCGTCTATTCATCTACTATCATACGTAAGTGAAACATGTGGAAAATTTTATCCTATAAAAAATGATGCCATTTTTTCTCTATCTAGTATGGCTAACAATCGAACATTTTTACAAACAAATACTAGTAGAATGTGGTTCTGGTTTCCATTGTTTTCCTATTTTGAAGAGAATGTCAAAACTGCAATACCGAATGAATATTGTTTACCTAATTTCGTTTATGAATCACGTGCAATGATAAATAATTGGATGGAATCAATACGATATTCAGTTTATTGGGTTATTCTATTTCTATTTATTGTTATAACGTACAGTTTTTCGTTCTCGAAAAAGATGAATTTTTCGTCAATAATTGAAAGATAAATAATCATCGAGAAAATTTTTTCACACCTGGTATACATACGAAATGTAATGTGTGTTTTTTTGCTTCTTATTTTGATGTTTATCTTCTTTTGTGTGAATGAGTACCTTGGATATTTATGTCAGATGCGAATCGTGGCTTCTATATATATTATCTATTTTTCTAGTACATCTGAAATTGTCTTTTTCTTTTCGTCGTATTGTTGAGAATAATAAAAGCATGATGAGATTCTTTGCAGATCTTTTCCTTTCAGACATTTAGAGCTAATTACGAAAGGAGGAAAAGAACGAAACTTCTGCATTTCAGCGTACTTCCAAACTATGTGATAACTATCCTTCAGAATACTTTAGCTAGCTGAAGTCTACTGTCGACCTGTGTAACGGTATATGAGCCGAAGTTCAGTGTTATGCAAGTATACCTGATAATAAAGTCTAAAAACTTCATTGTACTAAAAAATTTGAGTATCAGCGTCGTAAAACGAATTATTGGAACTTAATTATCAGATACACTTTCATAGTCTGAACTCTAGCTAATATACCGCAACGCAAGTCGATCGTAGACTTGAATTAGCTGAAAACTTCCGAATAATAATAATAATAATAATGACATAGTGTGAGAGTATGTTAAAGTACGAAATGTTTGCTTTTTTTCACTTGTGATTATAACATAGAGGTCGTAACGTGTTGATTGATGTTCTTAACACAAGGTTAGTAATTAACACAAGGTTAGTAAACAAATACAATTTGAATAATCTATCAATTATTTCGAAATTAGTAGTACCCAAACAGAATGATTCATTGTGAGCAATGTTTTCTGTTCTCGATGCTCGAATACATATACGGCAGAATATCAAGTAACATGAGAATAAATTATTTTTGTCGAAATAGTACTTCGACAAGTAGTTGATATTCGAGAATGGCGAGCATTAAAGGTTAGATAATGGTTTATTTAATTATAATGCTACGCTCCTTTAAAAAATATGATAGCTGCTACTAGTGAAAAAAGACATATTGAATAGAATATATTTTAGTTATTTCGTTCAATGAAGATGGAGTTTTATATGATAATTTGCAATGATGAATATTAACAGATAGAATCACTAAATATGGAATTTTTTTTCTCACGAATCAAAAAGGAATAAGTAAAAATATCTTATTGATTCAGTTGAATATTTATTGAATTTTATAAATTATATTGAATTTGTTCTAAACATTCGTAGTAATCTTATTTTCATGAATTCACTAAAAATTATCAATTTAAGTTATTTTCAATATTCATTTAAACCTAAGTTTTTATCCTATCAATCGAAACATTTCTTATTATATCGCCATATTGATAGTATTCGGCATTTATATGTCTATTCAATCACATAAAAATACTCAGGATATTGTCGCTAAGACTACAAAGTATAATTCTGTATCGTTATGTATTTCTAATATATTTCTGATGTGTTTCTATGTATTTTTAACCATTCGAAAGGACATACAAATACTGGCAAATACCGAAAAATACAGAAATAAACTTTACCCGCTATAATTCTCACCAGAGAAAATGCTATTATTACATATTTAACTATTACTATCGATATGTATGGTAGCATGGGCATGCCATAAATTTAATAGTGAAAACAGTTAGAATGTTGTGAATTAAATTAAAACAAAAATGTCTTTCTACTCATAATCGCTTTTCTGATAGTTAACTTAAGTTTACAATGAAATATATAACAGCTGCAGATGGATAGCAACAAGATTTACGGTAAGAAAAGCTTTTTCCGGAGACTAATATAATAACAATGTTAAAAATCAACTGTTCATAGTTGCAGTAGAATAAACATACAAAATTAGTATATATAATGAAATAAAATTAACAGTATCCTAAACGATGGAACGATCAGTTACTGATCATCTTGATCCTTGTTAATGGTTAGTGATGTTTACCAAAAACTGTTCTCATAAAAGAATTGATAGAATTTTTCACGAACTACATCCCCATATACTTACGTTAGTATTTGCGACCATATTATCTTGAATAGGAAAAACTACGATTTATTTTTATTAATTCTGCTGTCCTTTTCAGTCATGGCGAGTCTCTGCATATAAAACAGTGTTGACCATAGAAAATACAGTTAAGAATTTCCGCGAATATCTCCATCATGTAGCCTACGAAAGAGACAACTGTTTGAAAATTCTTCAAATTAAATGTAATATACAAACATTTTTTGTCTTATTTTAGTTCTATATTTTGATATTTTGACTGTCAAAGGTCGGCTCTGGTACAAAATACAAATCATATTCTGAATTAGCACAAAAAAAACTACTTTGAATAGTTGAGATCTTCAGTGACTATTTCTTCCTTCGAAATTTGACCCATGGGAGGAAATAGGAAAGAAATCAGAAAAATATGTCTCAGAGGAGAAAGTCGATCGAGCATTGTCGACAAAAACAATCCATTGAAATATAAGCTATTTTTTATGGTGACCTTAAATATTATGTTTATATCTTACTACAGAGTTGACCTTTAACCGTCAAAATAAAGAAATAGAGAATTGGAAAAGAAAATTGATGTAAGAATTAGTTTAAATCTCTCAGTGTGCGGCAACTATGAGCGCCATATACTCATTTTGAAGAGCTTCTAAGTAGTATTTTTTATACTTTTAAATTGCAAACAATTCCATCAAAGTTTTAGTATATAAACACACTTTGTATGGTCGATACTATTTATTGCATGGAGACTCATTACAAGTGAGAAAATTATTCGACAATTACATTTTTTCCTGTCAAAATATGATGCTCGAGAATGTTTAGTACATGAATATATGGCTTGCGAAGAGCTTCATAAAACCGTATATGTGAAAATTTTGTACACACTATTGTTTGATACCACCATGAGTACCGTGCTCAATAGTTGATCATGTTTAGAAAGATTCTATTTGTCTATTAGTGAATTGATTCTAATGTCATCGCAATCTTATGAAACCAAGAGTTACCAATTATATGATTTGCTGCGCTGTCACTTGATGTGAAATGTTTTATATTGCGCCTTTTAATTGCGAATACGTCACCTGATCATATCGAGCAGCAGCTATGTATGTTTTCTAGGGGAGCAATGAAACTTTTTGATGGCAAACAATTAGTAAACGAATGTTATCCTGTGAATCGATTTCGATAAACTATTGAAGTCTAGTTATTTTTTGAATTAAGAGAATGTGAGGAACTTCGTTTTACATTCGGAGAGTAATTATTGTTACTGAGTATCGCAAATGAAATAATAGAAGAAGAAAAAAAAAATAAAGACGTAGTTATGCTTTTCTTTTCTCTTTTCATCAAGAGAAAGAGAAAACCAAGGCCAATACGAAGTTCGACTGTTTTCTTATTTTTTTCTTTTTATTGCTTATATTAGACTTGGTACGTATGAGAATTCATATTTAAACGGATCAATTTTTCGGCATGAAATCGGTTAAATTAAAAGATTTGATAAAACATTGCATTTTGTTTTGCTTTTTTGTAATTGATTCGATCATGCGAGGGTTTTTAAGGCTTATTGCAATCAACATGGGGTCTATTACTGTTTTCCAACAAAAAGAAAGAGTAACGTGCATAGCGTACTGTTAGATATATAGTCATTACTATTTATCGTTTCTTTTCTATTTACACACAACTCTATCTCTATGACAATATTATTGAACCTTTATTTTCTGATTATTATAGGAAGCGATATAAATTAATTTTTCTGACAAAGAAAAATGTTCTCTAAATAATATATTAACTACAGTATGTCATCACAAGACTGCTTGAAAACATCAATTGGACTGTTACCACCTGTGTCACCATCGCCTCAATTATTTTCATCACAACAAATTGAAAAAAAAAGTCTTCAACGCATTGAATCGAGTGTCAGTATTGGCTCTTCTACGCATACCGTTGTACATCGTACAACATCATGGCGATGGGTTATTGTTTTCTCATCGTTTTGTGTTCATTTTGTTGCTGATGGTGTTCTCTTTTCGTTCGGTATTCTAATGCATATGATTAAAGATGACCTTCATATTGCATTGCATACAGTTGGTATTATTGCATCATTATTCATTAGTTTACCTCTGCTTTTAGCACCACTATCTAGTGCGTTAGTTAACAAATGGGGATGTCGACTAGTGACTATGCTCGGTGGATTTCTCTGTTCAGTAGGCTTAGTTTTCGCTTCATTAACGGGGACTTTTTTCGGTGCTGTAGTTGGAATTGGTATATTTTGTGGTATGAAAATAGTTGTTTAGAATTTAATTTTTGTTTTTCATTTTGACATCTATTAAAATAGGAGTTGGCCTATCGTGTGTTTATGTTCCTGCAGTAGTTATAGTAGCACATTATTTTGATGAAAATCGTGCTATTGCAACAGCTATTGCTGTTGGTGGAACAGGTTTGAACCCGATAAAATCTTGCAAATCGTTTCCAATCAATTTTTAGGTCTCGGAAATGCTATTGTTGCACAAGTTATTCATGCTTTAAATGATTATTATGATGATTGGCGAGAAACAACTTTATTTTTGTCCGGAGTACTTTTTACAATTGTTGGGTTCGGTGCACTTTTTCGACCTGTAGAATTTTCATTACCTCGTAAAAGTAAAGGTTTTCATCATGCAATGCCTGATACTGTTCGAATATCAAAATTTATGACTTCGGTGGAAAGATTACAATGCTTTATACAAGGGATGGATAAACAACGTGCATCAAATCAAGCGAATCAAATCGTTAACATATCAAAGTCAAATCATGAAACAAATAAATTAGGTTTATTTGATTCATATTCAGCTGATGATATTACAAAACTTAAAAATGGATCAATTGATAATGTTGTTGTGCAAACATGTCACGAAGAAATGTCTAAAATTAAAATTTCTTATGCACGGAGAAGTCAAACAGAAAATAATCCAAGTGATGCAAAAATAGGTTCCATACAATTTTTTTCTACTCATTTTCTTCCTGTTGAACAAGATACTGAATTATTAGAAGTATATAATCAACCATTAAGTCAAAAAGATATTTTCTATCGCGGAAATGTACCATCAAAACTTGGACATTCATCAAGAAAAAGTTGTCCAAATTTACTTCAATATTATGTTTATGAAGAATCATTAGCCACGATATCTGATGATGATGATGATGATGATGATAATGGTGATGCTGTGGATTCAATTCATAGCCATCATAAACACATGTTATTCTATCACAAAGGTTTATCATTTCTTCATACACTACGACGAATGTTAGGCTTACAGCTATTTTGCGATTATCGTTATTTAATTTTCTTTATATCGCAATTTTTATTTTATTTATTTTATGATTTAGTTTATCTTTTTCCAAGTAAATTTAATTTTTTGAAAAACTAATTTATGCTCTTAAATCTTTTTGCTTTATTTATTCTAGTCGATTACGGTGAATCAGTCATTGGTTATTCAAAAAAACAAATGACTATGTTAGTTACTGTACTTGGTTTCGGACAATTTTTTGGACAAATCATGTTTGGACTTTTAGCAAACTATTCGCGTATAAATGAATTAATACTTTATGATGTTGGTGCGGCACTCTGTGGACTTGCTAGTTTGCTTATACCATTTGTTGTGTATTCATATCCTGCATTAATTATGATAATTCTACTTTTTGGGCTTTCAATATCAGCTAATTATGCATTAACATCAGTTATTCTCGCCAATATGTGTGGTTTAGAATTATTAACATCCGCTTATGGGCTCATTTTACTTGGACAAGGCGTATCATCATTATCCGGCCCAATTATTGGAGGTAAAGAAATTCTAGAACTTCCTATCGGAAAATTTATTATTTTAGGATAAAAGCAAAAAAATATTTTTTTCAATAATTGCGTACCGGTGAAAAGAAATATTATAATTTTACATATCAAAAATATTATAGTAGGAGAATAGAAAAAATTATCCTAACTCTGAAAAAGCAAGAAATAATTTTAGAGATACTCAATTATTTGAAAGAATGAAACCTTCTGAGTTTCTTTATTACATGCAATATCTACTTAAGCATCTATATACTACGACCTTATTTTCATCCATTGGATTGTTAACTCTCTAAATCGCATTTTTTTAACAGGAAATTTTCAGCTATATAAATGAAGACAAATAATTTGATTTTTCTTTTAGGTTTGATTGCCGAAAAATATGGTTATAAATCATCATTAATCCTAGCTGGTATATGTATGGGTCTATCTGGAATTGTAACATTAATGATACCTTTAATTCAACGATTACGTAATAATCAAGAAGATAAAAATAATGAAAAAACGATTAAAACAAGTACCACGACGAGTAGATTAGATCATTTCGGTTGATGATAAATCCGAATGCAAGTCGTTTATTTTATTTTTGGTGATTTTGCTCGAACTATTTTCTATGTCGTAGCCTCAGAATTTTTCTGAATAATTTCTTGTTTATAATATCCTCGTTTATTTTATTTTTCTATTGAATTCCTCTAGTCGTAGAACTAGTAAAAGTATTTTTCGTCGATCAAATGCACCTGTGACATTTATTTTATGTAATCTTTGTAATACTTTTATTTGTAATATATTGATACATATATATATATATATAAATAAACTGTCAAAAACCTAACAATTTTCTCAAAATTTTCTTCATATGAATCAAATCAAAAGCAATTCAAATATTCACAAATCTAAACTATTACCAAAAAAAGCAGCGCCTCCTATAAAAACTGTCTGCTCATTGGAGTTAATATTCACCCATTTAAAATACATACTTACCAATTAAAATAAATAATAAATATGAACAATTATAAAGAAATATATGATTCACTTTTTGATAAGATCTTTGAGATATCAACATCATTTAAATTTTCGTATGGCGTCTAGTTGTACTGCTTATAATGTTTCCATACCAGCTGATACGATTCCAACTGCAGAAACAAAAATAAAACTTGCAGATAAAATTTTGATATCTCCTCTTGGTAAGTAGAAATGTATCTAATAAGAATGTACGATGACATCTGTTGAATTCGATAGTTTTGGGTACTTGGGCTTGGGGCGATAAGAAAACATGGTCTTGGAATGATGAATTAGATGCAAAAGCAAAAGAAGCTTTTGATATGTCTATATCGAAAGGTATTAATACGTTTGATACGGCTGAAGTATATGGTGATGGTGAAAGGTAACAAGATATAGAAACATAAAAATAAGAATTCAATCAAGTTTTATTTTTTCAGTGAACGTTCAATAGCTCGATACAAAAAAGATCATCCTAATGCAAAAGATATTGTTATTGCTACAAAATTTCTTCCGTATCCTTACAAGTTATCTTATCCAAGTTCACTGATCAATGCGCTTCGAGGAAGTTTGGAAAAATTGCAGGTATTAAACTAACCCAAATAGGTTGATTACGATTAAATCATAAACAATTAAAATTATTGATGCTTAAAAAAAATCATGAAATAGTAAATTTTAATTAGTTCTGGTAGAACTTGTGATAATTTCAGCTAGAAACAAGTTTGCGGTTTGTTTTCTTGTGTGTATGTTCTTCAACTTTGAGTATTAATATGAAAACTTGCTAAAAAAAATCAATCTCATCGAACGTATTAGTTTCGTAATAGTCGAACCGATAGACAAATTGAAAGTTTATTCATTTTATTTCAGGTCGATTGTGTTGATCTTTATCAAATACATGGTCCTATTCATCTACGTTCAATTGAAGTTGTTGCTGATGCATTAGCAGAAGCAGTTAAACTTGGTTTAACCAAGACAGTTGGTGTTTCAAATTATTCAACAGGCGAAATGATTAAAATGTACGATTGTTTACAAAAACATGGTATTCAACTTGCATCAAATCAAGTTGAATATTCTATTCTTCGACGTACACCAGAAACGTCTGGACACATTGCTGAATGTCATAAACGAGGCGTTGCTGTTCTTGGATATTCCCCTCTTGTAAGTGAAGAAGTTATTATTGTTTTGAACGCTAATCACACTATTATGCTTGTAAAAATTCATGTTTTCTTGTTCATTAGGCTATGGGTCGTCTTACGGGAAAATACTCAGAAGCCAATCCACCACCTGCTGGTCGCCATTTTTCTAATGTGAACATGAACGAATTAGAACCATTATTGACGACAATGAGACGTCTCGCAGAAAAATACAATGTTAGTGTTTCCTCGGTGGCTTTGAATTATGTCATATGTAAAGGTAAAGCATCTTCGAGCATAGTCCATACACCATGAAGTTTATTATATGTTAGAAGCATTCATATTTTTCACTAAACACTATTCAAGTATCAACTAGCAAACTGACCGAGGCGAGAGAAGTCTTTGAAAATTACTTGTAATATGTTGGATCACATCTCAAAGTTTCGGTAAAATAAATTATTTTCATGAAGAAAAGAAGAATGATTCTTGTTTTTTTCGCTTAACAATGCGAGTAGAGAAAAGAAAGATTACTAATTGTATAATATTTCTTTCAAAGGTGTGATTCCACTTGGTGGTGCGCGAGATGGCAAGCAAGCTGAACAAAATGCCGGTGCTTTGGGATGGCGTTTGAAAAATGAAGAAATCACTGAAATCGAAAGTCATACGTTTAATACAATTCCTTCGTTCTGGCATCGATTTTGGCAACATGGTTGAGCGATCGATCAATTTTGTTTTTGTATTGGCTATTCTTTTTTATATCTGATGATTTATACTTATTGAGTGTCTTCTTATGATTCAATTTAATTAAACTCATGACTGCAAAATAAAAATATCGAATATTTTATAGATTCGATTTTGACTATTTATCATCTAAAAGTGGAAACTATTGCACGACAGATAAATCCTGGCAGTTATATGAAAGCTTTCAATTTCAAGATGAACTATATTCTTATTGAAATAAATTCATATAAATAAGCTCAATAGTTTATGGCATGAGATTTTAAGCATCGACCATTAATTAGTTTTTAGGGATTAGAACACATGAAAATGTTCTGATAAAGCAAAACGTTAGGGTTTTTATATTTTATCAAAAATCTTTCTTTCATTTTAATTTAGTCTCTCATCGCGAAGATTCAAATATAGAGTGAAGCAAAGTTATGTTTCTTGTTTCATCGATGATTATGACAATTGTAAATAGATATCTTATGAACTCGGTAGCTCTCAAATCTCATTTGAAAGACAAATCGTTATAATAAATACTATCGTTTATGGAATGATGTGGTATTAAAATTGCAAGATATTCTTTAACTGTATACTTCTACGATGTTACACGATAAATCCCATAAGTCAGCAAATAATTCGATTTTGCTATCGTCTAATGCAAAGTCTGCGTACTATTGATACTCTTTCAAATATGATTTCATCACTAAGATCCCTCATTTATCTTCAAATATTTCTTGTCATAAGTAGACCTGTTTTTATCATCATATACACAAACTTAAGTAATTAAGTAAGCCCATGAACATGACAATCTCATTGAAATCTTGAATTTCTATTGTCCTAATATCCACTTTGATTATTCAATCGACAGCAATAGATACATACCAAAATGATTGTGTCAGTTTTCAGTAGATGAACAATTTGTATAGTAGTTATGAATGCTATATTACGAGTTTAACTAGTCACTTAAATTACTCATTGATGATAGAGGAAAAATGAGACAATTATTTTCTAGTTCTTCCTAAAATATATTTGTATTGATAATAATTACCCCTACCAAAAAAAAAAAGATCTATCAATAATGTTTTAAAAATTCGATTATATTTATACTGATTGTTCTCTATCTCAAACATGTCAACGACATTAAACGAAACACTTGTTCATGTTTCCAATGGACTCCTTATTTGTTCTTGAAATGTAAATTCGTTTCAATAGTGGAAACGCGAAGTTTAATGACGTTACTGTTCAAGCAATAATTCAAACAACAAATAAAGTCAGTATTTTTGCTGGAATTACGATATGAGACTAGATATTTAGTTTCTTGACTAAATCTGTTTAGAACTGCACAATTAACATTAATTTTCACTTCATTGATACAAATTAAAATCATTTTACTTTGTTGTATTCTCATCGATGTTTGAATATACATGTAAGAAAAAACAACAATGAATAGTATAGTCGTTGGATATCACGCGAGATATGCTAAATGTAATAAGTTCAATGGCATCGATTGCTGTACACAGAACAATTCGAATCAATTTTGAACCAAAAATTTGACTATAGATTATAAAATTAATCAGTTCTTACTAATTTTAATACTCTCAATTCTTTTCTTCTAAGATTTTTTCTGAGAGAAATAGACAGTTTGACAATTATTTGACGTCATCCTAATGGCATGTTCATATCTTTTGAGTAGAGATCAAATATTGTTTAAACTATGGATAATCTCTCGAGTTGCACGATACACGAAATATTTCTCTCGATAATATCCACTCACGAAGAGCCAAAAGACGCTTCGAAGAAATCCTAGAAGTTCATTATGCGTGATAATTCAGTAAAATTTTCATTAATGTCGATCAAATTTTGCGTGCTACTTATTATCTCTACGATTAAAAGAGACGAGAGAGAAATAAAATTCAATAGCTAATAAATAAGTAAGCGATTGTAGCAGGTTATATAGACATCTATCCCATTGAAACTATCATTCTGTCGCATTCTTATCTTCTATTTAGCTGAAACATCACTATGACTTCTATCATGCAGTTTTTTTGCATAATCGGTAAAAGTTTCTTTTACCATACAATTATTAGTATTTTTCATTGTTATCTATTTAAGGTTTAGCACTTATACCGTTCGTTATCTGCACACAACAAAACAAATTGCCAATATTATCATCTGAAGAGCAATTTACATTAGAGAAACGTCTCCTTGATTCCAATTCGCTCCCATCGATTCCGCTTTTCCGTGGATCAAATTTAGGCATCTTTGTCAAGAAACGTCCACATAATACAGTTTATGATGATGCTGTCATGCGCCGAAAAGAACCTTATGGAACATCATTGAACAATGAGAATATTTTGACTAAAGTATTCAAGAACAACGAACAATATCAACGACGTTTTGAAGATTATTAAGAACATCTAAGTCGAATATTTGATCGATAAAGACCTTTCTCATGTACACAGCTAACGTAAAAATATTGTAAAAATAAAGAAAAAGAAATATCTTAACTAGTGTGCAATATTCTGATGAGCATTACAATAAAAACTTATCAACACATATTTTAATTAGCTATTTCCAGTAGTAATCATTAATATTTGTTCAGAGCTTTGAAAGAATAATATTGATACGAGAAACAAATGTTGGATTCTTCATACTTATTTTCTTTTGCAAACTATTATATTCATAGGTTATTTCATCGCACAACAAGTTGATTATCGTGATAATTTTTTCTCTTCGATAGCAAATATGTTAAAAGTGAGTCATTTAGCAATATCATACCCTCAATAAGATTATCCCATCCGATACAATGTTTGCCTGTAGCCATGATTTAGTTACTGTCAAATGCAAAAAAGAAACATATACCACTCATGTATTGAGAAGTAACTTGATACCGTGGTCGTTTGTTGTTACCGCCTTTTAAGGAAGTCTGCAGAGATTTGAAAGTACCAAATATCGGGTGGCCCAGGTTAAATGTCCCTCTCAGTATTTTTTCAATAACTTCACCATTCAATTCTCTACAAGATTGATACTACAATTTTTTCTGTTGAAAGTTGAGGAAAAAAATTATAAAAAGAATATTCAACAAGTATAACAGCATCAACTTTCAAAGCTGGAAAATAGTTTTTGCAGATTTGTTTTCGTTGGTCAGTGACGATAAAAATTAAACAATGTAGATATTTTGTAGGCTTTGAAAAGCTTCATCTTCCGATCATAATTGAGAAGTTTCCACATTCAACCATGTAATGCGCTCTCTCAGTATCTTCTCTTTTAGATTTGCGAGACTTTAGCTCTTCAATCTGTAATTTCGATACTTCTAGGAAAAAATGCAACTAAGCAAAAATATCATTTTTTGCATTCGTGTTTTTTCCACTTTGATCGAAATGGCCCACTGTACCAAAGTCAAACGCGAAATTTGAATTTGAATTTTTTTTCTTTAATTCAGCTAGCGCCAAATATCTGATTTAAGCTATTTTGAAGAGAATTTTTAAAAAGTCAGATTTTTCGATCTTCTGTTTGATTTCAACAAGTTCTGAACTACACGATGAGAAAGAATGTACTTCAAAGTACTCAGTAACATCTTTGCTTCTGTTTTGTTTCGTGTGCCATTGCAAAAAATTTGCAAAAGTTTGTTTGAAAAATCACTTTGAAAGTTGATGCTGTTATACCTGTTGAATATTCTTTTTTTAATTTTTTTTCTCAGCTATCAACAGAAAAAATTGTAATATCAATCTTGTAGAGAATTGAATGGTAAATCTTTTGGAAAAAGACTAAGACCTAAAAACTGAAAATGGTGAAGTTACTGAAAAACCACTGAGAGGGACATTTAACCTGGGCCACCGGATAAGTCTATTTTTGAGATTTGCAAACTACCGGAACTTTTGACTCTTGTATGACTTTGTAGAAAATTATCCTGATTCTAATTATATTAAATACTCAACTCCCAGAACAATAATGAATCAGTTGCATTGAGATAAAATACAACGATCGATCAACATTTTGTCGAATTACTTTATTTTCAGAAGTCATTATGAAAATTATTAAAATACCATAGACGTCAAAAAATATTCACATTTTCAATTGCTATCTTGAATATGTATTTTCTCTGAACTATATATAACAAACATAGGAATGTCTATACATTTACTTTGTTCTTTTTCGACTAGATCTTTCTGTCTTTGTGTTTCATGTAATATTTCACTGAGCGCAGCTTGATAAAATAGTGGATCTTGTGGTAAAAGTTGTATAGCAAGTATAGATGGTTGCTCTGTAGTCGGTTGAAATATTTTAAAATTTCTATCTAATTGAATTTTTATTGGTTTCTATTTCTTAGTGTACGTTGTGATAGTTGTAATTGTTTAATGGAATTTTCTTCATAAATTATCGATTCCTGATTCTCCGATAAAATAAATTTACTAGCTTGAAACAATTCTGTAACGTATTTTAATGGAACAAGTTTCCTAAAAATATAGAAATCAAAAGAATTACAAAACTATTCAAAATTTGAATGATCTACGTTAAGATAAATTTTATTTTGTAATCGAATTCAACGATATTTATCATCATTAGGAGCAGAAATAATATTATTGAAATATTTACAAATAATTTCTTTACCAGCATTCAATTTATCTAGATCCTTTTGATTCGATATTAAAAAGAGAAGTGTTGCCCGATGGATTTATTCAGAATTTAATTGAGATTGTAGTGTACCTTCGATTCGTTGTTGTAATTCATTATATGGTAAGCACGCATCATCACCAAATACCTCAGAACATATAAAAGTAATGTTGTATAATCAACAACAGGTGTACTGTCAACAGTCATCTTTATTTGAGAATATGAAACAACAAAACATAAACGAGGAATATAAAAGATAAATTTGAATACCTCTCGATTGCCAAAATAATGTTCTTTTATATCACGTGCTTTTTTGTATTTACTGTCAATTTCTTTTTCTTGTTCAAGCTCACGTTTAGTTTGACGACGAATACTATCTGTAGTTCGACTACCTAAAATAATACAGAGAGCACAGAACACATTGTTTAATGGAAATAATTCAGAACTTGTAGAATCGATAGGACAGTTAAAAAATTTACTAGGTCTGTCACATATAAGTTTCGTCTCATCAGAGATCTATTTTCAGAGGTCAACTTTATTTTACAGTATGAACAATATAGAGAAGATATGGCAATTATAAATAGAAATGACTGTATTTTTTTCGATTGCACGTCAGAGTCGAAGATTTTGAACAAAAACCAAAACTATCACGTCTACTAATTATAGTAGAATTTTTATCAATAATCAACTCTACAGTTTTGAGAATAATCAGCAATTATTAAAGTTATTTTTGTTTTAGAGAAAAATTTGAATTCTGTCAAACAATATCATTTGAATAACAACAAACATCATATTTAAATAGAATAATGTGCAAGCTATATTTGAACTAAGCATAATTTTATTTTCTAGAAAAAATTTATCTATAAATAATGTTGGTTTTAACACTTATAGATTTTTGTAAATTTTTATTCTATCAAACAGATATTGTTCCTAATAGGAACGCATAAAACTATTTTTTTACAGTAATTAAGCGATCCTTCGTGACTGTTAACGCGCTTCTTTAATCTTATCGCATGATCCTTGGCAGGTACAAAGCGATGTGGCGTGACATTATGACTTAGCTCTCTTTGATAGTTTCACTTTTCTAAGACGACATAATTAATTACTGAGTACCGGTGACGATTAATTTAAATTGAAAACAGAACGCGAAATAAAATACCTTCAACCTTGTCACTTATACGAACATTGTAACATCGTAAAGTGAGCACAAGTTCTGTTTTAGAACAATAGTCACTATTTCAGTGCAGTCCTCATGTTATTTATTGTTGTACTTTGTTACATATAAATTAGAACAATCTGATCCTACAATACAAAAGTATATTAGTTCAATTTTATTATTTTGCATTAGTATTTTTCGATTCCAACTGATTGAAAATCATCTTGAAGCAATCGATCACTCGCTCCGTACTTATAAAATTAAAGAAATATTTTCATATTAGGTATGTTTGTGTTAGTTGTATCACAGTATTATTTAAACTATCAAAGCTAATCATATTCTCACTTGAAACTCCTGATTGTTACTGTACTCGTCGTTGAGCTGCTTCAACAGTAGCAGCAGCTCTTGTTACTATTTCACTATCAGAACTGGATCTTAGAGATACTTGAGAATCGGTTTGTAGCTGTACAATTTGAGGAGCAACCGACGGTACTGGTGCTTCTTGCAATCGATGTCCTTCACTAGCACTAGCAATTTTTACATTATTTTTTACTTTAGAAAATAGTTTCTTTAATTCTCCCTTATCTAAAAGATTAAATTACACATTTTATACTCATTCCAGCAGTTTGATCTTAGTCATCACTTTTTTTTATTGAAAAGAACGAATGGATGCAATTTCTAAAACAAACAAACCAAGAAAAAAGATACGACACAGGGGAGAAATATAGTAGAGAAAATGACGATGCAGACCATTCTAGACGACAGAAAATAGCAAATAATAATAATAATAAACTAGAAGAAAATAATATATTGTCATCGATTTAGTTGACTGACTTGCTTGACCATATAACATTTATGTACAAAACAAAATACATACACACATTCACATACATAGACAGGAAAAAAACACAGGATTAATATAGTTCATATACAAAAAGAAATGAAAAGATATGCGTTCTATTGAATATATTTAATACTGAGGTTGAATTTCTGTTATAGTAACAGCAACAGCTGGTATAGCAAATGGTTGATGTGAACGAATTTTTGCATGTGTAAGAAGGTGTTGTTTGAGATTAGTTGATTGGGCGAAACGACGACTACAACCATCAAATGGACAAACATAAGGTTTATCACCTGTATGAATTCGAACATGTGTACGTAAATTAAAATCTAGCGAAAAACGTTTTCCACATCCTTCAAATGGACATTGAAATGCTTTTTCACCAGTGTGTACAAGTTGATGACGACGCAATTTAGAACTTTCAACAAATGATTTTTGGCATTCATGACAGACGTGTACACCTTCAAAAACGAAATTAAAATTCTATTAAGATTAGAGTTCTTTCTTTTAAATTAAACTCTTACGTGGTCCGTGTGTATGTAAATGTTTATTCATTGAAGCCGTATCACGAAACATTTTTGTACAACCTGATTGTGGGCAACGTATTGTTTTTGGTTGATCATCGATAGGTAAATGTGTACGGCGTTTACGATGGGGTTTTACAAGATTTTGAACATAATCAGGATTAGAAAAATCAGCTTGAACTAATAATGATGAGTCATTGTCGAGTGGATTAACAATATTACTTAAATTATTATTTGTGTCATTGCCAACACCTAAATCATCAAGATCTTCATCGTCATCTGATGATTCATCATCATCATCATCATCATCGTCATCATCATCTGTATCACTTTTATCTTGTTTTGTTTTAATTTGCGAATTGGTTGTTGTTGTTGTTGTTGTTGCTGAACGACGTGTTGAAGAAGAGTTTTTATTATTAGCATTTTTATTTGTTTGTCGACGTGGCCGACCTCTAGAACTTTTATTTATTAAATGCGCTACTTCATCATCATCGTCTATATCCGATAATTGATTATTTTCATCGTCACTATCAAGTGATTCATCGTCGGATTCACTTCCATCATCGGAATCTGTATCTGAATCATCACCCGTTGGATCATGGTGTAATGGATTAACACCAGCTTGACAGAGTGCCTGTAATATAGCTGCTTGATCATACGATGTTGTTGGATTATTATTTGTGGATGAATTCTCTCCATTTTTACTTGCCATTATAACAATATTACCAGTTGTACCAAGATTCAATTTTGTTGACACATTTGAGATAACTGGTGGAGTATCTTGTTGAGTTGATACTTTACCAGTTCGTTTCGAGCATAACATACTATTCGCTTCTCCTAATAGAAATAAACAAAAATATAGTAAGATGGCATTAATGGCATTGACAACAATCTTTGTTCTTTTTTAGTCTCCTAAAAATTATCACTCGTTTAGAAAATAATTCCATTGACAACTGTTATTCGTTGATTTTCTATCTTTCAAGCAGGAGATTACAATTAGATAACAATAATCTAGAAGAATAGGTTCCCATAGATTTCTGTAGCCGAGTGGTAACTGATTTACTTCATTTTATACATAGGCCTAATAAAACTCAGAAATATCTTGAAAATACTAGTGAAAACCACAGTGTACTTTCATGAAAAATATTCAATTTTTGCCATTTCTTTTAAACGTATTAAAAGTATTCTTTCCTATTCGATTCAACATGTTACTATTGTTGAACAAATACAAAATCTATCATAGCTAATTTTTTGACTGAAAATGTTTTTTCTTCTTAACTTACCAGTCATAAGTTGTTGCTCTTCGATTTTCATTCTTTTATTTGATTTTATTCCTACTGCTGAACGTCGCTGTAGATTTTGATTTATATCATCTGTTGATTCTGACAGAATATCATTTGATTTATTATTATCAATTGATGATAAAGATTTATTTGATGATAATAATAATTGTTGTTTTGGTTTTCGACCACGCCGTTTAGGTTCCATACTCTGTGCTGTCGTTGTGATAACGACAGCAGTCGATTTTGGACGTCGACCACGTTTAGCTGGCACATTCGTTGTCCACATCGAATCATCATGAAATCGATGTGTTTGATGATTCAATGCTATTATATTTCCATGTGAAAGTGTTGTTGTTGTACCATTACCACCAGTGCCAGTTGCTTCGTCGATTTCATAATCGCCTGATTCAACAAATGGAATATCTTCATCCAAATAAACAGGATTGTCCATTAGTACATTATTAATCAAGTTTTTTTGATGAAGCTGCAGTGTTTGTGCTATTCGATGTAGTTGGAATTAGCCTATCTAATGAATTAAATGAACGTGATCGACCGTGCGTTTCAAGATTGGAAGCTAAAATAAATATGAAAATTTCTAAGAATAAGGTTTTCTTTTTAAATTTGTATCAAATCAAACTTTTGAAATCATCATAAAGGATTATTTCAAAATGGAACTTGATTTTTAGTTTGTCGAGATTTTAAGACTCCACACAATTAAAATGTTAAACTGTGCAGAAACACGACCTCGAACCTAAGACCTTCCAACCATTAAACCAATCGAATAAAATAGCTTACGTGTTTTGGATAATTGTTGTACGATGCTATGACCGTAGCGATACCAAGCAAGAAAAATAATAAGAAGAGCAACTGCTAACCAGATAAATAAATAACAAGTCAAACGAAATTCGAAATCGAACTCTATTTTTGAAATTTGTTTTTCTCTAAAATAAATAACAAAGGAATATTTTTTAGAGAAAAACAAAACAAAACAAGCCAAAAAGGAAATTCAGATGTTCTTTTTTTTTGTATATTTTATATGTTGATCAGTTTTCCGTTCAGAACCACGAAAAGTAAAAAAGAAAAAGAAAAAAAGACGATGAACATAATTACCAAATACAAGAAACAAACATATACAGATGATAATATTTAAGTGTTATTTTCTTTTTTATTTCATTGGTGTAGTTGCTTGTTCTTTATTATTGTCACCTTTCATACTTCGTTGTATATTTTCAAGAATACGTGTTGTTTCATCATCATCATCATTATCAGCAGCTGTAGCATGTGCAGTAGTTGAATCAATATGACGATTATTAGTATCACTATTACCATTTTGTTTAGAACTTGATGATGAATGTACAGGTGATCGAGAATCATGTCGATGATGTCGTCGAGATGAGGATGTTCGAGATCGAGAACGACGATGACGACGTGATGAACCAGAACTATATTAGAGAAAATTGCTTTTACTACTGATCCTGCATTGATTATGTGAAAAACGTGTATAGTTATTCAAGCCTAACAGATAGATATGATCTTAGATTATGTGATAGTCATTGAAAAGAAAATAAACAGCCTCGACGTTATCATATCATTCAAGTTGAAAAACACAATAATTCAACTATTTGTCCTTGATTAGACTTCCAGTTAATCGTACATTCCACAATCGATCAATTTCTCATTCTATATATGCTAGAAACTTTTGTTTTCAACAAATTATTGGTTTGAGAACAACTAAAAAATGAAGTTCACTGATTATCGCTTGGGATAATATGAAAGAATTGTGACTATTTTTTTATTATAAATTACCGTGATCGAGATCGTTTTTGGCGACGTCTATCTCGGGAACGTGATCGTGATGATCGATGGCTACGTGAATGTTTTGATGAACGATGTCCTGATCTGTAGAAATAAAAACAAGATTCTTGATTTCTGATAGATTTATTAAATTTAACCTTGATCGTGATCGTCGTCGATCTTTATCTCGACTAGAAATTCGTCTTGATTGACTATCACTACGACTGTGATGTGATGAACGACGATCTCGATTGTAGTGATCAGTTGCATCACGATCATTTCTCGATGATGGCGAACTGAAAATAAATCAATAGAGAAATTTTGATGATAACTATTGTATAATCTACCTTCGACGCATTTTTCTTTCCATTTCACGTTTTTCACTAAGTTCACTTACACGTTTTTTTAAATCATCTAATTTTTCACGTATTTGTATGAAGCCCAAATGTAATTTTCCACCGAAATGATCAGCCAAACGACGATCATTATCATGAATTCCTAAAAAGGCTGAACATACTTCACAAACACGTAATTTTTGTTGTTGATATGTTGATGCTGGCATTGTAGCTCGAAATTCTTGTTCACCATCAGATTTTGCTTTTCTTAATTCCTCAACTTCGTCTAATAGTTTCATTGATTCATCAACTAAACCTTGTGCACCCAATTCTTCAGCTCTAGCTAATTTCGTACCGATTTGTTCACCTAACTCATGAATAGTATTCATCTAAATAAAAACGATTATTTATCTTAGTAGTTTATAATTCATTTAATAAAAAGTCTAATGAGAATCCAATCTAACTTACTTTTCGTGCAGCTTCTTCACCTAATTCTTCTTGTGTTTCACGAAGTTTTCGTTTTGCATGTTCAGTTTTTCGATCAGCTTCAGCAACAAATTGATTTAATACTTGTAATGCCTAGAATATACATAGAAGTAAAATAATAATTGTTTTTATCTAAGAAGTCGAAAAAAAAAACTTTAATCTTACATCAAGTTCATAATCTAGGCTATGTTTTGTTGCTGCTGCTCGTTCATAATCAGCACGTAAAGCATATTCATGTACTTTTGCACATTCACCTAAATCAACTCTCTAAGAAGAAAATTTTATTAAACAATTATATGAAACCAATTCACCGTTCCAGATAGAATTTCATGTGGACAACAATTTAATAGAAATGGTCGACATACACGACGATCTTCAAAGGACATGCTGGATTTTGTTACGCCTAAAATTGAATAAAATTTTATTTTATTCTAAATTTAAAAATGAAAATGAAAATATTGAATTTATCAATCTAAATTCTCACTCTCATTGTACTTACCTAGACTCCTCGGATTTTCGATACGTACCCTCTAGTTTTTATCATCCAGAGGAGTCACTTTCTCGTTTCATATACTCACAATATTTATTTTGTAGCTGCTTCAAGTAAGACTTACAAAGTCCAACATGGACAAATTCATCGTGACATTGGCTAAAAACATAGCGTTCAGAAACACTGAGAGAGAGATAATGAAGGAAAAGAGTTTTGTTTATCAGGGATTAAATGTTTAATCAACGATAGATAAGGAGAGAAAACTAGAAGAAAAAAAATAACACTCACGAGTTCGCCCAATGTTAAACATAGTAGGTAATCACAATCAATGAAAAGTGGACTCTCTGTGCCTTAAATGAAGAGAAACAGGGCGCTACTATTAAAGAACACAAAATTAAAAGATATGAGAATGTATTCTCTCCAAAGAATTAAAATTAATTTTTTCTTCATTCAATAAAAAAAACACCTTTTTTGTCAAGTAATCTAATTAACATACCATTATCAGATCCCATCAATTGATCTAACATAGCTCGAATTTGATCGCGAGCAGTCATTATCGTCTATTAATCGATGACGACAAGTACAACAATCTGAAATTTGAAAAAAACAAGTTCGAAATGTCATCGATATTGTGATGTAGCAGGTGGCGCTTCATCTATGAACATATACATGCACAATGTCTGCTATGTATGTCTTCCGTATCGTAAAGCGATACCTGCTTATTTTTTATTGTTTGAAAACACCATGACTATGTTTCTTTGTTGAAACATATGGTGGAGGTTTAACAAACGATACTGAAACTCATGAATTTTGATTTAATTACCAGAATCAGTGGCAAATATGTAAGCAACAAACAATTCTTGAAAACAAATTTAACCTTTTCTAAAATCATGTGTAGATGTCACTATTTACTTCCTTTGATCCTAAAGTTTCTTTTCTCATTTGACAAAAAGCTGTGAATAAAAATTCGAGTTTCGACTCGAATATCATCTAGTTGAATGATGCTTCTCATCTGAATACACGTGCATGTTGAAAACCAGTGTTGAAGAAAGATGCGGCGGTTAGAACGATTAAAAGATTTCTGTTGCTATTTTACCAAAATAAAGGATTCAACCCAATATTATCGAAGCACATTTGCTTTTCAAATAATAATAAAAATGAAGTTAGTCAAATTTCTGAAGGTAATAAATTTTCAACTGATTAAGACGATCGCTTACACTACAAGTACAGTTACTGTTACTGAACCTTCAAACCATGACTGCCAAGTGCTGATTTTCAAATGTGGTATATCAGATTTCAAATGGGGTACATCGTTGGGGTACTCAATTTTGTTTTCTAAATGGAAAGAATTCGTTTGGAAAAACTATCTGAAATACCTTTTCTCTTAAAAAACAACATAATTTTACACTGTTCTCTATTAGATTTCGAGTTTATTGAGTATTTTTTCACAATAGAANACTGGGTATCGAGATGAATACCCAGATAGGATATCCAGTTGGATGGATATCTACGTATCCTCAGAGCTGAGGAATTTGAGTGCATTTGGTGTAACGAGATGGGTATTGGAAATGGATACCCTATCGTAGGAATACGTGTCTTTATAATTATAAATAAGGAAACATGATGCTACCCATGTCCTCAAAATCGCCAAAAAATCGATGATTTTACCGCGGGATATTAGGGCGATTAATCGTGAAATGTTATCACGATATAGTCGTTCAAAATGCCGATTTTTACCGATACTTTTTCGATTCTTAACAAAAATCGCGATTAATATATAATATCCTTATCATCATAAACCAATCACGGTAGGCTTTATGAAAACTTTTATAGTTTAATAATATTGTTTGATACAAGATTAGGGGTATAACAGATCGGCTTTAGTTCTGATTTGATGATCTGTCTAAACAGATCTGATCTGATCAAAAGAAGTGTCTGAAAAGACCAGAGGAAATTTTTGAACGAATATATGGATCCGATCTGATCTGATCTTTTCGAACAGCTCTTTCGCTCATATGATCTATACCTGGATCTGAGAGCTGTCGTACCCCTATACAAGATATATCCAGATACTTTATTGAGATAATTATTTTCAACGATACAACAAATCCATGGATGTCACATAAGAAATTCCAAAAAATAACTCACAATAACTTAATACACAGTAAAAATAACATATTTTTTTACTAAGCAAAGAGGAAATATCATAAATAGTCTTTTTTTTTGTTCTTTATTGTATTTAATAATTATTATTATTATCTAATTTTCACATAAAACAATGTTGATTACATATTGTTCTATTGATATAATTCATGCTACATCTTCTGTTGCCCCGTATAATCAACTTCTGACATCGCCGAAGTTGACATGGTTTGATTGGTAAAATCTGTAGAAATTATTGAAACAATGAGCTATATATTTAAGAAATGATAATGGATTACTTGTGTTTGTTGATTGCGACGTTTACTTAAAATTGAATCGTGTATTGGGGGCCAAACAAAAGACATTTCATCAGGAGAATAATTGAATTTTCGTTTCACAGCGGCTAAAATAAGTGAAAGAAGGTGTTGTCTATTATGGTTGATAATTGTACTTATACTTGCCATAAATAGATTTTATACGCGGCTCTTCGTCAGCTTTCTTCACATCGATATTCTGAAAATCTTGTTTGTCTGTGAACAAAATATCTATTAACTTTAAAGCGTATTTGACTGCATTTTGTTTATTGTCAGGTACGGACAATAGTTCTACTTCAGAGCTATCATTTCTGACAAATGTCTAAAAAAAAGAACAAATAAGGTAGCAAATTACTTTTACCTCAAATGAAAAGATAAAAAATAAAACTATGAGATGACAAATAATGAATATAATAAGCTTCTGGTAGACGAAAAAACTGCATCGAATGCATCGTGAAATAAGAGAACTTATACAACAGCGAAGAGAAAAAAATAATCGAGAATAATCTTTATTCTTTGTTAACTAACGTTTAAGAATGTTTTGGGCAATGTACTTATATTAGGTGGACGGACGAGAATGGGTGTGGATGTACGTATTTGATGAAATGAACACCCACATCTACACACCCTGCTCAAAAGTATGTACGTTTTCGCAGACTATATATAAACTAAATCAGTCATATGGAGCGCAAGCATAGTTTAATCATGACCTTGAGTGTTAATGGGCTGGTCGTGGTTGATATAGGGGTGTTTTGTTCAAATGCACAACATATGAATTGATTGACACCGGAAAAAATGAAAAATTTCGTCAAAAATGCGACAATATCGACAAATGTGATGCTAGGGGCGAGTTTTTCTTCCATAAGTCTGTCAAAACTGAACCGTTTTTCAAAACCTATTTATATTCTGAAGGAAAAGATCACGGGGCACCTTTCAAGAATAAAAACTCAATTTCGGTTTGCTTTCGAAAAATCAGATTTTTTCTGGGGCGGCCCCTAAATCCACACTCACATTCTTCCTTTATCTATCAACTGGCACCCTACAATCTTGACCCAGGATCCATTCGAACCTCTAAAAATGCTTCAGTGATAACAAGATAGTAGTATCTGTCACCGAATTCGTTTCATGATGAAGAAACTCCGATAACACAAGCATGGGGGGATCCAACAAGACACAGTCCAGTTACTGTATACAAAGAAATGTATACCTGGGATGGGTCTCTAGTGGTTACTTCACACTCACACCGCGGGAGTGAAAGTCATTCATTTACATGGAGAAAAGTCATTTTTAGTTCTTAGGCATTTTGCGTGTTGCCTCACGAGAACCCATACCATATTTCTCATCAGAACAAGTATATACAAATGCGTTCTTTTAACTTAAGCAAGTATAAGCCTCTGGCCCTATCGGTCCTAACGGGATTTTTATCAAGCATATAAAGTGGCCAGATTATCAAAATTAAGCATTAAAAGAAAAGAAAGAAAAAGACAAAGATACAATGTGAAAGGAATTGAACAGAGGCCTGGTAGAAACATTTTGGATACTCAACGAAGAAGAGATATTCTTGTGCATCCAGCCGAACCATTGACCAGAAAACGTTCCCAAGTGTGAAGTTGTGGGTGTTGATATTGATTAATAAACACCCACACCCACACGCTTCCCGTCCCCACTTACGCGTGTAGTTACTCTAGGAAAAAAAGAGAAATTTCATCAAAGTATTTCGAGTAAGTAGCTGTTCTATTTTGCCACGAATTCTTCAGGGTGTAAATGAGAGCTGTGTCTTAAAAATGACTCTCTTCATCACTCTCAAGAGAGAATATTCCATCTCATGAGGGAAGTGAATAATGTCAAAATTGCATCATTTTCATAGGTCACTGTGAAGCAAAAAATGATATTAAATATCAATGCCAAAGTATAGCTTTTTAACTGCCAAGTCAGTTCGTGCGTGCAATATTAAATTTCTCTATCGCATAGATTGAGCCATAGATTAGATTAAAAGTGCGTCATGAAAAAAGAGGAAGAAGTTGGCATATAAATTCGAAGGAGTAATAAGCGAGAAGACACTGTGGAACCAATGTCGTCATCGTTCTTTCTCCGTTTCGCACTTCTTTTTGCTATCGCCATTAACACTTTCGCTGCACCTGTAGCACGACAACGTCGTCAATTTAATGGCTTTATGAACAATCTAAATTTCGGTCGACAAGGTGCAGGAGCATTTGATAGAGCTTGGGAGGCTGCTAACACAGGAAAGGTATTTCTATTGAATAGTGTGGTAGATACAGATTTGCCAACTAATGATTTTAACCTTCTCACTGGATAGTTTACTGTATTTATTCTATCTTGTTAAGCCCCCTCCCCCTAAAAAATCGATCATAGTCTAGGAACGTTCAAATTGCATGAAACGTACAGGGTATGCTGGGTCTGGTACTGAGAGGCTATGGTTAAATTTTCAGTTCTCTATCATGATGTTTGAGTGAGATAAGGAGTTGACAAGGGTAAAAAATAGTCGATTTGGCCACCCAAATTTCTCTGTCCAGATTCGTGCTACACCTTTAGTTTTTGTTTGAAAGCACATGTCCGAATGCAGGGCACCACAGAGTCCTTTTTTTAATTCTTACTTTTTTCAGCGGAAAGCAGGAATAACAAGTTCAATGGCTTGACAACCCCTAAAAACGTTGTTTTTTCTATAAAGATGCTTTGTTATATAGGAATAAAGAAACGTGTTTTAAAAAAGGGCTCTGTGGTGCCCTGTATACTGACACGCTCTTTCCAACAAAAACATTTAAATACATTGCATGGACCTGGACTGAGAAATTTGGGTTGCGCGTTCGAGTTATTGCAAACAGAGAGAAAATGGAAAACGTTTTTGATTTTTCAAAAACCAGCTGGTTTGTTTAATAGGGGTGCCGCAAATCTGTGAAAATTTTGGTCAAAAGGAGGTATCAGGAAAAACTTTTTATAAGGCATGAAAGAGCAGAACTCGGACTATCTTCCCATGTATCTATCGCAATTTAGATGATGCTGACGAAAGTGACTTTTTCGAAGGGAGGGGGCTTAAAAAAACTTCACACATCTCTTTTGGTATCTTTTTTAGCACAAGAATCATGTGTGTTCCTTTTGAGAAATGAAAACATAAGTCTTGCAACATAATATTTTGTGTGTCGGTGTTAATTTGTCTAACGAGATTGTATAGAGAGATCAAATTATTGATTTTAATAATTAAAACTAGCTGATATTACCGATTCATTTATTATTAACATTTATATTTTGTGGAACTCACATTTATTTTTGAAGAAAATGGTGAGTTTAAGTTTTAAGACGACATTTTTGCAGCTTCAGCCCCCCACTGGCGCCTATTACAGTCATACCCATTAGGAATATATCCCCGCCTACCCCCTCAGTATCCACTGCAAATATCAGCAACCCATTGCAGACATTAGCAATACCATTACAGGCACTAGAAACATCATTACAGACATAGCAACCAGTATTTGACTGTATTACAGACACTAGCAACCCATTAAGACTTCAGTAACCTATATTTGGTTGCATTACAGACATTAATAACCAATCTATAGCACCATTAAAGTCTAACAGAGTTTTTCCCTTCACATTTTGTATATCAGTTCATTTATACGAACCGGTTGTCTTGTAAAACAACTAAAGTGAGCAATAGATTTCACACTTTGTGTATTATCCATTAGTAGAGTTAGGCTAAAAGTCATATATGAGTTCCACATTTTAGCCCCACAGGGGCTGCGCTAACAGGCTTTTCTCTATTCCATTGAAAAGAATCACCAAGACGCTTTTATGATTATATAGGCTAACACAGGCTTTAGTATCGATCGTATTCCTCCTCGAAATCTGGATAATTTTCATATTGGCGGTCAAGCGAGTGGGGGCATACCTTTAATTTACAACGGGCCTAAAAGTCCGTCGCTTGGTCTTGGTGGAGCAATATCGGGTGCTACCGGTGTTAATGGAGTAAGTTGCTTAATAGGCTATAGTTTAGATTACATGAACATTCTTCAGGGCATGGGATACCGACAAGGACCTGACTTTGGACTTGGCGTGGGATTCAAATATCCTCTTAGTTCAAATGGCGCATATTTGGGCTTAGGTGGCGGTACTTCATTCGTAAGAACATCTCGCATTCATTTGTTTTTTCTCATGATGTTTTTCTATTCATTATGTAGGGATCGAGCTATTCAAAGCCTAACTGGGGAGTTGGTGCCGGGATCAATATTCCATTTCGTCGCAAGAAATAGATGAATTTTTCTTCTTTTTTACTTCCTGATTTTGATCAATTCTTTATTACTGCCAATTGTGCCTAATAATTTGAAATAAAAAGATATTATTATCATTTATCATTCAGAGTATCGTGTTTAGTAGTGAAGGGTGTGGGTGTGGGTAAGGGGAGTCTCTGTGAATGAAATGCACAAAATAACACTCATACCCACACACCTTCACCCACACCCTCAAGATGATGATAGTTGTTATTCATATATTGCTATTCATTGAACCTCTTGTTCATATCATCAATCATTGATCCTTGCTCAGTAACTATACGAATGCTTCTTTGCTATTAACTAAAATTATTTTCAACGATAAGAAACGAATTATTCAGCATCGTAAAATCCAGAGAAGATTTTCTTTTACATAACCAAATATCCCATTTTTCTACTTTATTTTATAACAAATTCAATGTTTATGATTTCAAATAAACAGTGAAATAACTATTGATGAACATTTCATATGCAATAGAACTTGAATAAAAAATCAAGGAATGAAAGTGTTGACGCGATTCTATTTTTTAAGATCCACCTGATGATTGATCTTCATTGATAAAAACCGACAAAATTTCTATCTAGTGATGCCTATGCTTTCAAGATATCATCATTTGCAAACTCTAAAACCATCCACAAAGATGATTCTCATCAGTCATAACAGATTTCTTCATAGTAAATTTCATTATTAGCAAAGACACAGGTCTATGATTGAAATGAATTCTTGATAATGTTGAAAGGTGAATGTGAGTGACTCTTCTTCAAACTTGCCCAGGATATTCAATCCTGCCTGTGGATCTGATCGGAACTGACCGGATACGACATCGGATTGCTCCGGATTCCGACGATTTTCCGTAAAAAATCGACCGGATCACACCAGTTTTACGCCGAAATCTTTGCGGCCGTGTTAGGAATTTAGTTATTCTCCCTTCTTGTTTATTGGAGATCGATAACTAACTTAACAACAACACAAACAGCATGTTGTATGCGCACACACACACATATATATATATATATGTGTATGTATCTCCTCCGTTGAGAAGACAAGATATATATTTATACATTTATATATATGACCATAGATGTGAGAGGTGACTAAATAGAAGAAAAAAGGAATGACATGATAATATGTGAGGTCAGGCCCGTAACAGTCGCCCCCCCCCTCCCGTAAGAAGATGTGCGTCCGCACACATAGTTCAAAAAAACAAGCAAACATGCTAACAAAAACTATGACGATAAGCTATATATCTTTCATAAAAAAAACACAACAACAACGAACAAGCAAAGGAGAAAAAAAATAATAGATTTTTCAACTAACAAATCTGACTGTTTATCAAGAAACAAACGAAGACGAAAGAGAAGGAAAAAACGAAGATTAAAGAAAAGTTTGACCTATATTTAAAAAAACTTCTTTTTTTATCTGGGCGTAATTTTTTGCGCATATTATAATAGTGTTTTTCCGTGAAGATGCCATTGTGTAATGTTTCGTCAACGTTATTTTGTATTTGCTCGTTCTTTGCACCCAAGAATAACGTGCTTCCGACGGCATTGATGTTCACGTAAAGAATATCCATAAATATTAAGGTTTTTAAAATATCTATCATGGTCAATCTATGATAAATTTTCCGAATGATTTCATATCGATATTTTTAGCTTGATGCTTACGGTTTTGTCTTTGATTTCTTGTTAATGGTTTATGATTTATATATTCTTGATGTTGATTGTTCCTTGTATCTTGTTGATTGTCATCATCAGGCATGTTCTTAATTTCATTTGAAAGTTCGTCTCGTACATGAGCCTCTTCTCTATCATTATAATTCAATGGTTCTTCATCTAAAATATTTATAGTACCATTTTCTAATGATGCTTTTGATGGATAACATTTCTGATGCAAATGCTGTTGTAAATTAGCACGTGACAAAAATTATTCTTGGCAAACATAACAATAATGTTGTTGGTCTTCACGGCGTTCTGTTTCACAGGTAAAGTCCGTAAATCGGACCTTCCTCTTTTCACGAAGTAACGAATCACAGAAACCACTCTTGCGAGTGTTGCTCCTCTTATAGATAAATGATTTAAAATGTGTTGGCTGATAATATGCATTCTCTGATGACACCGGTAAAATAAGATGATTAATTAATTCAGCCTGATATGAAATATGTCCCACTTGAGTATTCTTTGAGAGTGTTCGTTGACGATTAGTTGTGCTAAATTGAATATTTGAAGGTTGAACGAATGGAGCTGTTGCTAATCGCGGCGGTTCTTATCAATAAGAGTAATATGCCGTTGTAATGAATCAATAATAACATTGTTTTGCATAATCCAGTCGTTTCCAAGTAATATATCAGTAATAAGATTCGTTGTAACATCCGCTATAATTAAAGTTTTATGTCCTTGTATTTTAACTTCAAGTTGAATTTCACCAATAATACTAATAGACGTACAATTAGCTGATTTGTGTAATTTCTTTTTGTAAACGAAGTCGGTGTGATAAATCGTTTTTATGAATTGTTGATTAATAATGGTGACTGCAGATCCAGTATCGACAATGGCGTGATGTTGTTTATTATTTACTTGAACATTTATTTAAATAGGAGTTCGTAGCGTTGATGATGCATAAATAGTTGTTGATACTGTATTTGCAAAATATGGCACATACGGTGCTGTTGCTTGAGGTTCTGGAATATTTTCATCTTGCAGTTCTTGTTCATCTTTCGCAATTTAAAAAAATGCTTGTGTTGTTCTAGCTGATTCAGATAATGGCTTCATTTGCCGTTTAATTTGAATTTTCAATAATTTTTTAATGCCATTTTCTAACCATGATATCATTATTCTTTGTGACATAGATGCACCATACTTATGACAAAGTTTAATAATAGCATCATAATAAGATGTAACTGTTTCATCTGATTTCTGTTTACGTTCTTTTAATTGTTCGAATATTTTTGACAGCAGTGGCCCTATTCTAAAATTCTAGAATTCTGGACTAAGTATATATGAAGTGATTTGATATTTGTATACACAGTATTGTAGAATTTTCAGAATTTTAGAATTCTGAAAATTCCAAAATTCCATCTATGCTAATATCATATCAACTCATATAAATTTAGCCTAGAATTCTAAAATTCCAGAATTCTAGAATTTTAGAGTAGGACCACGTCTCATTCCGATTATTTTCTTTGTCTTCTTATGAGATCTGGTTACCGGATTCTCCGAGAACCAGCCAGATTTACATTGCCGGAAAATATCAGGTCAGATGATACGATTGGGCCGTATACGACGTGATCCGACAATATCCGGTAACGAAACTTTATCAGAATCTGCGTGCCGCATGACGCTAGATTTCAAGATAGGTCCGGCTTAATCAATATCAGAACGGAACGGTCCTACTCGCTGGATTAAGCCACGTCCTACAACACAGATCCGACCGATCACATCTGCAAATACTTGCCAGATACTAAAGGAAGATCTTGTGATCCGTTCAGAATGTTAGTTAACCCCTCATACAAGCAATGATAGGCATAAATTAAAAATTATGATTCACCCAATAGGTTATTTATGAGAAGTCAATCCACATGAGCAACATTATTCTATATTGACTGATTCTGCGCGAAGTTATCGACCCGAATGAATCTCACTCAAGTCGTTTATCATAACTCCTACTACTAGAACATGATTCATCCATCATCTCCTGATCTAACGCGAAATCCAGAGTCATTTATTATTACCCAGGGAGAGATAAACTTGCTATATATGCATACTATGTTGTTCGCCCTTGCAACTCGAAATCATTAAAACGCCGAACACACCTGTTTGCTCGCTCTGGCAAGACCGAAAGCATTATTTCAAATCACAAACAAACGCTCTTGGGGACCCTAGGATATTGCTTACACAAATTATTAATTAATTCATAAGCCACTAACTCGTTTATCAATCTCACTCAGAATCCTGTTTTATGAAAAAAAGGTACGTTGGAACGAGCTGAAATGATTATCTGATCGATTATCTACGACTTATGCAGTATTTTGATTAGTCTAGCGAGATGTGCGGAGCGATTTTTTTATAATTTCTATGGAACAAGATTGCTCTTTAAAGATGTTTAAAATGTTATTAATTGATGAAAACGTAAATGGTGATGGTCCAGAATGATATTTAGTCGCATTATCTATGAATTATCAGTTATTTCGATGGGTGCAAAATGATGTATCGAGCGATTTTTTCAAGGAAATGGATTTAAAATTTAGTTTAATGAATAAAAAGTATAGTAGGATGGTTATAGATTATTGTAAGGGCGTGCATGGTGGACTCAGATATTGTTGGGTTCTGGTTACAATGTGTTTCAGGGTGGTTGCTATTGGTGGAAATACTTGTTGTGCGATCTGTTTGGTGGTGATGTTATGGATTAATTGTGATTATTCATGAGGCGTAGTTGTGTCGGTCGAGGTTTCTTTTTGGAAGACTACGGTTGATTCATCTTCTGATTGAAGAATGCTTGTATGAGAGATTTTTTATGACATCCCTGTCATCGGAATCCGGTCAAAGACGTGATGGAGCCCTTCTGATCTCGGGATCATCCGATAGTCGGGGTCGATCGGTTCGGTTGTATTATCCAGTAGAAAACGACCGGATCATTTTCCTTTGAATTCCGGTGAAATCCTTGTCGGATCCTGGCAGATTTTAGTGGGAATCACGTCGTGTTCTGGAGTGATCCGGTGCCGGTTCCGATGGGTCCCGGAGGCAGGATCGAGTGACTTTGGTTACACCCAAAGAAAATTATGTTATCAATTTGGTGGGATTTTGAAGGCGTTATCTATTGGGAGCTCCTACCTTCTAATACCACGATCGACTCAAAGCTGTACTGTAATCAGCTTCAAAATTTGAAGGTTTCAATGCAAGCAAATCGTTCAGATAGACGAAAAGTTCGATTACTTCATGATAATGCAAAACCGCATACGGCAAAAATTACTCGCCAAAAGCTGGAAGAGTTGGAGTGGGAGGTCTTGCCCAATCCCCCACATTCACCAGATCGGACACCCTTCGACTACCATCTGTTCCGGTCACACCGCAATCACCTGGTCAAAAAACACTTTAATGATCAAGCACACCTAAAATCGAACCTGGAAAGTTTCTTCTCGTGTTTGTCCGAGAAATTTTTTGATGATGGCATTCTGGATTTGCCTAAAAGATGGGAGTACGTTGTAGACAACAACGGTGTATATGTTATTGATTAACGATGTTTGGTTTCAATAAAACTTTGAAACATTGAAAAGAAAAAAAATCGGCAGAGACTATTGCATCAACCCGATATATTTATGATATGAAATGTTGAAAATTATCAATAGGGTAAAAACAAGTAGATCTCTATAGTCTCACAAGGTCTGATTAAATCTACTCTTTTGACTACTATTGCATACACACGAGTTTGAGTTTCTCACAGACAAACTTCGCTAGTATTACAACAGGAGAAAATTTTATAAACAAAAAGTATCAACTGATTTCCATCACGGCACCTATATATGTTAGCATGAGATATGGAAACAAGATTAACTTGATGAATTGATTATATTTTGAGAAACATCAGGCAAAGTAAATAGATCAGTTTGTGATGTAGTCAATCTGATCAAAACCTTTTCATACATGTCGGAAACATTGAACAGGGTGGACGTCCAGGATAAAAGGCACATGGTGCTCGAAGTAATTGGTACATTTGACCTGGAGGACGCGAAATTGTATTACATGAATTCGGAGCACACTGACAAACAAACATCTTAATCTTAATCTTAATGTTATTCTTTGATGAAACAAGATAAATCGACAGTTATATATGTTTGATATCGAGATAATTTCATGTTCCATTAAAGTTAACAAACGGAAATATGAATCATATAAAAGTTGCTCAACTACTCTTTCTCATTCTTCAAGAACATACATTGTAATATTTTTGTAAATAGTGAATTAAAAACGATGAACACTGAATATTAATGATAATACAATAAGACAAACATCAATATCGGGCAACATGAAATGATATGCATATAATTATTGACAAGAAATATGACTACTATGATCGAAAGCGAGAAAAAATTGCATTCCTGTATCATATAAAATCAAAAATATGATTGAAGATACTATCGATCTTGCTATTATAAACTAAAATTATGAATTTATTCGTCGTAAGTTCAAAAAATCATGATAAAATCCGTTTGATTGAGTAAAATCATGTTGATAATAAATATCTGCTATTTTAATTAGCAATACGAGAATAGATAAACAATTGTAAATATTTCAGTTGGATGTAACTGAAAAACGAATAATGCTTTGATAGTTATTTGCAGAGGTATATATTTAATAAATTACAAATTGAAGGTAAATTTTGTTCAGCATTCAAAAGGTCTAGACAAAAACAAGCTATCATTCAGATGTCGAATTATATTGGATGTACATTCATATCGGCTTCAGTCTGTCTTTGACATAGAGTTGGAATCAATCGGATTCATGTCTAGAATGACCTTACACTCTCCAGTTAAATGATTTTTATCATTGCTTATTCTATTGTAGAGTATATATATTGAATAACAGTCAATCATTCAAATTATCTAAGATCTAGTTCTGATAAAAAACTTAATTTATCATTTACTATAATCATGGCTTATGTGACTTTCAATATTTTCGAATAAACAATGATCACAGAACGATGAAAGAAATCAAATACGGTAGGCACTATTTGTTTCTTCATGCTACCTATGATAGAATAGTTTTCCTATTTTCAACATATCAAAGTATTTTTGTCACTCGCTAATAATATAGTTGTATTGAAAATAATATAATAACTTTCAAGCAGGTTGACAAGACAAATGAAATATAGGATACTATCAGAGAAATATCTTACTTAAAAAGACACACATATAGAATAAGAGAAATAGTTTTGCTTTCTTGAATACTATCTACAGAAACCCTTCTGAATTGAGAAATAGCACACACAACAAACGTTTTTAAATTGTCCATTTTTCTTTTCGAGTATTGTTCTAGTTGTTGTATACCTTGCTTGCGTAAGCCTTGGCTACAATAAAAATATATATCATTTTTTTTATTGAATGAATGCATATCTTTTGACGTTTACCATCTCGAAGATGCTGATCGACAGTGGAACGATGCTTGAGTGCGAAAGGACGTACAAAACGAGTATACAAAAATTTAGAACCTCCTTTATCTCCTGGTACCATTAACCATACAAGGAAAATACATTTGCCAAGCCAATAAAAAGGTAACGTTTGAAAAAAACTATATCCAATATATTCAATGAAACCAAATAATGCATAAATAACCCAATACATTAACCATTCTGTATCATCATGACTTCCTTTTGATTCAACAGCCAATACCCTATGGAGAAGGAAAAAAACAACGACTTGGTATTTTATAGAACTTGATTAAAAACTTGTAGCTTACGAGGCGTATGCTGGATAAATAAATCCTAGAAAATTACAAAGAAAATCGTTACCCCAACCAAATAGTAAATAAAGAGCGAGTAAGCCAAGGATACCTAGAACATCATGAAAGATAATTAGCATCCGAAGAAAATAATAAGGATAAAAAATAGAATACCGAAAGCGATTTGTTCACGTTTGACTTTTGTTTTTCCTTCAACCAAACCCCAATAGGAGGTGAGAGGACCTTCGTATAAGTATGGTTTAATTTTTTCTTCGACTTTGCGAATTTGATTTTGAACTGCAGCTGCCATTTTTCAAAGCTTTAGAGGGCGAAATATAAGCTACTCAACACAAAAAAAATATAACCACGCAAACAGAAGGAAAGAAAAATAACCCAGTGTATTGGCAGAATAAATGGACCAATACAGAACTTTGACAGAATACATATAAATCAATCACTGGCCTTGTCGACGCATCGATAGAGAATATTACCTCCATAATTGGAATTCTTTTTTAGAAGTTCACCCTTTAACAGATAAAAAAATAGTTGCCATCAAGAAATAAATGATCTGTTACATAAGTATTAATCAATGTTAAAGACTCGAAAAATTAATTGAGAGAAATGTCAGTATTTTCTGAAATATACTGTTAAATCACTCGTTTGAAAAAGTAGCCTTTAAAAAATTTCCTATCGTAATCAATTCAGAAATTTTTGTATGGTTTTCTGTTCGATATATTTAATGCTTGATATGGGTGTTTCTCTCTTCATGTTTACTAGATTTGGTTGAAATTATATAATGAGTTGAACCGTATTGATGATATACTATGTCCTCCTTTTTACAGCATGCATTCGTGAAGTTTGAGATGTAAAATTCATTCAAGAGATGCAAAAAATTCGAATTTTTGTGAAATTATTTTATTCGTTAGTTGAATATGTTTTTTCTACATTAATAACACTATCTATTATTACATTGTTTACCTGAATGCATTAGTAGTGTCGATCAGCAGTGTCCAAGGACTGAGAAATAGGAATCGTCAATGCCACTGTGATAATTCCTAGGGGAAATGAGAATCAATCATTGGTTCCCACACAATTCCATCATTCACGAAAGTCGCGATATTGCTATTTTTAAAATAAATTGTACACGGAACTATTGATTCTCACAATTTCGCAGGCGAAAATAAGTGTAAGAACAAAAATGATCGTGAATAGCCCATATTTTTACTTTTAGTATGCAAGGAATGGTAGGGGAACTGATGAAGAATTCCTAATTCTCAGCCCTTGGACACGCCTCATTAATTTCGCATAAAGAACAATTTAACATCTTGATAGGTATTTAAACGCTTGCACAACTCTTTAAATAATTTCATCAAAGTTAGATTTTGATCCTGATATAAAAAATCTTTTGAATGATATCTACGATGAAATAGTACAAGTAATGAAAGTGTCGCAATTTACTATCATCAAAATTTTAACCTGAAACATCATATTTATTTGTGCTACCTTCAAATGAGCCTGACTATATATATATATTGAAATCACACAAAAAATTGCAATGATCAACTTTATTACTCAATTGATTAGTAATCTTTTTATTTTATTTCGCTTGTGTTATTGGCTATCAAGTTTCTTTTTTTTCTCTGTACCACTAGATCAATAATCATCATGTGCTAATACTCAAGTTTTACTTCAGTTTCTAGTGTCGTCTTTGTATTTTGATTGGCATACTAATTATTCGGATACAACTCAATATTTTTTTCTAAAATATTTAATTTTAAGTTTAGTTGAAATGAAATTTAAAACATTGGGGTCAGGGCGGTCAGATCTTCCGAAAAATAGGGGAAAATTCTGAATTTGGAATATATTCAGATCCTACTTTGCCACTGAAATTAGGTACGATTATAACCTATTACGATAATAAATCGATAGTGTTTCATCAATGTTCTCTATTGATCATCTTTTATATTCCTCGTTTGAATTCTGGCGTCGAATTGATTTTCGGTCATATAAAGCATTTATACTCCGACTATCGTAATCCGATAATATAAAACCAGATAATGCTTAACTTAAAATAAAAATGAATGGTAATTATTCTTGAGAAACTTTTATTAGCATATGTTATCTTAAACAAACTGCCTAGAGCAAATTCCAAAAGATATGAAATATGAATAACAATACCGAGATAATGGGATTTAACGTTTTTGTGAACGAGTTGTAAATTTAAAATGAAGCTCAACATTAAGTATCTTTTATTGATGTCTTCTTATTAGTTGAACGATATATTCATTATATTGTCTTTCGTTTTATTGAAATATCTTTGAAAATAAAGTTCCAGCCAATGCACAGAAACGCAGCAAAACTTTGGATGTCAGTATTTTAGCGGAAGATGTACTAATTTGCCAAAAACTACCATTTTCTGATTAATTTCTGATTTTTCAATTTTTGATCTGACCACCCTGATCGGGATCCTCATGAACATTCCAATCGAATTTTAATTGTTGAATAGTTGAGTGCAAAGCAAACGCATTCATTTAGATTCTTTCGTTTATAATTGGCTTACATTACTAAAATAAGTCCGCAAGATTTAATAGGTTTGATTGTTTTTTTACAAGGATACTGGACGACTATGTTCATGTTCAAATGAAAAGCGATATCTATAGGCACATATTTTTTCAATGGTTTTATCAAAACAACCAATACGAACAGAGAAATCTAGATAGATAGGCAATCTCATTTGAAATAACTTGATTATAAATGATATAAAATGGTTTTATAATAGTTGAAGAAGCAAACTTAAATAAAATTTATTGGTTTAGTTCAATAAAACTACTAGTCACTTTTTGCGGATCAGGTCCACGTTTCGTGATTATTGTCATTGCTTCTTTTTTTTATTCACAGACTATCTTTAGGGAAAAGAAAGAATATACGCAAAATTGCCATTCAGAAACTTTAAGCTATTTTGGAGTAAAACATTTTTGAATTAGTATTCAAAATAGTATACGAGTTAATGATTCACGTAGAATGTTTTGCCTTTTTCATTCTAGATGGTGAGTCAATATAAAGAAAAACTATTACAACGTAATAAATCGTTTTGGATAATATTTTTTCTTTCAGTTACCATTGACACTTCTTCGAACTTCTGTTTACCATCCTATGGTAAGTAATCTTTGGAAGTGAAATTATTTAATAATATTTCATATTAACAGTTGGTGGAACTAAAAAATGGTGAAACATACAATGGAAATTTGATGAGCTGTGACAATTTTATGAATATTCATTTACGTGATGTTATCTGTACCTCACGAGTAAGTTCTCTTCTCTTTTTTTCTTAAAAGTAAACATCTTCTTTGTTGCATCTTTAGGATGGTGATCGGTTTTGGAAAATTCCTGAATGTTACATACGTGGCAATACTATCAAATATCTTCGATTACCTGAAGATATACTCGGACTTGTCAAAGAAGATACCAATGAGAAACCATCACGCTCCGGTCCAAACTCACGCCGTCCATTTCGTGGTCGTGGCGATGGTGGACGTGGAGGTAAAATACAAAAAGAAAAAAGAAGAAAGCTTTCAATGATAACTCATTATCAATTTTTTTCCATGATTATAGGACACGGTGGTCGACCTGGAGATCAACGTAAAGGTGGTGGTGGCGGTGGTCGTGGTGGACATCAAGGATCACGTGGTGGCGGACGCGGCGGCCAACAAGGTGGACAATTTCGTCAAGGACGATAATTTATGATTAGTGATGATCAGAATGATTCTCAGCAAAGTTCAGCATATCGTCTTTATTTTTGTCTTGTTCAGGTCAACAGCTTGAGTAAAAATCATACTTTAGCTCGTTGAAAACCATTTGTCTTCTTTTTTTTCTGAATTAAATCATTGTAAAGAGATATAAATACTTCAGTTTATGATCACTCAATCTATATGTGGAGACATAATAAAACTAGCATCTGTATAAGAAGAAATAATGAGTGGGAACAAACTTCAATTGTTTGCCGTACTTATTACAGAAAGAATTATAACTGAAAATTCTCCAATCTACCTGATGAAAGATTTCTTTATTTTAAAAATAAAAAAAATAAAAATCTGAACAATTATAGTGAAAGAGATTTTAATTTTTTTTAATTAATCGTGTAAAGCTGAAAAACTTGACGCGCAAAAAAAATTTCTTTAAATCTATATTCAAACCAATCGTTTTTCGAATAAACAACTTAAAAACGACATCTTTTTTTACCCGATTGGTTACTTGTAGATTTTGCTTTTGTTTATATTCTAGATAATATGTTAAGTACACTCATTGAAAAAGTTTCTACTCAACAACAATCTCACGAGGAAAAACAGCTGACAGAGATATATCGTATGGATGATTCTTGTTTTCTATTCGACGTCATATCGATGATATACATTCACTATTTGCTATTCTATAGAAAGAAATGCATATGCACACATGATTTTATCTCCGTCGTTATTTGTCCTTCATGTTTAACGTTTATTTACTTTCTTTTTCATAGAATTTTTTGATACAAAAAATAAAACTATGTCGTCAGTACCAAATCCAACGACAACAACAGCAACAACCGCTCAACGTCGTTTAATGCGCGATTTACGTGATTTAACACAAAATCCAGTTGAAGGAGTCAATGCAGCTCCCATTAGTGCGGATAATATCTTTCAATGGAATGCTATACTAGATGGACCTGAAGATAGCCTCTTTGAAGATGCAAGTTTTGTTTTAACACTGAAATTTCCACAAGATTATCCAAATCATCCGCCTGATGTTAAATTTGTTACAAAAGTGTTTCATCCAAATATTTGTAAGATTTTTTAGTTTTATTAAACTTTGAATTCAAAAATTGAACTCTATATCCTTTATAGATATGGATGGTTCCATTTGTCTTGACATATTACAACAACGTTGGAGTGCAAGTCTAGATGTATCAACGTTACTTGTTTCTATTCGTTCATTATTAACAGATCCAAATCCAGCTTCACCAGCTAATTCTGAAGCAGCCATGCTTTATCAAAATCATCGCCGTGATTATGAACGACGTGTACGAGAATATATCGATCAACAAATCATGGAAGAAGATGACAATGACGAGAGCGGACATGGAAAATCAGCAACAGATAAAAAGAATAATGTTACAACAACAACAAGCCCTTCTCAACCTCCTGCTGCCAGTGATTAGTCATTTTTTTTCTTTATTATGAAAAAAAATTCATTAACAGTGTATGTGTGTGTATATATTTCTTTAGATTTTCGCATATGGGTTATGTTTCATTTGCATATAATATTGCTGCGTAGTTTGTATCTCTCATATGACGAATATTTTTTTTTCTCTCACATTTTTTTATTGTCACATACAAGAAAACTTATATATAAAAATGAAATGAACAAAAAAGAAAGACAACACAAAACTTTCTATGTTTCTATTCGGAGATTAACTGTAGGGTAGAATGAGAAAAGATTACGTTTGAGACTGTTTTGTATATGTTCTAGTAAACTATGGTTCATTGTAATATAGATTTGATCTTGAGCGTCAAAACGTTCGACTTTAATTAAACTTTTATCTTTAGTTCTTCCTAAAGTAATATTATAATAATCAAGTCGTTCATAAAATAATGAATGTAAACAAATTAATAATCTTTCATAGAGTCCATCTGGTAGAAAATATGAATTTCCATTGATGATTTTAATTTTTTGAAGTGAACCTTGTTTAACTATATGAGAATCAATTATTTCGATTTGGTCCCATGCTGGTATATGTTCTTGTGTATAGTTTAATGCGATTTCTTCTAGAAAACTTTTATTCAGGATAGTTTCTTGACCGTGATCCATTGCAAGCCATATTTGCTGTTGTTTAAATCTTCTTCTTTGTTCACGTTTAAGACGCTCATGCGAACGTTTTTGTTCAAGTATTTTAAAATATTCTTTATGATTAATATCAATGGACGTTTCATTCATTAACCACGGACAAACAAAATAAAATGTTGAAAATTCCCGATCTAAAATGAATGTAAGAAAAAAAAAATGAAATCCTTATAAGACATTTCTAATGTTTTTTTCCTCACAATTCGGGTTTGACTCATTTAAATAGCCGAGATATAAATGTTCCATTAAACGACAAATATCAATAATATTTTCTTCTATAACACATATATTATTATTATTCTGTGCAAAAAATAGACAATTAAGCATATTCCATGTATATTCTCCACGTGTTAACAGACGTTGTCGATCAATATTAAATAATTCTTGTGTTGGATAATAACCAGAAAAATGAAATATCATATTATCATCGTAATTTAACCATTCATTCATATAAGGACGAAATAGGGAACGAGATAAAATATTATTTAATAAATGATAAGGTTTGACAATAATTGTTCTTGAAGATCTTTGTTCAAAAACAAGAATATCACCTAGAACTTTTAAATAATCAAGACATTGTTCAAATGTCATTTGATTTATTTCTTCTTCGACTGGTGTTCTGTTTTCATTTTCAGATAATGGTGGTATAGTTTGCTGTTGAAATTGATTTAGACAAGTATCATAATCGATTATTATGGAATTTGATTCGACCAATCCTAGACGTCGTTTAAGAAGTTGACGTTTTTGTTTATGATGTTTAATATTCCATTGTTCTGCAATGATTTCTAATATTTCAATAACTTGGTGTGATGTTTCTTCTCTATCTAAATAGATTGCGTCAGAAAAATATTCTGAATATAAATGAATATTTTTCCGTTGATTTTCTTCATCAGTTAAATACATATTCACTTTTGAGTGAATTTCATCTAGAAGTTGTTGTTGATAATCATCTGATCTCCCTATTCGACCATCGAAAATTAATCCAACAATTGCAATTGATGCTTGTTGACAATGGTCCGATATAGATTCAATATAACGAAATATATTATCATCTAACCAATCTTGTGTTAATAATGAATCATAGTCAATCATCGACATATAATTTTCATTTCTAGAATTGAAAAGTATTTTACTTTATTCATCTCAGGAAAAAAGAACTATAAAATGTAATGTTATCGGAAAAAATAGATTGTAAAAGAAATGATTATTAGAGCTTATGGCATTCAGCAGAGATTGAAAGTATTCTCATCTTCTGACTTTCACAAACTAAATTTTATTCTTACTACAGACACGCATAATTCTAGCTGGAAGAAATTGTTTATATTCTCGTAGAATTCGCTCTAGCATCTTCAATATGACTCATTATTCGTTAGATTGTCCTTTTTCCGAAGATATTTTGTTACTAGAAGTTTTCTAACATCCTAATTTTTAGTTAATGAAAAAGAAACGAACTGTCAAAAGTTGTAGACGTTTACAATTTATTATTAAGAGCTATGCCAGAATAATATGAATACAAATATTTTCTTATAAGTGTTTTTGAAGAGACAATGAATCTCATATATCTACATACTCGTTCATGTTGTCGAAACTTTTTGTTGCCTGAACAATATCTAAAAGATTAGTTAAGTTAACTGGTAAAATAAATAGAGCATTTGAGTCATAGATTAATGGATTAAGTATTTCAAAGCTTGGTTCACTTGTTATATCGAATATTGTGCAATATAAATTATTTTTCGTAATCAATGTTGATTTTTCTATAAAGTTTTTGATCAATTCATTTGATCGATAAGTTCGAAGTGGTGGAGGAGCAGTTCGTTTAATTTTTGAACGCACACTAAGAGTAGTATCATTGCTAGTTGATATACGATTTTCAATCCATTGATCTGTGATACCGGATGATGCCGCATCACTTGGCCGTTTTTGCTGTTGTTGTTGTTCTGCTGCTGCTGTTGCTGCTTCTTGTTCAATTAATTTTAATTGATTTTCTTGAAGAATTGATACATACATATCGAGAGTTTTTCGTGTATTAGCAATGACTGTATGGTTATTAAGAATTTTTATTGTTAAAGCTGTTTTACCAACATTTTTCTCTCCAATCAATATTAATTTAAGATGATAAAAATTATTTAGAAGTTTTTTTTCTTTCGTTTCAACATAGTCAAATAAGGTTTGAATATATATTGATTTCCATACATAACTCGGAGGATCTCGTATTGGATTACCTGATAGATGAAGACCAACACGTTGAAAACTTTCATCGATAAAATTCATTGATTTTAGACCAGTCATGTGACGAATCGACAATGGAAGATAATCTATTTGATTATATCGTAAATCAAGTGTTTCTAATTGTTCGAAATTACATAATTCATTTGGAAATGTGGCTAGATTATTATATGATATATCGAGTGTTAATAGTGATCGACTTTTTGAAAAGCCATCTTCAATTGAATTTATATGATTATGGCTAACAATTAAACTTTTTAATGTTAATATACGAGCAATATGATTTGGTAAACTGGTAAGAAAGTTATTTGATAAAATAAGTGTTTCCAATTGATCTAATTGAAATAAATATTCTGGTATAGTTTCAATACGATTATTTGAGACATCGAGTATTTTTAAATGTATCATTGTACATAATGATTCTGGTATTTGAAAAAATGAATTATTCGATAAATATAATTCACGAAGATTAACTAGCACATGTTCTTTTGGTATTGAATTTAATTTTGTTTGATTTAAATCTAATGTTTGTAAACTTTCAAGTTCAAATATAACTTGTGGGATATGTTCCGAATGTATTTTTCCTTCGTCAATTAATTGTAACATATAATTATCGAGAAATTTATAAAATGTTTGAAAATTTATTTTAAATTCATATAATTGACGACATTCGACAAGTGTTTCAGGTAGATTATCTATTGGATTACTTGTTAAGTCGATTGTTTGCAGTTTTTCGCAAAAACCAATTTCAGGCGGAAGTGTATCAAGATCCATTTGACAGAGCCGAAGATGTCGTAGATTCGTTAAATTACCTATAAAAAGCGTTTAAAATTGGTTTTGGGAAAAATTATAGCCTTTTTTTTAAATTTAACTTACCAATTTCACTTACAATATAACCAACTTTATTACGACTTATGTCGAGTGTCTCGATACTAACTGTATGCCAGAGAACAACAGGAATATGTTTTAATGTACATTCGGCCATAATTAATGTCTGAAGATTTCGTAAATAACGAAATTCGCGTGGTAAACAAAAATAATCATCGAGACCATTTTTTACACGTAATGGATTTCGTGATAAATCAAGATATTCAAGATTAACTAGAGAACGTATACTTGTTGGCAAACCTGATAGATTATTATTCGATAAAATTAATCGACGAAGAGTAACAACTGGATATGAAAAAAGAAATCAAATAATGATTAGAACAAAAACCATGAAGATTATACTTACGTTCCAAGATTTCTAATGGTACCGAAGATAGACCTCGAAAAGATAAATCTTGTCTTTCAGCATCGTTCGTTTGTGATACTTGTTTATTCTCTGCATCACTAGTACTTATTGAGCTCTTTTTTCTCTTTAAACCTCCTTTGCGATTCGGCGATGGTGATTTTGATTTTGATTTCGATTTCGATGATGATGATGTTGGTGTTTTACCGGTAGATCTACGTTTTTTCGATGAATTTGATGTTGGTGATGCTGGATTTGTTGATCGATTACTTGGTGAAGTCTCGGAACGTTTTGTTGAATTTGTTGCTCTTCCATTTCGTTTCGATGATTGTGATGACGTTTTTGCACGTAGTTTATCTTCGTCTTGTGCACTTTTATTTGGCGATCTTCGATGTGATTGAGAAGATGATCGGCTTTTAGCTCGTTGTCGTTCACCAGGAGACGAATTAGCTTGGCGATTACTGCTTGACATGTTTGTTTGCGTTTGAATGAAGGAAAGAAAAAGCCTGTTGTTAGAGCAGTGATTCTCTGTTCTTTCTACTATTTGCTTAAGGACACGTTGTTTTGAAGGTAATGTTTTTTTATATTTCTTTTTTTTTGTTGCATTGACTCGTGCTCTTTTTTTTCCTATCCCTATCAAACATGAATCCATATGAGAGAGAGATTACAATTAATCAATGAAGACTTATACGACCATCAAATAAAGTTGAACCATATATCTTTAACATTGTATAAACTTAAAATACTTAACAAGTGTTTGAATATTGTAGATCATTTTTCATTAACAGGTTATTCTATTTTATAATGACTGACTATTTAGCATATGGGGGGACATTTTCTCATTCACCATGGTATTTTTACAGTATCGATACGATTTTTCGTGATCATATGGATGTATTACGGCAGCAAAAGTCAAATGCAGAGCAGTATATTCACACTTGGGCTAACAGTCTTCATTCTCAAGTCGATGACCATGCAAGACTCCAAAAAGAGTGTCTTCAAATGTACTATGAAGAGAGAGATAACTATTTGAAAGAGAAGAAAACTGTCACTATCAGTACTGCACAAGCATTGGACTACCATAACAATCTTCACGAAATTGATAAACTATTGAAAGACTGTAAGAATTTAAAGCTTGAATTGCTAGCCGAAAGCTACCAAGAAGATAAGTCGCTTCCGTTTATATACTATACGACCAAAGATCAGCTTGAAAAAATAAAAGCACAGAACACTCATGTTAGTAAGACTGCAAATAACACACAAAATGCATCATCTTCAACGAGCAATTATCGAGACGCTAACGTTGCTACATACTTAAAGACAGATTCATCCAATAATCAGACATTGCCGAGTGAACAGCAAACTAAGTGAGTGTTTCTGTTATCAGATCTGTTATAATATGTAATTTTCGTTCGTTTTTAGCACACCATCATCAGCATTCAACTCTACCACTACGTATGATCGCTCAATTAGTCAGAATATAGATGATGAGGACGGAGAAACGAAATGTCCAGTGTGCTTTATGTTATATCCACCAAATATGAGTCGAATCGATCGAGGAAAACATGCAGACGACCACTTCAAGGATGATTAGCGAAGTAAATGGACAGATTTTGCAATAAAAAATACTTCTTGCACTATGCTTAAGCTTTATACTGTGGAGATGCTTGTTCGATTCAATTTTTCAACATAGCTGTATTCGATAGATCAAAAATGCTAATTTATATTTCTTGATTTCATCAAAATTATTTTTGTTCATTTTCTAATATAATCATAAATAAACAAGATAGAAGTATTTTCTTTGTTTTAGAATAAAAAGATATAAAGTTTTCATCGAAAAACTAGAACACTGTACAAACGACGTTTCTTCATGTCTCAAAAGCTTCATAGTCGGTGGTAGTTCAATAAATATATTTAATATAAGCCTAGCCATTATCTATAGGAGTTTGGCGACTATTATGATTCATTATTTTGATGGCCAATATTTGACAAGTCAATCAAAAATTATGTATACTCTTCCTCGGGTATTTATTACTATCCTAACAAAATATTAATGCAACTCTAGATAAGTAAAAAATATTTTCGTCAAGTCCTAGACGTCGAAATATTTTTCTTTGAATTAACTATAAACTGCCTTCACTTTTCACAGAATTGATTGAAAGAAACTGTCATATTTGCTTGCTTGATTGCTAAATTAGTGCCTAAATTTAGAATAGTAATGAATGCCTTAGATATTTTCCATAGATTAGTATTATATATAAATAAGTTGACGATTTCACTGTAAATTCTGTCTTTTCGATTGTCTGAAATCTAATTTTGTTTTAGATTTATTATGAAAGTTTCCAGCATCTCCTTATGTGTTGATTGATGTAAACCTGAAATTGTCGAATGATTTTTCGTCAATATCTTCATTGGACTTCTCGTAAGTCTCTTAATTTTGAATCTATTTTCTGTACATATTTTCGTTGAAAAACTGCATCAGGAGTATATGAAAATATTCAGACCCTAGATCTCTAGGTATTCGATATTGTTTCATCATTGTATTATGGCTTCATAAATAGTGGTTAACGATTAGTATAAGCCACATGTTTTATGGAGAAATGACTTTGATAACAAATGCTCGGTACGTAACTATATTTACGTATTTTTAAATATATCAATAGTAATAAAAACATCACATTCATTTAATATCATAACTTGTATGGGTTACTTGGTCCTTTACTTTTCGAATCGTCGAAAAAGAAATAAAAACAAAACAATTGATATGCATAAGCAGCACATGCCGAAAAATCAACGCAAAAAACAAATATTATTTTTGATTTTCTTTTACTTTTTATAAATCGAATTATTGTTTTTTTTTAAACAATTTCAGATCATTATCTCAGATATTTGTTTAGATTTTCGATGTCAAGATTTTCATTCTTGGGCATCAAGATTTTCAGCAGTGAAGCAGAAAAACAAATAAACATATTATTTGAAAATAATGCAGACGCATTATCTGATCAAAAATCAAAGAAGTTGCGGTGTATCGGTGCATGGGAAGAAACTCAACTTCAGAATATTCGCCAACACGCAAACTACCAAAAACAGCTGCTTGACGAAGAATATGAAAAAGAATACAACGATTTGAAAGAACAACGTCAGAAATTTATTGAGACACTACTTATACACGAAGCTCAGAAAAATACTGAACAAATTAATCAATTAATTGGTTGTTGTAAAGCATTGCAGTTTGAATTACCCTCACTGATCTTCAACGAACAGCTTACTCAGTTTATTCATGTAACAAAACAACAGTGGTCGAATAGAAAAGATGATAAATCAAATGTGTTGAAGTCAACAGACAATACATCAAGACAAAACTCATTAGTGAATCAAAATTATGGGTCACAACATGCTAATAATGGTCTTGTAAACTCATGGCCGACGTCTACACCAGAAAACTCAACGCAAATACAGTAATTTTGTGCATGAGCAAGTTTATCTATTTTATGAGTAACAATATCTTTCTTTGCAGTACAAAGCAATCACCGACGCATTCTGATGGTTACCACAGAAGTGGTACGAGTAATGACAGTGATCATAACTTTTATGATGCCCAAGATGATAAGCTGCTTGTAAAATGTCCTACATGCTTTATGATATTTCCGACCAGTATGACAGCCTGCGATCGATCTCAGCACGTTCAAGAACATTATATAGATGATTGATAAATAAACAACTATAATATTTCTCCATAATAATTAACGGTCAAAATTTCATTGGTTTTCACTAGACTTTTTTGTTTTCAAGAAAGTAAGAAGGACGAATTTTCAATGTGTATACTTTCTAAATAAATAAATAAGATCCGAAATCGTTCTATTCTACAGAGAGAAAAAAGACATAGTTTTTCTACATAGAAAACTAAATACTTTCGAACATTTTATTTGTTTTCGATTTGCAGATACACCTTCTTTTTAATTGGTTCCAATAAAGAGTGAAATTTCAAAACTTCTCAAATCAATATTTAGACATAATTTTCAATCCGATATTATCTTTTCTAAAGAACACTGATAAATCTTTATGATCAAAACAAAAGTCGGTTGTATTTTTCAATTCGTCAACATTGATTCTACATTTCTATCGTTAATGATTAAGATCGGATGTAAACTTCGAATGTGTGCAAGATAATTTTATATTTAGTCGATCGACTATCTTGTAACCTTGATTTTATCACCGTAAACAGAACGTGGCATAGATGCACACTCAACAAAATTTAATACATTGAGAACATGAAAATGATCTGACTCGCACGAAAGATGTGTTGAACCTAATTAACATGCGAATAAATCAAGATTTTTTTATCTAAAATAAAATAATTTGTTTTTCTTTCGATGTCATCCGATTAAACTTTTCTTTAGATCATTCTGAATGTTTTATTTTCAATCCTTTTATATGTAAAGTCATCTTTGTGGCTCATTGTACTCTAACTTAAAATTAATATGTAACATTTCTTTTTTACACTTCATACTTACTCTACCGGCGCATGTGTTTGAAAGAAGAATAGACGAAAAAAAATGCGCTTGACTTAGTAGTCGTTTTTGTTATTTTAACCATTAGCTTGCCAAATTGTTTTTTTCAGTGACTCCTTCTTTTCTTTTTGTTCTGTGGATCAATCTGAATACAGGTGAATGGCGGAACGCTTCTGCATTAGAAGCAAATATTGACGACGCGAAAAAAAGACTTTGAAAGTTGTATCTTTTAGGATTATATATTGATCAAAACAAAGTTTTAGATTCTTACTAATTTGAATTGATTTCTACATGTCAGAGCAGTCTTTTATCAACGAAACATTAGAAATCCAACCGTTGGAAACAGAAATTCGGCATGTCTTCAATCATCATGTCACTGTGTTGTGCAATCAAAAATGGAAAATCGTCGATGAGATGACAAAGTGGAGTAGTACACTTATTGCTCAAATTCAAGAACATGTCAAACAACAAAGAGAACTTCTCGAATTGGTATATCAAAAGAAAAAGTTTCACCTTGAAGCTTTATGCATTCGATCTCTTGAACACGTTCAGATGTATGAGCAGAAAAAAGAATACGAACAATTAAAATTATGGTTCAATAAATGTAATACTCTGAAATTTGAATTAGCTACATTACTCTACATTGAGCGTCCTATATCCTCAATACAGTTGATAACAGAAGAACAATCAAATGGACACGAACACAGCCAACAAAAGACTGCATATATATCATCTGCAATGAAACAAATAGTAGACGACGAGAAATATAATAGAAATCATACTGATATCAATGAAAATGGATCTCCCAAATTGACTTGGACGAATACAGAATCAGCGAAGTCAGTTTTTCTATCAATAGCTATATTATTTTGCTCTATATAACTCAATCTATTTTTGTTTTTGATTCGTAGTACACCACCAGCAATAAGAAAATCTATGAATGATAATGATCAAGCAATCACCTACGATGACAATAGGCTAACCGAGAATATCTCCAGTGATAAGGAATTGTGCGAAAAATGTCCTATATGTTTTATGATATTTTCACAGAGTATGACTGTAGACAATCGAAATCTTCATGTTAACGAGCATTATTAAGATATTTGATAAAAAGAAAACTTTTTATATATAACTAGAAAACTTTTCAAAATATTAGTCAATATTTTTTTATATATGTAAATTTTTAAAGATGATGAATATCTAATTTTATTTTTGGTATATCTATATCTATATAACTATTGTTCAGAATAAAAGTTCTTTGAAAAACTAAATATACTATTGATTTTAAAGTATCATTTGGAGACATCCATATTATTATTGATAATCATTATTGTTACTAGAGGGTGTCCCATAAGTAAGGTAACAGAGTTTTTTTTTCGTTTTCTTTCCTATATGTCGTCAGTTAGAACTCATATGCATACTACAGATACCGGGCGATACAAGTGGAAGATACAGCATATGAACAATATTTGAATGTGGTAATTTGTCCACAAGTGTATAAATGTAGTATAACAAAACAAAAGGAAACATGCAACTTTGCAAAGACTTAGAAGAAGAATACATTGAGAAATTTTTATGGAAAACTTTGTACTGAAGAGACTTCGCAGAGACAAACTTTTCTACGTGCCATTTTCTTGCTCTGTTGCTTTAATAGAAGTTTTGCTACGACTCAAACATGTGTCCTTATTTTTTGGTTGTACGATTTTTTAACAAATTACTACATTCAATTATTGTTCATATGCTGTATCTTCCACTTGTATCGCCCGGTATCTGTGGTATACATATCAGTTCTAACTGACGATACATAGGAAAGAAAACGAAAAAAAGACCCTGTTACCTTACTTATGGGACACCCCCTGTATATTTTGTGATCCCTAACAAAAAATAATCATCATACAGAACTTCATTGGCATGTGCTTATTGTGTGTTGAGCAACAAGAAGAAAAGTTACACTCGGGAAGTGATTATGTTCTGTTCTTCCAAGTATTTACTTGCCAGCACGTTACTCAACTGACACAACGTTTTTTTTCAAACTCTTTTTGTATTCGTCGCTGTCAAGTTTTCTTTTCCTTTTATTCAATGGAATAATTGTGCAGAATGAGAAATACATTCGATCAAAACGATGTATATACATATGCTTAAGATTTCAGATTTTTTATATACTATTACCACTTTCGTCATGTCATATTATAAGCAGTTATATCCACCACCAGTTCCACAGTGTCAATCGGAAATGGAAATTCGAAATTTATTCGAACGTCATATGAAAGCGTTGCTTGATCAAAAAAACACAATGATCAATGAAATCGTCGAATGGGAGAATAATCTTATTCGTCAAATTCAAGAGAATGTTACTAATCAAAAAGCTCTTGTTGAACAATATTGTAAATATCAATTGAATTCTCTTCGAGCTACATGTCAAGAATTTCTCGATACAGCATTAATCTATGAACAAAACAAGAATAGAGAAGAAGTTCGTCGATTGATTGAACATTGTCACTCGTTAAAAGCGGAATTGGGTGTATTCGATTATCCCGAACAACCTATTCCATTTATCAAAATCCAAAAAGAAAAACAGCAAGTAGACGTTAAACAAGATGTATCTATCACACATAAATCAAATAATCGATCGACCATGAATGATGATTTTAGAATAGATAGCAATACAAATCTAGATGGATCTACTTCTTCTATATCGGCCGGTGCGCGTACAAATCCAATGAAGTGAGTATATTTCATGATGATATAGATGTGTTCAAGTTTGGTCTTTCGTAGTCAACAGTTACTGACAACAGTATCTAATATCGATTACAATCAGATGATGATCGACGATCTTCACCGAGAGTCTGATGCGATAGATCGTGGTGACACTCTCGATAAATGTCCTGCTTGTTGTATTATATTTTTATCAACAATGGACACTCGCGAACGAACACAACACGTCAATCAACATTTTGATGATAGCTGAAGAGCGATGAGGTAGAAAGTGATTCTAATCAAAACATCGAAGTTTTTACAAGTATTTTTTCTGCCTTTCTTACTGAAGAATAGTATTTACATATTGTCAAGTTTCGCTGTTGATTATTATTTTATCTCACATTGAAATTATCTCATTAGTTGTTATTTGTAAATGAATATATAACTTTTAAGAGCTATCTTTTTTTCTAGCAAAAAGAAACAATATAATTTATGAGTCGAAATAAAGTGTTTATCGAATGTTTGTATTATTATTTTTATTGCAATACATTGATTTAAAAATATTAATTAGACGAATGAAAGAGAAAAACAAGATTATAACGAAAATCTAGCCTATTTAAAATTATTCTTATTGAACATTTATTTTTACTATTATCTTGTCAAAATTCTTATTATTGCATTGAATATCAAATTTTCATTTATTCATTCGTTTGTATTGTGTCTAGTATCTTAAGAAAAATTCATTTCATTCTACTTCGATCAAAGTATTGTTTCATGTGAAATAGCTCTGAAGAACTTCGTTAATAATACTTCATGATCTTCATATTGTACAAGAAAAACATTGATTTTTCAGCCGGCATATTTTTTACTAACATAAAAACTTGCCGAAGCATGCTTGTGTCAAAGACAGTCATACTTTAAAGGAAGCAAGGAAGAAAAAAAACCAATGACAAATTTTTTTATACTTTCTTTCATTTATTTATTGACATATTTTTCTGCGTCACTTTACCAATTTTTTCCTTTTTACATTAGTCCATGTTTCTTTTTCTCCGTTTCTTTTCTTATTATAACGGAGTATTTATTTTAAAACAGAATTTATCTCGGGAAGTTTCAGATTTCTGGTTACCAATATGAATTTCTTTTCGTCTTTTTATACACCTTCAGTCGGGTCAAGAGTAACCACATCCAATATCTATGATATATTCAGGAGCCATTGGAGTTCGTTGTACAACCAAAGGCAAAAAGCAGAACAAGCGATTGATGAATGGAAATTAGCTCTTATAAATGAAATTAATGAGTATGCACAGCGACAGAAGGGTCTTGTTCAGAAAGCTTATTGTGATCAACAAAAGTACTTCGACACCCAGCGTGAAGAATTTATTGAGACATTTTTAATCTATGAACGGAAAGGGGATACTGAAGAAATGAATCGACTCCTGGAGAAGTGTAAAAATATAGCAGAAGAATTAGTTAAATTAAGCTTTCAATCAAAAGATACACAATTCATTGTAGTTACATTATTAGAGTCAAACAGTTCAACGTATAATGAAGACCGCAAACAATCAGAAATTGAAAATGACAACAATCGAAATCTATCAATACAGAGAACTGAAGGTGGACCATTGGATACCAGAGATTCTACATATAACTCAGAGTCAGGTTCAACACCTGTAGCTTCGAATCGAATAAAGTTTGTACATCATTGAACTTAGTAATTGTGTCATTTTAAAACTTATTTTTCAGCCAAACAACGACACATACAACTGATAGTAATATGTTGCACGTATCAGGTGTCTCAGATGATAACTTGAACGATCAATGTCCAGTATGTTTTATGATATTTCCATCGCATATGTTATCAATAAATCGATCAATTCATGTGGAGAAACATTACGAAAATGATTAACAAAAGATAGTTCAAACATATACTTTCCTCAGCATTTTTTTAATCGACTGACGCATTGTGTCGTTTTTGTTTCAAGTTCAAAAATTTCATAGTGAAAATAAAATAATGTTTAACAATTTCCTCATATTTCAAAGATCGCATTAATTTTAACAGTTAGGTGTTCACAAGAACGAGCGAGTCGCATATTAAAGCAGAAAAAACCTACGAACTATATTTTTAGAAATATCTGCACGGATTGCTTTTGGTTTCGATCTTAAATAGTATGAATTCATTTTAACTATTAGACTGTATGTTGTGGAAGCTAGATCCTGAAAAACTAACGCCAAAGTGGAGCGAATAAAAAATCAGGACGAATATATACATTGATCTGGGGAAGTATTTTTATGCTTTATTGGTAGTATAGATGAACTCAGCTAACTCGCATAATTTATGGCTCATCAGGGTATGAAAAAAAAGGGAAGACTAATGTTTCTAAGTTCACCATCAATCAGAGATGATCAGTTTTATTCGAAAAATAGTCGGCTACAATCTGTTTGACTAGGAAATACCAGTGATTTTCAGCTTATATGAGTTACATTTGTGAACTTACAACTAATGTATGAAATAGTTACATCGAATTTAAAAGTCCTAACTTACTGTCTTTAAATATTTCCAAAAACAATGTTTATGAAGTTTATTTTACAATAAGTTACGTTTCGTTATCAATTAGAATTAGAATTTCAACGTAATCCGTAGCAGACATTTTCTTGTATGTATCGTCGTGGAAAAGACTTGAAGGATATCATGAGAATTAAACTCATTGAATAGACACATCTTATGAAAATCCAAATGATAGAAAATAAGCTGTTCAAACTTAGATGTATTTTTGTTGTTGAAGCTGGTAAATCTTCATTTTGTTGATTTAACTACTGAATTGTATCATAAATCAATAACGTTTTGAAGAAGAAAAAAACGAAAGTAATTGCCAAAACATCTGATACCGGCGTTTTTCTACAATTACCATCAATTTTAACAACTATTTTGTGTGTCAGCAATAGACACGAGTCAGAATATATTCGTTCTACTTGTGGATATGATTGTGAAGAGCAAAATATATCTACACCCTATGATAACAATTAAAAAGCAGGTTTTAGAAACCCTCGAGCGAAGAATCGTCGCATTCGATGGTAAATCGATCTTCAAAGCTTATGATTTCGTCCGATTGCTTTCAAGTATCTCTTCTTAAATAAAAAGAAAAGGTGGAGTCCGTCGTTAGCAACCTGAAAATTTCAATTTGAAATGCTCTCTTCGAAGTTCACTTATGTTCATAATCTTCTTCTAGAATTTATCAACATATTTTCCAAATCCATCCTATTTCTGTGGTTCATTTTGAAGAATTGGCGTACTGATATCACACATAGTGCTCTAAAAGAGCTATTTTAATGCTTGTGCATCAATAACATCTGTCACAATCTAAGGTAAAGCAGTCAGACTCGAATGCAACATTTCACCTTACATACTTCGATAAATCTCAGAATGCTGACAGTCTTGAGGGGCAATATAAATTTAATTGATCATTCCTGTTAGAAACTATCATACTTATCAGCATAAAAGAAAAAGAAAAAATGCTGCTATTGCAAAGATATTTTCTCATCTCAAATATTTACTTACGAACATGTTGTTTAAAATTTTTGGTTCTTCATTCATCTGACTACATCTTAACTTCTACATTTTTTCTTCTTCTTTTTATGCGAGTCAAAAATGGATAGACGTGATTGACGACTATATTTCACTGAGGAAGCATCTAATCCAAACCAAGACTAATCTTAATGTTTTTTTTAAATATAAATCTATTTAGAATACTGACTATAATTTTCTACTTTGCAACGTACAATGAAGAAATCTGTGCAAGAAATTCGCAGTGTATTCGAAAGTTATCATGAGTTATTGACGAATCATAAGAAGAAAATGTCTGAAAAGCTGATTAAGTGGCATAATAAACTTATTCAGCAGATTGAAGATCATGTAGTCGAGCAAAGCAAACTTCTTGATCAATATGTTGAAAATGAAAAACATCATATCGACGCCAGATGTAAGCAATTGCTTGTAGATGTTGCTTTGCAAGATAAGAAAAATAACAAAGAACAAATAAAACGATTAGTTGCTGAATGTAAAACTTTGCAATTCGACTTGGCGAAGCTTCATCGATATGATCACTCAACTAAGTTTATACGATTTACGATAAAAGAACCACCAGTAGAGGAACAACAAGATAACGAAAATGTACGTAAATCGAGAAGAAGTCAATCTCAACGAAGAAAAGTCACTGATAATAGAATGAATGATATTCATAACTCGAGAAATGATACGCCTCAAAATTCATTGGCAGAACTATCATATATGAGTTTTAAACATCCACGGTGAGTTCTTATTTTAATCTGTTCAATGATTGTTCGCAGTCACCATTTTCTTTTCATTTAAAGTTTAAAACCATCGAGACATGTAACTTTGCCTGAAATTAAACATGCAACAACTGATATTAAAAGTTCCAATAGTGACACCGTACATCGAGGTGATGCAATCGATAGGTGCCCTTTATGTTTTATGATATTTCCACAAAGAATGAAACAGCTAGATCGCGAAGAGCACGTTAATGCCCATTACGTTTAAACAAGTGTATGCGAAATGTGCCAAATAGTACTTCGTAATATTGACCTCCTTTTCCAAATGCTTGATTTTTCTTATTAACAAATGAAACAAACATTTTATTATTGCATTAATTTCCATCTCACATCAAAGGACTAACAATTGAAAGTCTTTTCTCTTGTTCTTCTGACGTTAATGTACTTCCATTTTAAGAGTAATTGATATATTTCATTGAAATAATCAATGTATGTACAAAACTTCTATTGTTTTTCTTTCAGATTTTTGACGTCTTTTCTTGTTAGTTTCTAGTCCACAACTCATCATTTCTATGAACAGGGCTAATCCAGAGATGTTTCTCTTTAGTTTAAACGCTTGCATTTTGTATATTATACATATATACATTTACAGATAGAATTCATAATAGAAAGAAAAATAATAGCTACATGGTTAGTTCATCATAAACTAATACTTATTTCTTTCGTTGATCAAACATTATGGGAATCTAAATGAGTTGTTTTTTTGGCATAATAGATTTCTTATTTGACGTTGTCATCCACCGATAATTACTTATTTCGATCAAAATTTCTCAAACTACTCGCTTTTAAACTCCAACATAGAGATGACTGTTTCAAATATACAGATTTGCCTTTTACGAAAAATCTTTAATAGCATCCTTCATAGACATTTTAAGTAGCAGCTAAATACTCAATATTTATCAATCAGAGCATTATTATTTGGTCAAGTAAACGAACAAAAAAATTGTTACTCCGAGAAAATCCTGATGACAAGAGTGTATGTACACTATGAGCATTTATTTAAAGAATTAAAACAAGATACTTTATGAAAAAAATTCAGCAAAACTAGAGATTTCATACCAATTCATCCATCGCCAAGTCATACTGACAACCAATAGTCAAAATTTGTTTTGGACTATTCGAATGACTTGCAATCAGCCTCTCCTTTTGCTTCACGACATTTGTATTCAGTTTCGTCACTGACAATGCAAGGAAAAATCTTTTTTTTGCCAGAATTTTTGTTTTGTGAAGATTTATTTTCTAATACTTCTTGATAGCAAATCATTTTTGGTTTTCACAAAATATCGTTCGAAATGGTTGGATTTCGTAAAAGTAGTTGTACTCAATCAAAACTCAGTCTTTTCGAGTGACGTTGTTAATACTGGCTTTTCAATAGGAACTCAAATCTTTTTGAATGAATTTTTCACGTTGTTGAGCCGTATCCAACAAACATCTGTTAAAAATAAGATACTTAACAGAAAGTGTCGTATGCAATAGATGAAAACTATTACATGTACTGCTCCATGATTCTCTGCACGTTATGTTCAATGATGTGTTTTTCTTTTTAAAGAATTTCATATCATTATTAGTGGCGGAGCCAGAGGGAAGCTTGGGGGAGCTGAGCTCCCTCTAGAAAATTTTGTCGCTATTTAGGCTGTTACTGTCTAATTATCTTTACTAAATAATTTCAATGCAAATACTAGAAGTTAGCATAACCGTTTGCCTATTTTTAATCGACTACGAACAACTTAGACCTTTTTTCTCTTTTGATGTATTTGCCATACAACATAAAAATAGTAGAATTTTGTTAATGTGATTAAGTGATATGAAATACATTTAAATATAGAATCCAATTTATATGTTGCTATAAACATAATGTTTATAAATATATGAGCAAGAACTGATTGAATAAGATATTAGGACTCAGAAAACTAACTCAAACATGACAGTTTTCAAAAAAAAAATTTCACTATCGTAAGTAGACTTTGAATAATTAAGATGGAGCTGAGCTCCCTCTAGACTGAAATCCTGGTTCCGCCACTAATCATTATCTCAGACAATTTGTTTGGATTTTCGATGTCACGATTTTCATTCTTGGGCATCAAGATTTTCAGCAGTGGAGCAGAAAAACAAATAAACATTATTTGAAAATTATCCAGACGTATTATCTAATCAAAAATCAAAGAAGTTGCGGCGTATCGATGCATGGGAAGAAACTCAACTTCAGAATATTCGCCAACATGCAAGCTACCAAAAGCAACTACTTAACGAAGAATATGAAAAAGAATGCAATGATTTGAAAGAACAACGTCAGAAATTTATTGAGACACTACTTATACACGAAGCTCAGAAAAATACTGAACAAATTAATCAATTAATTGGTTGTTGTAAAGCATCGCAGTTTGAATTAGCCCCGCTGACCGTCACTAAACAGCCCTACTCAGTTCATCCATCTAACAAAACGAGAATCAGTAAAAATAAACTCAAATGAACTCGGTAGAGCGAATATAAACAATGATAGAAGTGATGAGATATTAGTAGCAATCGGGAGACACAGGGAACAATGAAAGTAAATGTGGAGATGCGACTATAAAGTAAGCTGACTGTATCAAACAATTCTATTCATTTTAATAGGTTTAATTCTTTCAGTCAAGTCGAGGGTTACGTACTATAGAAATGTTAAATGTGAATAATCGATCAACAATCAACAAAAACGATCAATTGAATGAGTTTCATGGGTGCTCTGTGATCTTCCCAACTAATATGCCATGTTGTGACCGAACAGTTCATGTTAACGAACATATAAGAAACGATTAAACAAATAATTTAAACACATTCTACTGAGCATTTTTTTGTATGTATTCGTGAACTAAGCAGTAATAATTACTATGAACTTTATTTATTATCAAAACTTTTCTTGTTTGATGTATGTTTTCTCGACAACTACAGTTAACAATTCACCATACTTGAATCTCAATCATTATTGAAATAGACATTAAAATTTTGTAGTTCTATAAATATTTCCTATTTTTCTTCACTGACATCGATATATTTGTTTATCTATAGAAAGTAGTCGAGTATATTCTGCTCGTTGATTTCCTTTTGTACAATAAGCTATATTCTAAACTTCATCCGATCTCTTTTTTGAATTTATAAGTATTTAAAAGAAAGAATTCCATTGGCAATAGGTCACAAGATATTCATATAATTCTGAAATTTTTGATATCCACACCGAAATCATTCTTTTGATAAAAGATATATAAACAATAGACTACTTTGGAAGTTTTTGGGAGAGAGTGCAGATTTTTACAAGATAATTTTATCGAAGAAGTAGCAGCCACTACTCTTCAGCTGAAATTTTCAAGATCCGAAGTTCTATGTCATGAAAGTGATCATAACTCGAGAAGAAAGATTTCAAACGATGAGTTCTTTTTGTGCTTTCATTAATAAAACTACTTTATATGGTATACTTATAAATGAAATATTGACTGAAGCAGCAAATAAAATTTCAAGAGACTCCTTCGTCACTTGAGAGCCTAACGGCTACCGATATACTCTATTGGTAATTAAGTGAAATTGAAAAATATTCAACAAGTTCAAAACATACATTTACTATCAAGAAAAATGTTGTTCTTTCATAGAAGATTGTTTGGTTAGTCGCCATAGCCCAATTCTTTTCTTGCCAATAGTGATTGACAACATAGATCATCGTTTTTTTCTCAAGAAGAAAAAGAATATTTTTAAATTAAAAATGAAAATTAATGCAGAAACTTTTAAAATTTAAATTAAAAAAAAATACATTTAGAACGACATCTAATGTAAGGAAGCTTCTCGAACGAATGCAACATATATTTCATTTCCTTTCTTTTTTATTTCATTCATTGAGCCAACATAGATCATGCCACCAACAGAAACCAACGAACAAACTGCAATCAAAGGCGAAGATATTTCTCCTGCCAAAGATGGAGGTTTGTTTAAAAATTTCGCCTCAATCTTTTCAATATTGATCTTTTTCTGTTTTATTCAAGGTGTCATTAAAGAAATAATCAAAGAAGGGCATGGTGATGAACGACCATTAACAAATGATAAAGTATATGTACACTATGTCGGTACATTACTCGATGGCACTAAATTTGATAGTAGTCGAGATCGTAATCAACAATTTGATTTTGAACTTGGTAAAGGTTCAGTTATTAAAGCATGGGATATTGGTGTTGCAACAATGAAAAGAGGAGAAGTATGTCGTTTAACATGTAAACCTGAATATGCCTATGGTGAAAATGGTTCAGGTGAAAAAATTCCACCCAATACAACGTTGGTTTTTGAAATTGAACTCTTCGATTTTGTTGGTAAGACATTTATCTATTCTATGATGAATCTTCTAGACAATATAGTCGCTTTGTTTCTTTAGGTGAAGATTTGAGTGAAGCAAAAGATCACAGTATTGTTCGACGAACATTAACTAAAGGGGAAGGATGGGCTAAACCCAATGATGGTGCCACTGTTGAAGTTACACTTAAAGGTACTTATCAAAATCAAGTATTCGATGAACGAACACTGTCATTCACAATCGGTGAAGGTTTCTTACAAAATATTCCTGAAGGGTATGTGATAACTATTTTTTGTTCCTATTCATTAACTTAAGTTATTCTTTCTTTCTTTGACTTTCAGTGTCGAACATGCCCTGACAAAAATGACCAAAAATGAACATGCACAACTCAAATTAAAGTCAAAAGCAACAGCCGGTGTCGAAAAATTTAATATTCCAGCTAATACACCTGTTCAATATGATGTGACATTAATAAATTTTGAAAAAGTTCGTGAATCAAAATAGAATTCATGAAAGAAAATAGAATTCTTCTCTTTTTTTGTTGTTGTTTACTATAGGCTAAGGAGACATGGTCAATGAATGATGCAGAGAAACTTGAACAAGCTGAAGTATTAAAAAAACGCGCTGGAGAATTATTTACAGTAAGTAGCTATATTAACGAGTCGCTGTAGCTTGTGGATTCTTTAACTTTTTGATTGAAATGTTCGTTCTTTAAACTTCAAAAATACTTTAAACATTCCTATGTAAGATTTACTCGGGGGTAGAAAATAGACTAATGACTTCGACCTTGAATTCAATATTAAGTTCAAAAAAACTATTTTTAATTGACTTATCCTTTGCTCCCTAATTTCTGGCTCTCAGAATTTCAATAAACGATTAAGGATAGATGCGAATGATCATTTTGAAATCTACCAAAGATATGAAACAAGTCTTTAGCATATTTTCTACATAAAAGAGTAAGTAAGAAGGAAACAGATTCGAGATATTTTAAGTCTAAATGCACAGTGGAGTGTGAGCACGAAGATTAGAAAATCATATGACAGGAAATTAGATTTAATGGCAAAATGATCTTTTGTATTCAAAAAATTAATATTGATAGAAGTCAAAGGAATCGTAGGATGAATACTTTCATTTTTGTCGATGTTTTGTTTTCAGACTTTCTGTTATCTGAATTAATGACAAAATACAATTCTCCATGAAAAGATTACTATATAGTTTAAAATAAAACTTTTGCTAACTGAAGTGTTGAATCTATATGCTTTTAACGATACGAAATCTGTTGGCATAGTATCTATCGTACTGGCAACGGATCAGTGGTAGTTCGATACTTGAATAGCTGGCTATCGTTTGACTGCATTAGCACAAGGAACTATACAGCATGAGAAATATATTCACTGATAGTGTTATAATAAAATGTAATATTTTATAATTTAGGGTGGACACTATCAAGCTGCTATTAAAAAATATAATAAAATAGGTGATTATCTTCAAACTGCAAATCATGAAAGTGAAGAGGATAAAAAAAAAGCTGAAGAATTAAAATTAAGTGCCCTATCCAATGCTGCCTTATGTTATCTTAAATTAAATGATTATGTTGAAAGTATTCGATCCTGTGACAAAGCATTAGAATTAGATCCAAAACATGAAAAATGTTTGTTTCGTCGTGGGCAATGTCATTTAGCGATGTCAAATTTTGAAGAAGCTTTGAAAGACTTCCACGATGTTCAAAAGTTAAATCCGGCAAATAGTGCTGCAGCACAATCGATTCAAAAATGCCGCGAGCAAATAAAAGTTTATCAACAAAAAGAAAAACAATTGTATGCTAATATATTTGATAAAATGGCTAAACAGAATGAAAAAGTATGTAGATAAACGTCAGAAATGAATCCTAATTTCGATATCTTTTATTTTCTCTAGATGGAGATGGCAGCCCAAACTGCACCTGTTGAAGTTAAAACGAATGAAGATCAAACAACGACAACAAATTAATTTTTTCAAACAGACATTCCATGCTAATCAAGATTTAAATAAAGACATTCAAAAAAACTGTTCTGAGTTCGTGTATTATCGTGATACTTAAACGTTATAGTTTCCTTTTTTTTTATTTGTCGTCTTTTCTGTTAAAATTAAGCTGGAATAAAAACTAAACTGTCGTATGCGATAAACATAAAAGTGCAAACATTTCATAATAATTACTAAGCTGAAAGACCACTTAGTACAGCAGCAAGAATTCGAATTAGCATACCAATACCAAGATATATATAGTTTTTCTTTCCTTGAATCTCTCGAAACAAAAACAATGACCATAGTGAAGTTACGATACCCGGTAAAACATTTACAATTGGATAAGCGACTGCATTTTTTAATGCAGTAATAGCAACAATAAATCCAATATTGGCTATTGCCCACATAGCTCCACTAATCATAGCTGGTAGAGCAATAGATGGATTAATTATTGGTTTATTACGTTTCAATGCTGCATATACAACAAAATAAAATAAAGATGACAGAAGAATACCCGAATATTGTGAATTAATATAGTAAAGACCATTGTTCGGTGGTAATTGATTAAGATACTTAAAATCTTGTCTATGATCGCGTATATATTGATCGGGTATAAACATGAGCCCATAAAATACGCCGGCTAAAGCAGCTAAACCACAACCCAATATTTGTTGTATTCTATCACTTAATCGATTAAGAAATGGAAAATCAGTATCAAGATATGCATAATTTTCAGTATCGTTATTATCGGCTTTGTCTAAATTGATCGATGGGTGTTCGTCAAGTGCAATCATTGATCGAACATCTCTTGGTGCTTTTGTCGATTTAATAAAAAGAAAAAATACTCCACTAAGTGCAGCCAGCACAACAGATGCATAGTTCATGGCTAACTTTAATGAAGTTGTTGGTACTTGTGGTGCAAGACCAAATATGCCAAAGCGACCACCTGCCCAACCGACAACTAAACTTGTTGTTCCCCAAATCAATAAACCAACGGCAAGACCACAAGTCTTTATACAAAATACTGTGACAAGATTTCCTGTTGTCCATAGTACACCTAAAAATAATTTTATATATGAAATAATTATTAGAAGAAGAAGTAGAAAAAACATTCTCTTGAATACCTCCAAGAAGTACAAGTGGATAGAAACGTTGATTATTTAAAATAAGATCGACTATAAGACCAACAAGCCAAACGACAACACAAAATACAAACTGAAAGAAAAATCCATCACCAGCTGAAAATTGTTTGACAGGTAATAGATTTGAACCAAAAAAGATTGATGCAACAAGACATCCAACAAAGCCTACCCAAACTGGCATTTGACGTTCAGTTTCTGCTTCAGCACGAATTAAAGTCTTATTTATGCTCTTGTCTGCTACTTTATCGATAGTCTCGTCTGAGATTACATTTATTATTGACGATAGAGTGCATATAAAAATTAATGTATAGGCTATTCTTGAGCCTCTCATTTTATTAAAACTCTTAGCTTAGTGAAATGTCTTATTTGAAACAGAAGATGACGAAGAAGAAAAAAAGATTTAAAAAATGTAGAATGAATCTATCATGCTGCAGATAGTTTTATTTACTTTGATACATACATGTGATGATTATGGTTATATAACAACATCAAGTTCGAAGAGCGAACAACTTATTTTTATCTACACTTGCAGAATTAATATCTTTATGTTTGTTTTCATATCAACTGATTATGTTTAAATTTATTTTATTCGTTTGAAATCTCACGATATATGTTGTTTTATTGAGTCTGTTGATAATTTATGCATGCGATAAATAATAGATCAATCAGATCCAGTTTAACTTGTCAGTAAAACTTCATTATCAAAAACAAAATAAATATTCAACTTACAATTCAACCAATAAACAATTGAATCAGATGATCACATCATTTTATTTATTTATCAGTAAGAAATCATCACAATTTATTTCTCTTTGGCAATACACAAAAATTCTCAATGGAAACAAATAGATATTCAACATAGATATATTTTATTTTTCATAATCATGAATATTCAACGTTTCAATATGCTACATTTTAATCAAAAGTCAACCTTAATTAGATAGATTAACTATCATTGAATTACTTGTTACTATTGTAATATTTCTAAAAAAAAACAGACGCATCTTCATTTCGTAATATTAAACAAATAGAGAGAAAAGATACCGCTTCAACGGCACGGGAGTGCTCTACATTGATCGTATCTCGTATTCATGAAAAATCATTTTTGTAGTTGATTCAAATACACAAAAAGAAAATAATTAAAAACGTGTATCAATAAAAAAAACATCTTATTGGATACATAATATGCCTGCATTTTGTTCATTCTGTCTACTTTCATTCTAGAATAAATCCATAGATTCTTATATAGCACATAGTTTTGAAATTCCAGATCGAAAGTAGAGAGAAAAAACTAGCTATTATTTTCTAAGATTCAAAGTTAATATCTCAACTACTCAATGGCGGTGCTTGTAAATATTTCATCATACTTATCTAGCTATTCTTCAAATACGCATAGAGTATAGGTCTTATCTGGTTTCAAAAAAACAGGCGTTTAGTTAAGTAAGCAGTGACTTAGCTTTTCAAAAAATTTTTAATTTCGAAGACTTTTTCTAAATCTGAGGACAAACATTATCTTATAGTTTTCATCGGTTCATAAACAAAGAAAATTGTATATTTTGCAATCGTCGCAGAGTAGACCGCTGTCGAACTCTATGTATATTTTAGCAAAATTTATGGCAAAGGAGTCCCATGCGAGAAAAATCGGTTACTCAAAAACAGCTTTTCAGCGCAGCCTCGTTGGGGCTAAAATGTGGAATTCACATATTTCAGTCAGTTAGATACTGATCAAATAGAAGATTCATTTTTTCAGTGTAGTGAGATCATATTTTGTTCAAAAATAAGATAATAAAACCTGTTTAACATTTTTGAAGTTTATTGGATCTATCAATAGGAAATATTACTAGAGAGAACGTATGAAAAACTCTTTGCTTAAAATATGTCAGTATGCTGAAGTGTTTAGTGGTTTCATCAAGAAATATTGTGAATGATAATAGTTTAAACAGTATTTAGGATATAGCTATCAATATTATTGAGAAATTGATACATTTTTCCATAAACAAAAATTTGATAAAAATTTCCCAGTGGATGGAAAAGTTACGAATTGTAAATACACCAAAGTAGATTCAAGCTCTAGATTAAGGTATTTGTGTGAAAAAAAAAGATTAAAATTTTCATCTGTTTATTGTAGGTGATAGAAGTAACGAGTGTAATAGTAGCATAAACTAGTTGCTAGCTTCTGTAGCGGTAGCAGACATTCGTTGCTAACGTCTGTAATAATGAAGACATATAATACTGTCGTAACTACGGACTATAATAATAAAAACGACAGATTTTGATGATTAATTAGAGATTAAATCCTAATTATAATGATTTCTAATTAGTGAAACTAGATTTTTATTACTGATGTGAGTAGTGGTGAACATAGGCAATCGACTTGTACCAAAAAAAGTTACTAATTAGTGCATCAAAGTGTTCATTTTTTAATATTTTATGTCAGTAATGGGGAGGTGGGGGTGGGGTACAGGGGAGCCGCAAAAACCTAACGATTCAACTCACACTTACTATCTTCTTCGAAAATATATATGAGTTTCACAAAAGTAAATTTGGTATAGAAACTAGATACTGATAAGATTTATATATGTGATTGTTCTCATTTTCGAATGTATTCTTGTGAAATATCTGAAACAAACCTGAGAAAGTAATTACACAATTCGGCATTTGATGATTCATATAAGATAAGATAAGATCTGTACTTTGAGCTTCTTTCATCAGTAAATTAGGTAAGTACAATAGAGCCAGAATTGAAACAGCGTAGAGTATTTTGCAACATTAAGTTTAAATTTTTAAAAAAAGATATTCTCAGCATAATTTTATCTTTTTTGTTTTTTAATGAAATAATTGTCTCATTAAAAAACAAATTCTACCGAGAAGTTTACTAGAAGACTTCGATCTATTCATTTCAAGTGCAATGTTGTACAGTAAGTTGGATTTATGATTTGGTATAATTCGAACAAAAATAACTCATATCGAAGGAGTATATTTGCATCTCTATTTTTTTAGATCACTCAGACATCCACAGGATGTCAGTGATGACACCGTGTAGCATGATAATCATTTGTAAATATTCTGTTCACTAGTACGAGATATATCAATTCATTTTCTTGTCTGCAGTAACTAATTATTTTTGAATTCAACACATGACTAACTAGTAAGTAATTAAGTGTTCACGAAAATAAATTTTCTTCTTTGTAGAAGAAAACTAAACGCTTATGATCCTCGAGTTTACTTGTTCGCAGGCTATTATTTATTTGAATTAAACACCTATTCCATTGAATATACAAAAGACAAAAGACAAAAAACACAATAGTCACTGTTCTATTCATATTCTATGAGGTAACAAATAACGAAGAGATTCTATCGATATTTACAAGTTACCAAATGCAACACTATGTTCACGAGCTTTAAGACGTAGTGTTGCAATTGAATTACTTCGATGATCTGAATTAAGATTATATCCAGTATACGGCGATGCATTAAAATTATTCGCTGAAGTCGATGTGTGAGATAAGGATGGAAATGCATAAGGTAGATTCATAAAATTAGGTAATGCATTTTGCATGATCATTGATGAAGATGATGAATCTGTTGGTTGATGATGATCTCGAAAAGGAAGATGACTCAACGAAGGTGCCGATGTTGAACACCAACTATTAGCAGTTGTTAACTAAAGTTATAGTTGATGCAAATACAAAAATTTTAACTAATAATTCTTTCTACCGAAGGATATTGACTGCTGGCAACTGAAAATAATGAAATATCATAAGGATTTGCGTGTGGTATAGTTAATCCATGTATTTGAGACGCACCAGTATATCTTTCACGTTTACGCCATTTAGCACGCCGGTTTTGAAACCAAACCTAATCAAATAAATATAAATCATTGCAGAATTTGTTTTTAAGATGAATAAAGATCAAAAATAATTTCTTAGTATATCTTTTTAATAGAGATATAATCGAAAACTATTCATTCATATGAACAAGAAATATGGACACTATGTTTATCATTATAAAAATTGTAATCTAATAGAGAGCAGAGTACCAATCTAGAATTAATTGTGAGTAAAATGAAACTTTAACTTCATTTCCTAGAAAAATATGTTTTTTTGTAACGTTTAAAATTTAATGGCGTAGATGTGATAGAAAACTAATTACTGGCCTATTAAAAAGATAAAACTAATTGAATACTTTAAAATGAGTCGAGAACCCAATGCAAACAAGCTGTGAAATGAACAACAAAACGACAAGCATAGCTCAATATCGAGTCTATTTATATCAATGAGAACTTTTCCTACCTGCACCCGTGCTTCTGTAAGATCACAGCGTACAGCTAATTGTTCTCGAACATAAACATCTGGATAATGAGTTTTTTGAAAGATACGTTCCATTTCTTCAAGCTGATACGATGTAAACGTTGTACGGTTTCGTCGTTTCTTTCGTTTATTATTATTATCATCATCATCATCATCTATTAATGAACCACTATTTTGTCGAATAAATAATTTCTTACTGGAATCTATGATAAAATGCAATTAGATTATCATATTCAGTTAATATAATAAACTTAGAAATATAACTACTGAGCAACCATAATCCAATCAATTTTTTATATAATTCAAGAATAAATACCTGTATGGTGATGCATCATGGTTACGTGTTAATTCAATATATTTGAACTCTATTTCTCTAACTGAATTTTCAGCCAACAGTGTAATCTGTATATGCGCAACTCTAATTTTATTAATCAGTTATCTAGCAAACTGCATAAATACCATTTTTGTAGTTTCAAGAGAGAGAGAGAGAGAGGGAATATGAAGGAGAATATTGTGTTGTTACCAGTAAAGAAGATTAATGGCAGTTCTCTTCTTTTCTTTTCCTCTCTGTTTATCATCTATGAAAAATCTGAATTTGTTGATTGGTCTATATGTACAAAAAAAGAAAGCATATTTTGTTCTGTGAACAGAAACACTTTCGATTTTCCTTAGAAGTATTATTTACACTTAATCGTCATCGTTTTAACTAATAGCAAAGCATAATTACGACGTCAACGGCTCGTCTGTTATTCAAAAAAATAGAAAAGAGACCAGCTCCTATCTAGAGATGATTTGTCTTCATCGATCAACACAAATTTTTCTCTTCAAGCCATGCAGATCAAATAAAAAAAAGTGCGACGCGTATAATAAGATAATATCTTTTTATTTAATAATGAACTTTTACAATATGATTAGAGAAAACTATTCAATTCTATGTTGTACTCTCTTGTGATGAGATCATTGTTGTTACTGAACCAGATTGTACTAATGTACTTTCGTCATCCATTCGACTTGGTGCTTGAGATGAAGATGAACCTTGATTGATATCATCCGATGGGCTATGAATAAATGTAGTAAGCTTTCGATTTTTTGCCCACTAAAAACAAACAAATAAAAAGAAAATATCACTTAGAGAATGGAAAAGGTTTTTCCTAAGAGAAATAACATGTGTATATATATCAAACTTTATTGAATTATAGAGAGAAAGAGTCTTTTGTATATACAAAATTGCTAAGAAAATAAACTGGTCTGACGAGGCAAAAAAAACACATATCGATGCAATCATCATTTTACTACATCTTAAAGTTCATGTTAGTTCTAATACATGTACTTCGTTTTAATGACGAACGATAAAATATAAATGAAAATAAAGTATTATTGAAAATATCAAATAGATTTTCCTATTGGGAAAAGAAAATCAAATTGATTTTTTTCATAGTAGTAAAATCTACTAAGATAAAGATCAATGAGTTTGTTTTCAAAGTTGTTTATTAGTGTGTCAAAAATTAAAAAAGAATGCTATTTTTATGATTGATAGAAAATCTAATTGCAGAGGTCAACTTATCTGGTTTTGATTAGAACAATACTACGTTATACATATTGCGTTTCCATTATTATCTGGATTATCCTTCTTTTGATTCAATTTGTGCTGTGATGTTAAGATAAACTCCTCGCCGCAATGAAAGACCCCACCTAATTAATGAATTTCTCTCAAATTAGATACTTTAATTTGTATATCTAGATCAAATAATCATTCTTAGTTTTCACGTATTCAAATCCATATACATTAACAAACTAATAAGAAATCTCCTAAAAATGATTTAAAAAATTTTTTTTTAACTAGAGCTTTGTCTCTATTGGATAGAACAAAATCTTGCGTTTCTTAAGAAGAGCTCAGATTCTATGTTTACTGTTGCCAAGATACTAGACTTAGACGAAATTGTGTAACTGAATTCTATGGACAAACAGAATCATTTATAGTCTTTCCTATTTATTATAAAATACATCATATTGTACTAAATTTTGATTCTTTAACTAGATAGAGTCAGGTTTCAACTATTAATAGTAGTTGTAAATTTAGCGTACCATGAATTTAGGGAACCTTTTTATTAGCATCACCGGACTTGAAAACTCAAGTTTACATTGGATAGCAGAGTTTTCATTATTAAGAATTTGCAACCGTTGAATTTATTCTAACTTCTTTTACGATATTTAAGATTTTAAGCAAAACTTCATTAATTCGGTTTTTTTTTGTCATGAAATATCTTTTATATACGTAAATGACCTCATATACGCTTTGTCGAATAATTTATCTTTGATTAATTATATGTATTTATAAACATACCACAGCAATTAGATTGCGTCTTCCGTCAACAGTTAATTTCGATGGTATATCTTTTAATGGATATGATAAAGTAGTATTTGCATTATTGCCCACAAAATCCGTAGTTTGTGAATCCATTAAAGATTTCAAACTAACAATCAATAGATTTGATTGATGATTGGTATTGAATAGAATTGTTTCACTACTATTTCCATTATCGGAATCCATTGCATTAGTGCAAACCATTGCTAATTTATCATCATCATATATTTTAAAATTTACTATTGAACTAAATATCGAAAATGTGTAGAGGTAAAATTTATTCTAGTAAAATATACCGATGTAAACCAAGAATATGATGAAAATCAAATGATCGAACAAGACATTGTTTAGTTCTGTATAGAGAAATTAAAACAAATAGAATAATATAATTTATTAACTAACGGCGATGTATAGGTAATTAAATGAAATTGTAAAGAATTTTGTTGAATAATATAATTAATTGAATGTTGACTACGACGATGATCGAATTCGATTGGTGCAGACGATTGATGATCGATCGGTCTAAGTGCATATATATATATATTTATGTCTTTGAAGAATATCAAAAATATTTTCTCTTACATTGAGGTAAGTAATGGTAATGGTTTATTCAGCTGTAAAATTGAATTATTTGTTCGTATTTCAAATGCTTTTGTAATGGATTGTTTTAAATCTTGATAAGCACCTATTAAGGATCGTCGTGGTTTTGGTGAAAAGCATGCATTTTTATTATTATCTAGTTGATAATGAACATTTGATTATTATCATTATCAAACGAAAACTATAGTTTTACTTGTATGATCAAATAATTTTCGATAAGATGAATCACGTACGAGAGTTTCTGGTAAACTTTCGGATTTTAAATACTAGAAAAAGAAACAAGGTTAGTGAAACCAGTTTAAGATTGAGCTGTTAAATGCGAATTAGTTATTGCTCCTCAATGAATAATCGGATTTTAAAAGCTTTTACAGTAGTGGAAAAGTGTTGTTTGTCTTCTATGTTCGATGTAGACTTTAATTTACCACAATGATAACAATGATTCATTCTACTGAGTATAAATAATTTAGTTAAGTTAGTATTTAGTTTACTTTGTAAAGTAGATTTTATGTTCTTCAATGAAATTTGCCTATCTCTTATGAACTTACTAATCGAGCCACTTCACACTTTTCGTTTGCGAAAGTACAAAGTCAAAGAAAAGCTGATGCAAATATCCGTGGAATTCTCTCATGACAATTAATAAGAGTAAGCAATGTACTTCTTTCATAGATCCAGACTATTGAAATTCCACATCAAGTCGTCTAGAAGGAGAAGTTTTAGTTATTATTTAATTGCAAGATGCTGTTAAAATATCAAAAAATACTCGGAAAACAGTTGTCTACCAATTGATATACTCGAAATTCTATTCCATTCATTCTGGTAACTCAAATTCATATGAATCATGAATTTTCATGGTTGAGTAAATTAATGGAATTTTGCTTTCACTTCACTATGCGTAATCTCTATATTCGTTTGAAAGTTTGTATCTGATAAATAGATTATTACAATATAAACGATAGAAATTTACCATTGCAAATATGTCAAGTACAGGTTCATCGAATGCACAATAGGCATCAATAAATTCAATTAAATGGTCCCAATCAGCTTCTGTACACTAGAATATTTAGAAAGTTTCAGTCAAAAAGATTGGAAAAAAACTCAATCTACTTCAATTTGTTCATCATGATGTGTACTTGTATTATGTTTCGATGTATGCAATTGATGAGCAACTAATAATATTCAAGAAATCTTTTTTTTTTGAAAAAATCAAAAAACAGATTCGAATGCATACCGAAACCCAACCAGCGTAAAAAAAATGTATAAACATCTGACATTTCATGGAGAAAGCTAAAAAATTGAATAAGAACTTACATTTTACTTGAATGAGTTACGTACTCGGTGTATTCATTGATCTTCAATAGAAGACTGCCAGCATTGTATAAAGATGCTAAAATAAATTTTGAAATTTCAAATCAGTTTCAGCTGTTTTGTTTTTGAGAAAACTCTACAGGGTAAGTAGCTAGAGAATAATAACTTTCATTATTCGGAAGAGTAAACTACAATCTATGAATAGAACATTGCGGGATTTTATTTTTTATAGGCACGATTCATTCAAAAGCTAATATATATATATATATATATGCTTGTTACTTCATCACAATCTTGAACACATCGAAATCTATCAAGATCAATTGTTCTAGTGAGACAGCATTCTTTTAATCAAAACAAATAGAAGATTCTATCTTGCTGAATTCAAATGATATAGAGACACGGCATATTAAACTAATTGTCTTTCAAAGTCAACTATTATTTCATACTTACACTCCAGAATTTGTGAATCGAATTCAATCTGATCAAATTTTCCGTACCATTGTTGTAACCCTTTAATTTCTACAAGATATCCGAATATATGTTCAATTGTTCTTAGAAGAAGATGACAAATGGAATCTATAAAATACGTTCTTGTTTAACAATGTTCTCATTTACCTTCCGAACATAACAATTAATTCTTTTGATTTAACTCTTGTTTCATCAAAAGTTGTTACTAATTTTTTAGCGAAGCCATAATCAAAAATATTTCCAAAAAAGTGTTGTTGCATCTGTTCTGAGCAATTGCCTGTTGCCAGTAATGACATTAGTTCACATTGAAATGACCATTGTTTTACTCCTTGTTGCCGCATTATTTCGCAAAATGTATTAACACGTGATTGAAAGTCAGAAAAGCATTTTGTTGTTAATTCAGTTAATGCTGTAAAAATCTTATCATTGAATAAAATTAAACTTTTTATACGACAAAGTGAACGTGTTAAATGAAAGTAATCATTATGATAATCAGATAGAAACGATGTACATTCAAATAATGAATAATTAACTGACGTATCACTACGTGTCAATAGACAAAGAGTATCAAGAGAAGGTGACATTGTGACAGAAAGAAGAGATTGATCAGTAGGTAACGATGAACGATTAATTAGAAGTAGAGGCCACAGACCGAACGCACGAAGAAGTATATCATTGGAGCCGAATAAAATTAAACTGCAACAAACAGTGAGAATAATAGATTCTATTAGTTGTCTTACATATTTAATTTGCTTTGTTTATCAAGTGTAAAAAGATCATCTGGTGGATCGACAACATGCTTTCTTGTTCGAGTAATAGATGGTAAATCAGCAAGAGCTGGTAAATAATCATCGATCGGAACTGATTCAAATTGAACATGAACATTATCATCTGGTTGTCCTGTGGTACGTTCTACCCAATTCATTGCACGAACTTCAAATGGTGACGGTTCCGATAGTAATTGATGACCATCTTGAACTGATGCTAACACTAGTGTACGATTTGAAAATGTCACAGCTAGTACTGAAATACGAATTTTTCAATTGCTGATTTAATAAAGAAAAAGAAAAAACATCATTCAAATACTTTGTCCATCAGGTCGCCATGCTAAACTAATCGGCTTTTTACGTTGATTTCGTGTACCTAATGCCCAAACTTTACGAATATAAGCTTGATAGGCAATAACCTAGATTGTAAAAATAGATTACTGATTTATTGAAATGTAAATTATTTAATCGAACTATACATCGCCATTCGCAGAACACACAACGATAATATCATGTTCCGGATTAAATGAAAATAATAGAACTTCACTATGAAAGTTTTTTTCTTCGGCGACACGAAAATTTAATGTATCCATATTTAATGACTGTAATAAAATGAAAAATCAAGAATAAAAACTCGCTTTTTCTTGACAGATTTAGCGGAATGGGTAGATTTAAAACAAAAGAAATGCGTAAGCAGATGTCGCAAGAAAACAATATAGATTTATAGCATTTTTTTTTTCTTTTTACGACATCATTCTGTTAAATTTTCGCATTGCTCTACATTGCATATCAATATTGAAAGAAAAACATTTCTTGATGCATCAGATGAATATATCGCATTCTTTATCTTTTATCATTTATTAGGAATAAAAATAAGAAATAAAATTCAATCGAAATTTCAGTCCATTTTTCACTGTGCAATTCATTTAGTTGTTTTTATTTTCTTGTATCCACTTTGAACTTTCTATCCAGGGTCCAAGTACTTCATTGGTTGTATAAGAAAATCATTCCTCTTTCGATATGCATTCTTTGTTTAATTCTATATCCTCTCTCGGATTTTTCATTTTCGAAAACAATAGACGGAAAAGTATGACCATACAGAGCTAAAATATAGATTTCGTTGTATAACAAAAAGAGAAGAACGATCGGGAGAGAGAAACAGAGATGCGCTTAAGGAAATTTCTTCGTAGTAACATGTTCTAATTTATTTGTATATTTAAGAAAGAAAAAGTGTGTGCGTGTGAGTGCATTTGTAATCGCAATATTTTCTTTATTTCGTACTACATAAATCTATTCAAAAACAATATGGAAACAGTTCTTGGTCGTGGTTATTCAATAAATGAAGAATTTGGTTTAACAGATTTCTATTCACCACCATCAAGTATTATTGATCAAAATGAAGAACAAGACGATGATTTGTTCTATGCTGAAGAAGAAACTAATGAAATTCAATTGACTGATAATATAATCCTTTCGTCTTCATCCGTTAACGAAAGTAATGACACAGATTCCAGTAAGTAGAATAAGTATTTTAGCAAAACATATTTACATATTTTATTTTCAATTAATAGAAGATTGGTTCAAACCATTACCATTAAAATTAATGTCTATTGAAACAACACCACCGCCAACACCTCTTATGCCACGACGTCTACTCGATCCGATTAATAGTACAACAGGAGCTTTTCAAAGTATGACAATCAATACTAATCTACCAATAACACCATCTAAAGTTACGGATTTAAAAATACCAAATTGGTCCTTGAGTACGCCTTCAATTAATCCATTAATACCATGTACTAAAACTAATACACCTAAAACAACAACAAATCTATTAACACCAACAAATATAGATCGTTACCTTATTGAACACCGTCATCTATCAGATTCAATCTATAAATCATCAACAAGTAAAAATTTTCTAGTTAATGAAATTCATTTTATTTTCTTTATTGTTCATAGAACTAGGTACAGCAACGAATACACATCAATCAATATCTGTTCAACATACTGAAGTCAATAATGGTTTGTTATAAACAAAAAAAATTATCGTAGAAAAAAAAGACATAAAGTTCTTTGCAAAATTCCTCTAGGACTAAAATATGAAATTAAAATTCAGTGATTGTTCCTAATTAAACAGAGATTTTTTTCTATGCCTTTTGAGACATTGATTCATCATTGATTTATATAGAGTTCTCCGACGAAGCAATAAGGAAACAGTCGACATGTGAATAAAATAAATCATTTATATACAATCTGTAATGATGGAATTCAGCTAGAGTATCTATGAGGATCAGTAAAATGGATGCACACTCTAACATCTGTATAAGTTAACATTGATGCTCGATCTTGTTTCATAAGAACTAAGAAATATCGTTTTAGAAACAAGTCGCTTGTATTCCTATATGGATCAAGTCGATGCATTAGCATCAAATCTTCGAACAGTTTGTGCAACATCTTCGAATTCTTGGTCAACATTTGATGATTCACTTTCAACACCATCTCAAATATCTATTAATAAGAGTTTATATGTACCTCAAATTAATATGAAATCTCCACCTTGTTTAAACAATTCTTTAGTTCCTCAACGAATTAATTCATTTTTCCCGAATTCTAATAGTCCATTTAGTCATTCATCAACTTTTCAACATCAACATCAACAATATCAATCTCATGATCCATGGTTTTTATCTGAAATGTCAACGATTGTACGTCAAAATCAACAAAATACAAATATATTATTGAGTACAACAGCGCAACAAATTCTTGCTGCAAATACAGCGAATAATAATCGTCCGCTCCGTTCAGAAAAAATAGATATTGAAGTAATTAAACATCTTATGCGCGAAGCTAATTGGAAACGACAATGTGGAATGAAAAAAGAGGTTTTTCGAAAAAAATATTGTATTCGCGAAAATTTATTCATGACAAAATAAATAATCTATTTTAGGTTTGCGTTTTTTGTCGAAATAATGGTGAAAATGAACTAATCTATTCAAGTCATTCATTAAAAGATTCAGTCGGTAATGTAACATGTCCTATTTTAGGTGCTTATCAATGTCCTATTTGTGGAGCAACTGGTGCACAAGGTAAGTTTTTTTGTTTGCATTAATACTTTTACTGTAAACTATTCTTCGTTTTCATAGCTCATACAATAAAATATTGTCAAGCAACTGGTGATGATAATAATCGACATGTACCTACACCGTACGAGAAAATGCTTCGTATGCAAGCAATTGGATTCGATGATAATATGGCACCATCAATGCCAGGACTTCTTCATCCCATAGGCAGTCCTTCGTCTCTTTATAGAAATGGTTGGTCTGATAGTTATTTATGAAGGAAATGAGTTTTTTTTTCTCTGTAATACTTGCCAACAAATAGTAACAAAAGATATTAGTGAATTTTTTTCTGTAGCGTTTGTTTTAGTAGTTTAACTGATTAATATCTAGTTAGTATTCTTTTTTGTGCGCGCACGAATTAAACCAACCGTCGTGTAAAGTAGTAACTGACTTTGTTTGTTATTGTTGTGAGTTGAAAAGACGTTCTTCTCTTTCACTGTTTTTTTTTTTGACATTGACGAACTCGTTTTTTTTTTAAGTATTCATAAATAAAATCTAGTGGGAAATAAACGTTAATTAAAAAATAGTTTCGAAAATGATTACTCATTTTTTCAACTGTATCAATACAACAGAATCTTGCATGTGAGTGCGGGTTAGTAGGAAAAAAAACTTCAAACACCTTCAAGTATATCAAGCGGGCAGTATTTAGTACAAGTACGAAATATTGTGTTTGTATAGCACTCGAATTGCAAGTTGAATAATTAAGTAATGCATTTAGTTACTATGAATCACTTGATATCTAAATAAATCTTGTTTTCTTTTTGTTCGTATTTTAGAAAATATGAATTTTGTAACATTGAATAAGAAAAGTTATCCGAAGTAATTTATTCTCACTTTGTGTTAGGTTCACAATAAGAGAAAAAAAATATTCTTTCTTCGTCTCGATGCAGTAAGATGCATCAGCAAATTTCATTCACCTTTTCTTCGATATTTACGCTTGATTTACTTTCTCTCTCAACTTAGAAAGTGATGTATAAAAAGGTAGCTATCGCCATTTTCTTTTCGTGTATGATTGGAGAACGAAAACAGAAAAAAATGGTATTTTTTTAACTAACACCAACTATTGTTTCAAATACGTGAAGAAATAGCTTTTCTTACAGATATAAAAATCTTCAACTCATTTTGTTTCCATGGACAAAGGAAAGCTTAATGGCAATGATACTTCAGAAAATGACCGCCGGTGGTATTATTGGTTGGCAATATTTGCACAAATACCGGCCATCGTTGCAATTTTTCTAATTCTTATCCTTTTTGGAAAATATCGAGGTGGATTCGAATGGGGAGTGCGTTCGTTTTCTTTCTCTATCCATTTTTTGTTTTTGAAGCGAACTATTGAAATTCTGCTCTAAGAAATGCATGAAACTAAAACAGTAAAATGGATGTTTTCATTGTAGTCGAATCTTGACGCTCTATTTAATTATCATCCATTATGTATGACACTTGGCATGGTATTTTTCTATGGTGATGGTAAGTTGATTTATTTACAATATGTTTTCGAATGATCTTTATAACGATAAATATTGTTAAAGCAATTTTGGTTTATCGTCTCTTTCCTCATACAAGTAAAGTTGCCATTAAATTGATTCATGGGTTTTTATTAGCACTTTCACTTATATTGTCATCAATTGGTCTTTCGGCTATTTTTGAGAATCATGCTCAATCGAAGCCTCCAAAATCTGATTTGTATACACTTCATTCGTGGATTGGTATTACAACTGTGATTTTATTTGGTTTACAATGGGTTTGTGGTTTTCTTACTTTTCTTTTTCCGCAATTAAGTGAACGTGTTCGTCGAGCATATATGCCAAGGTACATTATAGGAATGAAATATAAATTCTTTCTACATTATATTGGCATTCTGTTTATGTAGTCATAGATTTTGGGGTAAAACTATATTTATTTTTGCTATCATGGCTATGATGATGGGTATTGTTGAATATTGTGCATTGTGAGTAGTTTCTTATATTACTTAATTCTTATGTTTTTCTTTCTTGATATTTTAGTGCACAATTATTTTCTCCAGGAACAAAATTTCAAGAAACTATGTTAAATATGGTTGGCGTTATGTTTTTGATGTTTGCTGTTATTGTTCTTTACCTAGTTGGTAATGATAATTTTCACAGACCTAAAGAAGTTGATGACGATGAACATTTACCTTTAACTGAGTGATTGTAATTATTCGAATCAGTTTCGGAATATCATTTGCTAATAAATTACATTTTTATTCAGTAGATGTCAATCTTTTGTTTTTCTTATAATATTTTTGAAAACTAAACTTCAAGCAAGAGGCAATCGTACAGTGTCTAAAGCGTCTTTCTTAATGTATTTTCAACGTCGTTGTATTCAAATGATTTCATGTGTTCTTCTTATGATGGTTTTAAACTGTTCTCGAATTTTATTTATCACTAAAACGAGGGTAACATAATATTACTTAAAATTGTTATTAACAAAATATCAAGGTTGTGCATATTCTATCAAAGTAAGTGATAGATTTCCAATGTTTATTCGCAATTTTGATATATTTGATTTCGCAAGATCATTTTTGGCATTCTTGCAAAAGAAGTTCTCAAAAAACATTAGGCTTGAATTCTTAGTAGATTATTACCATGACGAGTAACCACACACTAGTATCATCATTTTTTGATGTACAAAGAAGTTATCTCTAACATAGTTTGAACGGAAAAAAGTTAGTGTGTTCTTTAATGGATGATAATGTGTTGTTAATAGTTCAAATCCTTCGAGAATATATTGAAAGGAACTATTATGATGTATCATTATTGAGTTCAAAATAGAAATACATTTCTCTAGGATTTTAAGGTTTTGATTGCATTTTGTTCACTAGAGTCTCAATTTCTCAATCAAATCTTTATTTTCAAGGTTTAGACTAAAAACGTTGGAGATGCAGTCATGAATAAGAAAACTATATTAGCGAGTAAATTATTAGAAAATGTTTATGGATGCGTGCTTCGTATTGCTCTTTGAGAAAATTAAGATCTAAACTTTATGCATCTACTGTGTAGACCCTCGGTTAGAAAACAATCGAGAAGAAAGACATTTTCCCATCGAATTCAATATTCTTCCTATGCATGTATGAATCAGAAACAATATTTCTTTGCTTGGGTGATGGTCGAGATATCTAACGATTGTTACGGCTCATCGAATTTTCAAGCATGTTGCATTGTATCTTCAAAAAAAAAAATGCGCATTCTGAATTTGAAGATATTCAATTCTTCTTTTATTCTTTATCAAATGTATTCCCTCTAGAGAAAGAAAAAGACAGAGCGATGTTAAATACTGTTTGTCGGTACTCGTCTCGTCTTTCTCTTTTCACATTGATCAATTGATTAGCAGAACTAATGAGCTTGCCATTGATATTTTTTGTACAACCAAAACTATCGTTAAACTTAAGGTTTCATTTGATATAATATACGCATTTTGTTACTAATATCTGCGCTCGATAATGTACTTCTCTATTGACAACTGGTGTTTTTCGTAATTTTACAAATCCCAATTCCCAAATGAGATTTTCTTTGCAACAAGGACAGATTTCTATCTTCATGTTTATTTAACATTTTAGAAAAAGAACCTTTTTTTTCTTCGCCGCCACCCACAGTCACCGAGACCAAAATTATAGACTAATTTGCTTTGTTCTTTTCGTACAGCAGTATTGATCGTCTTTATTTATAGATGCATATCATTCTCAGTGGAATTTATCTTCAACATATCAATTAACAAAGTCCACGATCATTGATATATCCTACCATGGGAGTTACACACAGCAAAAATTAATTACCTTTGGTTATTTTCTTTTTATTTTATCTAGAAATTTTTGTATTCAAAATAATCTATGTATTGCTGATATGAAAATAGTTATGCTTTCCTTTTTTCTTTTACAGTAATTATCATTTAGCCAGATTATAATGTTGAATTATAAACTTATTTTACAAGCGATAGTAATGAAGAGTAATGTTGTCAGTCTAATTTCCACCTGTTATAAATCGATATTTGATATTATGATTGATCAAATTCTTTTGCGTTCTCATATCTAACATCGCAGTATGCAATTCTAAATAATTAACTTTTAACAGATCACATGTTTGAACGAACTAGTGGCGTAGTAAATTTAAAAAAAAAGATTGCAATCATATTTTTCTTGTTAACTAAGGTTTTTTTTTATCTTAAAATTGATTGCGAAGAAAATGAGAAGATGCCGTTACACATTGTGTATTGATGATTCGTTTTCAATCTACATATTTATAATTCATACACGTTTTCTCTTTCTGTTATCAGTCTAGTTGTACATCATCAGCAATGTAGAAGAAATAGAGAAAAGAAGAAGAAGGAGAGAAACGATTGTTAATTGCTATTCGATCTTCTCATCAAGCACAACGTCAGTCAACCAACCAGATAAAGGCAAAAGATTGTAAGGAGAAGAAAAAGAAAGAAATAGAAAAAGTAGCAGATGCATCGCACCATTATGAAATCCAGTAATAGTTTTTTTATTTTGTATATAATACATATTAATTGGCAGCCTTCTCAATCTGCTCAAAAATCACAATGATGACAGACTTTCGAACTTGTCAACAGCAGTATGCTGATAATTCAATGGTATCATCATCATCAACAACACCGATTTCTGTCTCATCTTATGGCGCTTATTTTCATCCAACTCTACCTTACAATACAACAACTGAATTAGATGGACAGTATTCACAATTTACATCTTCTTATACGTCGCAATTTTATCAGCAACAGCAACAACATCAGCAGCAGCAAACACCACAATCATACGATTTTGATTCTACATCTTCATTCGTACCACATTATTCAACACTTCAACCAGTTAATTCGTCTTATACATCATTTTCTCCAACATCAGAACAAAATCCTGATAAATCTCTCAATTATTTCTATTCATCATTACCATTGCAAACAACTCTTTCATCAAGTTCAACTCCAGAATCACGATCACCATCGAGCCATTCATGTGGTGATGAATCAAATTTAACAATAACACCCAATAAAAATGATATTCATACAGGCACATCAATTACTACGGGTTCATGTGATGGTACACGTCGTTGTCTATTATGGGCATGCAAAGTATGTAAACGTAAAACAGTGACTGTTGATCGACGAAAAGCAGCAACAATGCGCGAACGTAGACGTTTAAGAAAAGTCAATGAAGCATTTGATACATTGAAAAGACGTACATGTCCGAATCCAAGTCAACGTTTACCTAAAGTTGAAATCTTACGTAATGCTATTGAATATATTGAAAATTTGGAAGACCTTATTCGATCATCTGGCATCAATTCAAGATCATTAAGACATGATTTAGATAATCAAAAACCTAATATCAATGAAGTAAAATTTTCTTTTTTCTTCCTCATTCTCAATAATAATCATATTTGTACATAGTTATTAAAACCAAGATCTTCAACGATCAATTACAGTGAAACACATGAGAATATACCTGCAGATTATAATAGTAATTCAACAACACCGCCGATCTATGAAACGGCTGATAGTAAGTTTCGATAAAACGTTTTTTTTTCTCTCCTATTTTTTGCTCTATCAAAATCTATATCAAAATAGTATATTGAGAATGCAAATGCATTCTTTATTTGATGTTTTAACAACACATGATACTTATATATCTTCCTCATCGCGTTAAGGCAGACATGCTATCATGATCATTAGAGTTAATCATTTCTATCGATAATTATTGTTATCATTATCATGCTAGTCAATATTATATATCTATATATATATAGTATAAATCTATGTTTAGATTATACTGATGTGGTATTAACGCATCATCATACAAGATCATCAACAATATCAAGTCTTGATTGTCTATCAATGATTGTTGAAAGTATTGATCCAAATAAACTTGTTAATTCGTCAAATGGAATATCGAACAGTAGTATTATAAATTCGTGTTGTTAAAAGGAATATTTCGTTTTTTTCATTTCTTGCTCATATTTATGTACAATTTTATCTTGTTCTTCTAGTAATAATCGAAATTGAATGAATATCAACGAACATGATTTTTTTTTGTTTTGTTTTAAGCTTTTAGGCGTTTATTCTTTTCATATTTGTTTACAAAAAAAAACGAATGCTTCGATTATATTAAATGATTATCTAGCAAAACAAAAATACAGCTGAATTAGGAATTTTTCATCGGTCGAAACTATTGTCATCATCCATCAATCAACTATGTATTGATTGATAAAAATTTCTACTGTTGAACCGTTTAAATGTTTTGGCTTCATACATATGTTCTCTTTGAAAGATTACTTGTGAGATATGGAAATGATAGTTTTCATGATTTTATAGAGAAGAAACATTTTTTGACAACAACGTGCAAATCAGAGACCGTCACATGGCAGTTCTGCCCTGCCCTGCCCTGAAACAGGGCAGGACGAAAAAATAGAAAGTTGCCCTGTGCCCTGATAATTTTTCCTATAAACTGATATACAGCAGATTTTTCAGTCGATTATGCTGACATGGTGATGAACTATAATGTGTGTCATTATGCGCCAGTCACTGTGAAATTTGTTACTATGTCTAGTTCAGACAATACCAGTTTACTCATTTATTATCATATAATTCAATTATAAAAATAAAATACTGCTTCAAAGAGAAATGCAAAACATGGTAGAATCATTTAATATTGTATAAGAGAACGAGCTAATTTAAGAATTATGTGTATGATGAGGTTTTTTTCTAAATGATTTCAGACATGAGCTTAGTGTTCCAGAG